CATTTGCGACCATGTTGGCAGTTCATTTCGGGATGCAAGAGATTGTCCTTACAAGGATAATGTGGTTTCGGGCAGTTTCGAGGAGCATATGTAGACTAAAATTAGGTCTCCACTGTCTGTCTATACGCCTTGGGAATGTAAGACGAACAGGCAGTCATTTTTTGTTGTTGGAGGTTTAAAACTATTAAGCTAAATGAAAAATATGTATTTAACAGCTGAAATTTTGTGCACAGCAGAGCTTAGGGTGGCTGATTAGACAGCTGTGAACATATCCCGAAAAGCTGACCTTCCTTCATAATCCCCATAGAATGTCTCTGTGTCGCTCTGGGACTGGGACTTTAAGGCATATATGTGCCGAGGAAGCTTCTTCTGAAAGTCGTTCCACAAGGTAAAGTGGACTCAGCTGAGTAGCTTATCGAATTAATTCGAGTTGGTCTGCTATCCTCATCTCTGTTATTTCATACGTGTCATGACATGTGAAGTATTTATTGTCTGCTGAAGGACTGAAACTTTCGGGCAGACATTCGTCGAGCTTTAAACAAACCACTTTATAGACCGTTTTAAGTTCTGCCCAACTGATTTGTCTTTAATTTTTAGATATGTGTCCATGTTATCACATTGTCTTACTTACTTACTTTTCTAGCGTAGACGCCGCTTACGCCATTGTAGCCGAGTTAACAATATTGTGCCATTCGTTTCTTCTTTTTGCTGATTGGTGCCGATTGGAAATACCAAGTACCGCCAGGTCCTTCACTACCTGGTCTCTCCAACGGAGTGGAGTGGAGTGGAGGTCTTCCTCTTCCTCTGCTTCCACCGGCGGGTACTGCATAGAAAACTTTCAAAGCTGGAGTATTCGCATCCATCCGGACCACATGACCTAGCCAGCATAGCCGCTGCTTCTTGATTCACTGAACTAAAACAATGTCGCCGTATAACTCGTACAGCTCATCCTTCCATCGTTTGCGATATTCGCCGTTTCCAACGCGCAAAGGATCGCTTTGCGGCGATACAAAAATCAGACATAGCGGCGTAAAGGCAGCGACTTTAAAATCGACGGAAAGGTGGTGAGTGTCGACCCTCTTTTCACGAGCCTTTCCAAGATTTGGTGCATGGTGAATATCTGATCAATGGTTGACTTATCAGGTCTAAAGCCACACCGATAAGACCAATGAGATTGTTAGTTGTGGACTTCAGTCTTTCACACAATACGCTCGACAGGTCTGTTTTTAGTTTCTAACAACTAAGGGCATTATTTTTATATATTTATTTATTTATTTAATAATAATAACAAAGCATTAGTACAATAAGATTTCCATATCTTTTTTAGTACAACAGAGATACTGTGAAGAATAAGTAAATATTACTTTACAGATACATTAACAAAAATAAAAATAATATACAATGAGCTGAGTATGACAAAAATTTAAAGAATTATTAAATGGTCACTCTATGTTGGAATTTGGCCTCTAAAATGCATATATATGTGGTTCTTAAAATTGCTTCTGTTTAATTTCCTCCTTAAATTAGCAGGAAGAGAGTTACATAATCGACTAGCATTGACAAAGAACAGCCTCGATGATTGCTGTTTTTTCTGAAAAGGTATCATAATATTACCTACTCTGGCGGACCGAGTAAAAGATAACTTAGGAAAAAGATAGCTGGGAGATTGAGTCATAATGAGTTTGCACAGCAAAATACAATTTCTGGCTTTATGATAGTCCGCAATCGTACATCCCAATATGTGATCTTTCCAAGACGAGATGTGCTCATACTTGGATAGACCAAACACATACCGTGTGACATTATCAAACATAATGTCGATTTTACGAGCAGAAAAACTGTCATGTTTGCTGTATACCACTTCAGAGTACATGCTAAGCGGAAGAATAATTTTTATAGCAAGTCGGCGTCTGGTAGCAGTGCCTAAGATGCCTCAGAATGAGATAGACTTTACTAACAATGGAATTTACTTGATCCGTGCACGTAAGATTAGAGTTAATAATGAATCCTAAGTTTTTAATCTTGCTGACTAATTTTAAGGATCAATTGTCTATGAATATCGGGGACAAAAAATCCACATGTTTCAGTTTTCTAGCACTGATTAGCTGCTCACAGGACTTGTTTTTATTTAAAATTAAACCGCTGGTAGCCGCCCAGCTAGAGATATCAGCCAAGTCAGCATTAATGCTTTTACATAACTCTTTAGCTTGGTCAAAAGGTACAGATAAATATAACTGAATGTCATCAGCATAACCATGCAGGTTTAAAAATTTGCACACACTGAAGATGTCATTAATATATATGCTGAAAAGTAGGGGACCAAGGATGGAGCCTTGAGGCACCCCTGAAGTAACTGGCTTGAGTTGCGATGTGTCTTCCCCAATTTTTACTACCTGAAACGTGTCAACAAGGTAGCTTTTCCCAAGCTTTAAAGTACTACAACTAAAACCATAGTACGCTTTCAACTTACAGCTTAATAACTCATGGTTGACCATGTCAAATGCTTTTGAAAAGTCAAGTGAGCAAAGCAAATTCATCTTTAGTACCGCAGTAGTACAGTTGTGATTTTTCCTGCAGCCTAATTGAAACGGAGATATTAAGTTGTGCTTGCTTACAAATTTATTTATTTGCTTAGCTAAAAACATCTCAAAAACTTTAGACAATACAGGGAGGATGCTTATTCGTCGAAAATCAGACGGACTATAAGGATGGTTCTTTTTAGCGACAGGTAGAACAGTGCCAATTTTCCATTGCTCTGGGAAGCAAGACGTGGTTATACAATGATTAATAATGTGCGTTAGTGTCCCAAGAATGCAGGGTAGTATAATTTTTATGAATTTAATTGGTAAACCATCATGCCCTATTGCATTGGATGAGATTTCAAATATATATATATATATATACAATATCATTTGCAACATCATATTCACTAACAGCTGAAACTAGAAAACAATCATCCCTAAACAAAAAATCATCCCTGGATATAAAGTTAATAGTGTCACTGTGAGAAACACAGCTTAGAAGTAAGGCATTATTAACTACATTTGCTTCTAAGGAACATTCGACATTCTTCTAACCAAGTCGTTTAATTTTACGCCATAGAACCTTTGTTGAGTGACGCTCGACAGGCCTTATAATCGATATTAAGGAGGCTTATCCCACGATAATTAGCGCAGACTATGGGGTCCTCTTTTTTATAGATTAAGAGGATTACACTTAAATTCAAATCGTCGGGCATGCAAAGAAGCTGACGCATGCACGATAGGGGTTTCTGGTCCACCATCTCCGGATTATCCTTGTGGACTTTGTGGTGCCTATGTTTACATGTTGTCACATATAGATACCGTTACCATCAAAATGAATATTAGAATATAAATTTTCGATTTCGCATTTTGTGCTCAATATAATACATATAAAAGACATGTAAAAAGTTTTTAGCTAAATAACATCTTTACATAGTGTTTTTACCTTAGTTAAATGAATATTATGAAAGTATTCCAAAGTAAAAGTAATTCATTCATTCATTAAAAAAGTGTGGGTAATCAATTCAATTAAAATAAATAGTAATAAAAAAGAATTGAGCTTTATGAGTATAAAGATTGTGAACAGTTGCAAGTTGGCTAACTCATTCTACACTCGGACTTGTACTGAATAATTAGTGTCAAACAAACCACGAATGGTGATTCGAGTGTGAGCGAACATGGCCGTTCAGTAAATTTTGTCACCATTTCGTATTCTGAGTTCACTGTCACTGTAAGTTTTGTTTCCAGCAACATAGGAGGTAACAAATAATCAGCTGCTCGATTTTGAGTTGTTAATTTGTGAAAGAAAAAAAAAAAACAAAATGTATAGACATATTTTACATCTAGCATTAAAGATGAATAGAAAGAAGGCGCATGAAGCTTGCGAGAAAAATTACCATTTTAATTCATCATTCAGTATTTTCGCCTCAACAAAACAATTTGTTTTAAGCTTACAAACGAATTGGCATCAATTGACAAGGGAGTAGATGTTCATTTTCGTATGTAATTTTTTAATCAAAATTATTTTAGACTCAAGACATCGTTGCCGTTGTATTTGCGGCTTCTCTCAACAATATATTTCTTTTCCGACGGGCCGCATCAGGAATTCGTTGGAAGCAATTGTCTAACTGCAATGAGCCAACTTTCTGTCTCGCGATCACCGCACTATTTCTCAAACTTGATTGTCAAAGTAAAAGCCGGGAAAATTTAAATTTACCCAAAAACAAAAGAAAGGCCAATATCTAAATGAATATTCTTCTTTTTTCTTTACCAAGCTTGCACATGTAATTTGACATGGACAGTGCTGCCAAAGTTTTTTAAACATTGTAACCAGTTCGCCTGAATACTAAATTCTTTTTCGGATAACAAAATTTACTTTACCGGTAAAAGTGAGAATATGCCTGTATGAGAACAGCATGTTACTGTGATTTCGCTTGAAAGTTTGAAATCGTATTGTTGCGAAAATGCGAGGCGAATGTCAGATGAAAGAGAGAAGCCGATAACTAGTACGTTCTAGAAACGATAAAACAAGAACCTTCCATAGCGAACAATTCGATGCTTCTACGCTTTCGTCTGCGAGCAGCCGACTGCTATATAAAGGCGACACTCAGCTGCAAGTCAAGCAGTGACAAAGCGAATTGGTTGGCGTTAACATCAGTGAAGGCGTAAAGTGAACGCGTTGGGAATTACATTTAAGTAGAGTAAATTGTGAAAGTTGATGTTAGTGATTATAAATAGTAAAGTGCAGTATAATTGAATTGTGAATTACTGAGAAAATAAAGAACATTAGGTTAATTCTTTATAACGAAAGAGACTGCAAATTAAGTTGGCGAGTTTTTATTTAACAATCCAGAGATCGTACCCGAAGGATCTAGAAAATAATCGAGGTTGATTTAGTAAAATCGTAACAGTATTGAGGTTTAGGAAAGATATATGAAATTAAATCACGTAGGTGGCATCACTTTGAATTCTGTTTTTCATTGTTTTCTACGGTTTATTTTATGTTAGCTGAAATTTTTCGGAACGGTTTTTGAGATAGTGCTTATGAAATTAATGTGGAGAAATATATAAAACATTTAGTGTGTTCCTTGTATTTGTGATAAGCAAGATGATATATTAACTTTCTTTAAATGGTGAATTACTAATTTTATATAAAAGTATTGTCCAATACTAAAACCATGAAAGTTGACACAAGCAAACTAAAAAAGAGCTCTTCTGAGCTCACGCCAGAATGCAGATTACTTATTGATCTTTTAAGCAAGTGTCGCAGTAAAAGTGATATTACGCGATTTCTAGAAACAATAACGGTGTGGACTTATGGGAAATGCGAGCTTTATCATTGGACTCATATTTTGGATCGTTTTGACAAAATTTTAGAGGAGGGTGCGAGACAGGTGGATGACAATGAATTTATGTTGTTTTGCGATATAAAATTCTCAAAAGAGGTAAATTTCTCAATTTAAAAAAAAAAAAACGTTTAACAAAATATGTTTTCTTTAAGTTTTTATGTTTATGAGATTAGATTCTGTATGCTTGATAAAGATTTACTTCTGGTCCTTTCCCATGATAAAGGCATAATAGAATTATTGAAACAAGTTTAAAGGTTTAAAAGAGTGAACAATTTTAGAAAGGGTATCAAATTCTCACATTTGGTAGAACGTAAATTGTTCATGTTATCCCTTGATATTCATACTTTGTTTAAGACATTAATGTTATTGTTGTTGTAACCGCAAAAATATTCCCCAAAGTACTTTTTTGGGAATGTTGCGGGAGTGAAAGTCCTTGGCCGGACAAATATCCGGGTCCTTCCGGTATAAATACTCGACTGTCGCTTTTATATTGCTTAATATTACATTTTATATAAGAACTTGTATTCCTTAACAAATGAAATGTAATCCATTATTTCTGCATTTCGTGTTCTATAATTGACATTGTATAATGATAGATTGCGTTAGAATGTTGATATATTGCTCTAAAAAAATTATTGGAGAAGTGTTCATCTCATACCTCAGTAGTGTTTGAGCGCCTGTCAAAAATCTACTCAAATAAAGGGAAAATACACCATATTCTAAAAATTTTTCTTCAAAAGGCGAAAACGCAAGTCAAGCAGCGGAAAGCGACCTGAAATGTTTTGTTATGTGCCTGTTGAAATTAGCAATGAATCATACACTATCGCTGCTCCCCTACCGGACTGTACGGACAACAATGGGACCGTCATAAAGAAGCATACGCCCCGAAGCGATTAGCTTTGGTCAACAGAAAGGGATTTATATTATATTTAGGGACGACAACTCCTGATCTTATACATCGATAGTGACTCGCCAGGAGCTCCGACTTGGTTTAGATATTGTCTATAGTGAATGACTTGGCTGGCGAAGAATAGGAATCAGGAGAAGCATGTGAAACCCGATTGTCACAATTTTTCGCAAATACAGCCAAGGGTTTCTATGTTAGGGGCATAATGACATTACTTTAGAAGTGGCAAAAAGTATGCATATTGGACATAAATCAATTCTAACTATAGTTAATAAAGCCTTCAATTTAATGCATAAAAAAATGGATTACATTTGACTAGAACCTTGTTTACACATAACTTGCACTGGCAACCAGAGTTATGTAGGAAGAAACAATTTCAAGACACCAATCTAACATACTATGTATATATAAATATTATGGGATTTGAATAATCGTAAAAATTGCAAAGAGAGGATGTCAAAAGGAACTCTGATGCGGATATTTCAGTTCTACTAACTAAATTAGATGCGGATATTATCTGGCGTAGTCTGTCGTTAGAGGCGACTAAAATCTAATAGTTTCCGGGACAGTCGGGTCTTTATACCGGAACGACCAGGATTTTTATTCGGCCAAGGACTGACACGGTTACAAAACAACAACAACAACATCTACGGTGTTCTAAGTGAACAGAAAAAGGAAAATATAGAGTCGTCAAACTAGGCAAGCTCACAACCAAAGCACTGCCAAAAATAATAACGGATAAGTGTAAAAGTTGGACAATTCAAAACAAGTGTTTTGGTTTACAGATTTTAACATTCGATGTACAAAGATCGAAGATCTCAGTCTAATCGCACCTTAATACGTAATTACAAAAATACAACTAAAATTATTCCTTATATGATAAGTCGTAAGTCATCTTGTGGGAGGTAAAGGAGCTTACAGGTGTAGCAATATATAGTGCAATGATCTAGTGTCATGTGTGATCTCAGAGAATGCGGAACATACGTTGCGTTTGTCGGAGTCAAGTCTGGATAGGCTCAGCATATCATTAAGTCCCTTAACTCGTATCATAAATGCTTCGCAGTACAAGTCCAGATCGGAGCAACATAGTTTGCGACCGGCCAGCTAATTGTGTTGTATGTTACCAGTAATGTATCTTTGTCTTTTAAACAGGTGATGCCGGATAACGTATTTCGGATATTATTGCGGCTCCGTAAGTTTTTGGCAATAACATGCGTAGTGAAGGAGTGTTGGAATTTTTACGCCACCGACTTTTGCATGGGGTTTAAGTCCGTACTCCTTCGTTCAGCTAGTAAATAGGGTAGCCCACGATCTCCCAGATTGTAGCTGTTATTGCCTTTCAGTGAACATATCCTGACCGAATTCCTAATCGTTCCACAAAATTTGGGCATAAACGATGTACCTGGTGCATCGATCAAATTCTCTAATAGGTACATCCATTTATTTTGGTAAGGCATCATAATGGACACTCATGTCAATTTCCGCATCCTGTTTTAACTGGCACTTAAGGGAAATAACCTGGCTTAATGGGGCTCAAATATCCTTTATCGTTAATCGAATCCAAAAAAAAAAAAAAGATTTTAAATTGCATGATATTTTTCTGGTTGTGTTGCTTTTTTATGGTTTTATAGAAGAAGGTGCACATTTGATAAGTATATATACCCAGCGCAAATAATTTTGATAATGCGTCGTTTTTGTATAAGCACCGCTCCAGTTAATGAGTTTTCTAAGACTCAAATGTGCGACCGCTTTCAACTCGGTTAGAAGTGCTGTACTCTACTGTATTCTTATTATTCGGGATGTTGCACAAATTGGAGAGCAATATATCAAGTTATTTTCATAAGTTCAGTTTGGTAATCAGTAATTTAAAATTATAACATTTAAACAGGTAGTTTCGTTTTTATATTTTTATGTAACTCCATAATTTGACGCTTATTCTGTAGTTAGAAGAGCTTCTGGTCCCTTATTCTGAAAATATCTGCTGTTGTATGGTATTAAAATTTATTCAATTTATTTCCTACTGTTGTTTACTTTTCTGTGATAGTTAACTGTTCATCATAATAAACACATTGAGAATTTTCTTCAAGTGAAAGTTGCATTAAAAGCTCAAAAGTGGGAGAACTATGTATAGAATGTAAATTACTTTACAAGCAATGTGTATATGTATAAGTATTGATTATTATAACAATAATAGTGATAATAATCCGAATTTCTTTTTTCAGGATGTTCGTCTGCTGCTACTCGTATTGAACTTTACAACGCTGCTGATTGAACATTCTTTTTCAAGGCATCTTTATAATTCAGTTGAGCATCTGACTCAGTTGCTGTCATCTCAGAATATGGACATCGTGCTAGCCGTTTTGAATTTGCTTTATATGTTCTCCAAAAGAAGCAATTTCATACCACGCCTATCACTGGAGAAGAAAGATATGCTTTTAACAAAGCTCTATAATATTGCGGAAGTATAGTCACTATTTCTTTGTTCTTTGAGTTCAATCATTTAGTTATGGATATTTTATAGCGTTGGGGAGATCCAAATTACGGATTGGCTCTTATAGATTGTTGCATAAGAAAACCAAAATTGGAGTTTTTGTATCAACTCTCTATTGAATACGCGGACGAAAATGGTCAAGTAGTTTTATTGGAAATACCTGATATGGTGAATACTTGCAAAGGTTTACCTATTTCAGAGGTCGTAAAGGCGATATGTGGTCATATGAAAAACCCATCAGAAGCAGTTAAGGTAAGTCGAAAAGCAATAAAAATATATATAACTATCAAACTGGAACAATAATACAGAAATAGTAAATTTGTTACACATTCTTGATCCGAAAGTAAAAAATGATAGTTCATAACATTGTACCTTGGGATAAAACAGTCAAACCCAAAGAGCATTCCACATCATAGGAGCCAAGCGCTTGCTTCCATCAAAAGGGTAGATGATTTCGACATGAGAATGTTGTTTCTCTGAGAGTTTTTCTGATGTTCAAAAAAAGTTGTTTGATAGAAATTTTTCAAAAGGTCTCAACAATAATATCAATCCAGTCTATACTGTAGTCTATTTTATAAGTAGAAATAACATGATTTTAAATTTCGGAAGACTTCCTGGCAAGATCTTACTGAGATGTTTCTCTATGAAATAAGATGTGGTCCTCGCTGATATTAACCTTCGAAATAATGAAGATGAGTTTTTAAATTAATAAACAATATACATATATATTTTTCAGATGAGAATTGCACATAGAATTCGTCTTGTATCTGGATTTAGGGATCAAAAGCTACGTTTGCAGTTTGTACAAGCACGTTTACAAGCCATTTCCGTACTGATATACTCCAATGCCTTACAAGATAATGTTGAGAGGATTCTTTACTCGGGATTTGGTGAAGAATTGTGTGAACTGATAGACAAGGAGGATGTATATTTAGTAGAAATCCGCGCTGCCGTACTAAGAACATTAACTTCTATGTTACACTTTGATCGGAATCCTAATGTACCAAGGTATGTATGCTTTGTCATTGTTACTGTTTCCATCATTCAAAATGAGTATTTCATTGCAGACCAGGCTCACGGTTGTCGAAAATAATTCAGTATACTGGAGCCGAACGCCAGGGTGGCATCCTACCACTTTTAGTGCGCGATTGTATAACAAGCTTAACCAATGAAGGAATTTGCGAAAAATACCCTTTGGTTTTAGCAACGTCATTATTCAGTTTGCTTTACCATTTAGCCAGTTATGAAGCTGGAGGTCATGCTTTGGTAAAAAGTGGCATGATGAAATCTTTGTTGCAAGTAATCAATTGGCCCGGAGTGGATTTGGAACATATAACGTTTGTTACAAGAGCAGTTCGTGTTATAGATTTAATAACTAATATTGATATCGTCAAATTTCATCAATGCAATGGTCTCAATATATTTATTGATCGCATGGAGAAGGAAATCAATTGCTGCAGAGAATTTCTTTCTAATAAGGAAAAAAAGGCTGAATTCGTAGACAATTTAGAGCAAACTTCAAATGGTAATATCAATTAAAATTCATACACATTTAACTTTTATATACGTAACAATTATGATTTTTATACAAAATTCACCCTTACAGTTAGATAAGATCATAAATGAATTCTTTTTATTCCACATTAAAAGAAAATATTCTATTGTAGAAAAAAAAATTGAAAAGTAAATAACAATTAAAAGAAAAAGTTCGTGCAAAAATTACTATGATTAAAAATTCCCAAAATAATCATAAAGTATAAATTAAATTATCTCAAAAAATTGTGTATCATTCAATGTACATCGTTTTCAATCCAATATTTCGTAATGATCATTGATATTTGCTACTTTGAACAGATATATTTTTAAAACTTTATAATTTATCGCTTATGGTATAGGTCTCCTTATTCATTATTTTTATTTTATTTTTATTTTACGTATACATCCCTTTTATGTATATATTAACAAGTGTTGTTTTATTTCAAATATAGTAGTGGATCAAGGAAATGGGGATAATGCACAATCTGAAACATTCGAAGATAATGCAGCTTATAATAAACGGAGTGAAATGGAGAAGTCGTCATCACAATCACCTATACTGGATCAGGAGGGAAGAAAACTGGCATGTGTTACTCAAAGGGCGGCTTTGTTAAAATCCATGCTAAATTTTTTAAAAAAATCAATACAAGATCATTCACATTACTATGGGATGCGTAATATAATGGAAACTTCGTTGCCCAAATCGCTACAACACATAGTAATGAATGCCGAGTATTACGGACCATCGTTATATTTGCTAGCGACTGATGTTGTTACGGTTTACATATTCAATGAACCATCACTTTTATCATCCTTACAAGAAACTACTCTGACGAATGCAATTTTTCGATCTTTACTGCACAAACAAGTACCAGCAACAAGAGAAATTTTAGGATCATTGCCAAATATATTTTCAGCTCTGTGTCTAAATGAACGCGGTCTCATGGAATTTATGTCCTATGATCCATTTGATAAGTTCCTAAGGGTATTGCTCTCGCCTGATTATTTAGTAGCGATGCGCAGGCGGCGATCTTCAGATCCATTAGGAGACACTTCTACGAATTTGGGAAACGCAATGGACGATCTTATGAAACACCATCCGTATTTACGTACAGATGCAATAGAGGCCATTGTGCGGCTACTACATGAACTAGTACGATATGGATCTGACTCTCGATATATATGCTGGCGGGCTCATAAGGATAATAGTAATTCCACGGCTAACACCTCGACTGCGAATAATCAACAAAGTCCAGTTACAGATGGTGCACTGGAGTTGAGGTGCAATGAAAATGATAGCAGCGGGGAAGATGATGAAGACGACGATGAAATGTCGTCTGCTTCGCAACAGCAACAGCAACAACAAAGGCAAAGTCGAACTATAGAACAACAAGTGCAAGTGCGATCAAATCATGAAAGAGAAGCCATACCCTTAATTGACTATATATTAAATGTGATGAAATTTATAGATGCAATATTCAGTAATAGCTCAAATGGTGATCATTGTCGAGAATTCGTAGCGCATGGTGGTCTACAGCCATTACTTCGTTTGTTATCATTACCAAATTTACCCATTGACTCCCCTGTATCCACAACAGCACAAGCCGTTGCCAATGTATGTAAATCTGTTTTGAATTTAGCCCACGAGACAACAGTTATAGATATAGCTCTAGAAGAGCTGTCGAAAATAATAGACAACTTAAAGCCGCTTATATTGAACTTCAATTTCCCCGGAGGTAGTATACTCTTGCGAGAATTAATGGCATGCCCAAAACTAGATGATGGGTTTTCAACAGCAGATTATACACCACTCTTGCATAACATGAGTTCAGTTCATGGCTATGTGGTGCTCCTTGTTCACCTATGTCGTAATGCATCTAGTGATATGCGATTAACTTTGCTGAATCGTTGGGGAAACAATTCTGGTACAGGGTTACAATTGTTACAAAGCCTAGTTCGACTTTATATATCTTTGGTATGGGAGAGTACCATCTTATTAAGTCTTTGCTCTGATGAAATATCTGAAACTGGATTATATGATTCATCATTTGGCGAACAGACGGCGGATGTTGAAAAGGAGGATTCTACAATAAAGAAATTAAGTTCCATTAAATTCAAGGTAAAAACAGATGATCAATTGCGATATATAAAGTCGTTGTTGGCGGCCTCATCCCGTCTAGGGCGAGCATTAGCAGAGCTCTTTGGTACTTTAGTTAAGCTTTCCGTTGGTACACCCCAAGCGCGACAGCGTCGAAGTAATGATTACTCGGCAAACAATGCAAATAATAAGATTCCACCAGCGGATGCCAAAGAAATCGCTCGAGTACTTAGTTCAATTCTTGTAAACGGTTTTAGCCATGAAGACAATGCATCGAAACCAGCACCAAAGCTAAAGTTAACATTTCTCATTTGTTCAGTGGGATTTACTGGTCCAATGCTATTTGATGACAAACGTAGTTGCTTTCATTTAATGATCTCACAATTTTGCGAAGAAAATGGTTTAAGAGCATTTTTCGATATGTTCTACTGGGCATTATCACTTGATAATAGTTCGAATAACTTTGGTTTTGATGGTTGCCTATTGTTGGATAATATTTTACAAAATGCACCAAGCGATTCCAATGAATACCCAACCGGCACAGGAGAATTTATTGATGCGTGGTTGCAGTTGCTTGAAAAAATGGTAAACCCACGAGGAATTCTGGATTCACCTTACGCATTGTCTACCAAAGGCAGTCAAAGTACAGACGCCATAGATTTTGAGCCAATTTTTTACTTGGTACAGATGCATCAACTAGCTATGCACGTTGTAAGGCGAATTTGGAAACGCAAGCCTATCCCCAATTATGGAGTATCTATAACAGAGACAATAATGGCAATTTTAAAACATATTATTAAATCATACAATATGATATGTAACAAATATAAAGCGCGGTTAGATGAAATCCAAAATGCTGACAAATTACTTGATCAACGAAAGAAATCTGCGAAAACTGCTGATGAAGGGTATTTAAATGCTAATCACTTCAAAGTATTAACTGATATGGGATTTGGCCAACAACATGTGTTGGACGCTCTTCGAAGTACACGCTCTCTCGAGCAAGCTACAGAGTTTCTGCTCAACCATCCGGAAGCAACAACAGGTGAAACTCAAAATATTCAAAGCGTATCAATACCATTAACTTCATTACCTGCTGGTAACGACATGGATATTGATATTGACTCAGCGTCGACTTCTACTTCGGCTTCGGCTTCGACTTCGAACAGAACGAATGAACCAAAATGCAATGCTAAAAATAAACAATCTGGAAGTTTTAGTGACGTTGAACCTTTACCAAATGAAATCTTCAATCAGTTTTGCAACGAGGTTTTTGAAAGAGTTTTTGCATTTATGGAATATTTACCCGAAACTGTCAACACGGGTACTGAGCTTTTATCCGCATTGTATCGACAAAACAACCACCAAAACAAACGTGAATTTATGGTAAATCTTGTGAACGGCGTTACAGAGTGTATGGAACAAATAATTAATATTATAAAAAATGAAAAGATTACAAAAACACCCCAATCAGAAAATATGCTTTTTGAAGTAGTCTCATCAAAACTCTTAATACGTCTCAAGGTATCAACGATACTTCTGGATGAAAATTACAGCGACATCAGAAAAGAATTTTGTGCTATGATTTCGCAAGAGAAATCTATGCACGTTATCGTTAATCTTCTATACGAAACTGAAGCTTTATTGAAAGAACAAACACTAATTGGTGTTAAGCCACAAGCTCCTCAATGGCTACAGAACTTTATAGAGTTTATTGATGCTATTGATAATGTCTGCGTAATTTTACAACGCAGAGAAAATATGCGTGCAGTATGTAGTGACAAATGGAGATGGTATGACGTATCGACGGGAAAATGGAATTCATACACTGAGTCTAATAACAATTTACTTAAAACTGCTTTTGCTATGGGAGAAAAATCTCAGGTGATAAATATCGGACGTCAACGTTATACTGTAAACTTCAATTATATGACGCAAGTGAGTGAAGCATCAGGAACTCATCGGTCTGTATTACCAGACTTGAAAATATCCGAAGCTATATGTGCTCTTAGAAATGGCAATCCCAATACAAAAACCGATAGTATTCTTACTCGCAGCATTCGCTCTAAACCTGGTAGTGACGGTGTGATTTATAAAGATGAAGTGATTTGTCTTCGTTCGTTGACAAATGTGTCACAAGGTAAAAAAGAGAACGAAAATGAGAATACAGAGCTGACCGCAGAAACAGACATGCAACATACGTGTACTACGGTGGTTGAAGAAGGTACTTCGTTTGGACAAAAGAAAATCAAACTAAAAAGCTCAATAAAGCCATCGTCAAAAAAAAGTGCATCAGGACTTTCTAAACATAGTAAAAAGATCGTACTTCATGAAGAATTGGTCGGACTATCTCGTGAAAATTGTACTGATATAATCGCTTGTCTTGTTCATTTATTGCAACCAGAAATTATGATAGACTTCGAGACAAAGCTTTCGATTATGAAATTGTGCGCTCGTTTAACAAAAGACTATGAGAATGCAAAGGCGTTTTATGAAAATGGAGGAATATCACTATTGCTCAAGATGCGTCAAAGTTGCGGAATGATGGAATTCCCTACTTATGCTATCGTTATAATTCGTCATGTTCTTGAGGCTCCTTCGGTTTTGCAAGATTCCATTGAAAGAATTTTAACAACGCGCTCTGCACTTACCGTTCCAGTGGGACATCGTGATCTGGTGTATTTTCTTACGCAGGTATCTTCAGCGGTGGCAAGGCATCCTACGATATTCCTCATGGCCGCAAAGCAATCTTTACAGGCTGATCATGCATTGAGCTCGAACTTTCCGTTAGACGAGTCTAGGTTTCTTATAAAATCTCAAACTACAAATAAATCGAGTGAGACACTTGTCAGTGGGATTTCGAAATTTGATGATGCCTCAGAAGAAACGGTGGAAGATTTATTAAGGGCAATTGTTCAACCTTGTGTACATTATGGAGGCCTGCCTTCAAGTGAAGATCATGGTGACTGTAATATCAGCGTAGATGGGACCTCTTTAACAACACAAGCAGATAAAACTCAAGTTAAGCCATCGTCTTCGAAAAAATGTACAGAAAATCTCGATATCAATCCTTGCTGTTGCAGCTGGCATATACCATCTACGAGCCATACGCATCAAAAACCAATACTTCCAAGATCGACTTTGTTGAAAATTTTGTCTGATGCCGTTAGATCCTACCAGTGCTTAGTTCCAAGAATAATAATTGAATATACATATACGCCAGCCGACAGTCCGTTAATTACCAAGCCTCAATCATGTATCTCATTTATTCTCGACCATTTTCTCCCAATAACTAAACGTCAACAGGACCCTGAAGTAAGTATGATGTCCAGAGTTCTATTATCCTCTCTATCGGATTGTGTTAGCCAACCAACAGTACAGTCTAAATTGGTAGAAGAACTGCATGACGCTATAGTTCGAACCTTGACTGAGCCCAATTACACAGAAAAGCATGTCCGCCTACAAGTGCTTATTAGCTTGATTCCGGTGATGGTTGAAAGTCCAATGCTCTCTAGTAAAGTGCACATGCAACGTAATAATATGTATAGAATATTGTTGAGACAGGGTATAATGACTGATTTATCTAAACTTGCTCAATATAAGGACTTGTCCAATTCTAATACATTGGTGACAGTACATTCAACTTTGCGTCCAATGGAAATTTTATTGAGGCTAACCATAACTCCAGGTGCTCTATCGTCGAGGAGAATATTTTTCGGTACACCGCCGACTGGAAGCAGTGCAGTTGTGAATCGTCGATTATACCCAAGGTTAACATCTCGAACCTCAAACGAAAATACTGGATCAGTGGGAGGTGAACATGTCCTTCGGGATATTATACGTAATGTACTTTCCGACCGAAGGCAGGCGTTTGATTTCATTTTAAATAGCGAAGATATATTCTTGGACTCTGAAGATCCATCCAACTCCATGGCAACCGGCAACGATGACAACGAAGACAACGTTCGCGAATCGCATCTCTTAGCTTCATCAAATTTACGGCCTCAAATAAATTTTGATCAGTTGTGGGATGATCTGCTACAAAATGGGCATGTGGCATTTTTGGGTAGAAGTTCTGACTCCAATAATGGTCCCACTGAGGGCAATAGAATAGATACAAGAAATAATCGTTCAGATTCTAATCAAGGTGCAAATACAGAAAATGGTGTAAATGGTGGTAGTGATGGTGCTTCAACTTCATCAGAGCTTGTTGCCGCCGTTGTAGACAATTCAACCTCTTTATTGGGAGAGGTTAGTACGAGCGAATCAGAATCTGATTCAAATGCTTCGACAGAAAATGACCGTAATGACGATGATGACGATGACGAAGAAGATGAGGATGGCAATGAAGAAGACGCAGAAGATCATAGCGAAACTGATGCCGATGAAGAAACTCGTCAGTTTATTGAAGTTTTTGATCATATTTATGAGCCCGAATCATCTGAAACCGCTTCAAATGACGCTGACGATGAAGCATCAGAAGTCAGTGGCAGAAGTGGGGAACAAGTAGTCAATGGATCGGATGCTGACGACGAAACCTCAGAGGTTACTAGTAGAATTTCCGAGCAAGTGGTCAATACAGCTAGTAATATTACTACCGAAAATAGAAATATGAATTCTTCAGAAAATCGGGAAGCTCATGCCGATATTCCAAGCAATATTTTGCTATTATCTGAACCAGTTGCTCGTAGCAATAATACCCAGTCATCTTCAGATGCTACCAACAATATATCTGCCCCAACGTTTGCAGAAAACAATGCAACGAGTAGAGAAGAAAGTTCCGGACGAACAAATCCTTCGTCTGTGTGGATTGCACCCAGACTTGGCTCAACAAGAAGCGATATAAACTATGCGACTAACGCGGAATCAGGAAGTACTTCTACAACGAATCATGAACGTATTCAAAATAATGCCACAACTGTTTTTGTTGGATCAACAAATAATTCGTTTATTCAAAGACGAGAATCTACCAGACGATTGATTTTGCTGGATCAACAGTATTGCACTTTAATGCCCTCGTTTAACAATCCGACCGAGGAAGGGCAGCTTGATATATTTAATCAAGATAGTTTACATTGGTGGCTCGAAGAATCTAAACACTTGGACTTGGAGTCACAAACAGATGCTTGCTTATACGTCGCTCACCTGTTGATTCCGTTCTTAATTAAAGTCTTCAAAGAGGGTCAAAAAGTTAAAACAACAGATCAATCAGTTTCCACTAACACCTACAACTCTCCTAATCGACGCAGTGCTATACCTGTATTTATTCAACAAGCAGCCAATACAAACGGTGGCTCGGGAAATGCTTCATCCGCTAACGAGACTGCTGCGGAAACCGTGACTGAAAGAGATGAAAATACTGCTATATCCAGTGAGATACAAGAGCAACAGGATCAAATATCGAATGATGATGCTGGTGATGCGGAATATTCGAGTGAAGAAGAGAATCCAACTATTTTAGTAACGAACGAAGATGAAAATATTCCGGATGTTGAAGACGACTGCGAGGATGTACAAGATGATAATAATGCCCAACAACCAACAGATTTGAGAGAAGTAAACACGGCTTTTGATATTCAACTTGACAATGAAATGCAAACCGGGTTAGAGCAACCTTCTACTGAAGATATAGATAGTTTAGTTTCTCACGCTTCTCAACTTTATGCAACAAATGCTTCCGTGGAAATGACTTCGGATAATATTGTATTGGAAGATATAGAAGAGGTGCCTGCTGTGAGCCAAGAACCCGTTGTTCCGGCAGTCGAAACAGTAGAACAGCAATCTGAAGAAGTCGCAGGAGCAGTAGCTGTGTCGGAAACTCCTCCAACAACAATGAACGCCGAGGTCCGCGCAGCGTTAGGTGACCTTCAAGTTCCAGAGGGCGTTGATCCATCGTTTTTAGCTGCATTACCAGCTGAAATGCGTGAAGAAGTTATCAATGAGCACTTAAGAATGCAACGTATACGTCAAAGAGCACAACAAAATGCAATACAAGTTGCTCATGATTCGTTAATTGAAGTAAATCCGGAATTTTTAGCCGCTTTGCCACCTAACATTCAAACAGAAGTTTTAATGCAGCAAAGAATAGAACAACAACGACAAGCTGCTTCGGCAGCAAATCCTGATGATCCGGTTGATACAGCAGCATTTTTCCAAAATTTGCCAGAATCATTACGTCAAGCAATTCTTACTGATATGGAGGAGTCACAAATTGCCAGCTTGCCACCAGATCTTGCTGCCGAAGCACAATATTTGCGGCGCGATTGGGAGAGTCGAAATGGTCCTAGTGCGGATACACCACATGTCCTCCGCCGTTTTCCATCCTCTTTACAAAATTTGACAGATGATTCAAGATGGCATTCGAATTCGATATGGTATGAAGCACATGGTAATCAACAACCGCAACATCATCAGCACACAACCATAGTACATCAACATCAGCAACAGATTCATGGCAAACCGATCGCATTGCTCTTCATGGAGGATGATAATAATATGCTTGATCCAGATTGTCTAGCAACAATACTTTTATTCTTATTTACCGAAGATACTAAAATTAATTATACTCGTTTTCATCGTGTTATACGCAATCTTTGCTATCACGCTCCAACCAGAACCTGGATTATAAATGCTTTGATAAGTATAATACAAAAGACGAACGAAGAGAATGTAAAAGAATCCGATCAGTCTATCATCAAGCCCAATTGGCTGAAACTAAGAGTCGATGCAGCTTTTGGTTATAAGTCAAATGTATTTATAATAAATGAAACACAACCCAATGCCATTGATTATAATTCAACATCCAACTTTAATATTAGTATAAATCCCCAGGCAGCGCAGATGGTTGTAAAGAATTGTCTAGATTTATTATTCGTATTAGCAAGGCATTTTCCACGAAGTTTTGTGCCTTTCAAACCAGATCCGAAGAAAAAAACAGATCTTGCCGAAACGCATGACAACAGCAGAAACTTGTCTATGTCTGGAGGTATTAGTACCGGAAATACAACAGATATGGATATAACAAACAGTCTATTAAATATAAACAAACCTGCTCAAAAGTCCTCAGATTTAAAATTAGACGAGGGACCATCAACATCAAAAGCTGCAGCCAATCGTGGTCAAAAAAACAACTCATTCGGAGCCAAGAGCAAGCATGCTAAGAAAATTGCATACAACACTAACGGAAAACACTTCTGGGATGTTCTTTTGAAAATCGATTTGCTTACTCCGCAACGCATTGCGAACATGCAAGATTTTCCAATCACTTCATATCCTCGGTGGGAGTGGGAAGAGCCGAATACTGATTTTCAATCATTTAATGACACGCCGTTTTCTAAATTACTGGAAATGCTTCCGTATAAAGTCATATGTAGATCTCCCCAACTTACAGATATGCTTGTAAAATTGTTAGCCTCCCTCAGCGGAGAACTTCCAAAAGAAAGTGAGTTAGACGAAAGCAAACTGAATAATAAATTTTCGGATATAGATGAGAATAGCCAAGGTAATACTACAACAAATCTTGAGTCAAATCAGAAAGATGAATCGGCTACTAACGTGGAGACTAAACTATATGCTACCGGCTACCGTATTAAAAACAAATTGTATTCGAAAAACTTTTCACAACTGCAGTTAGTAACAGAGGTGTTGACTCATCAATGTGGCACCGTTGACGGTCTTGATAACATCTCTAAGTTGATCGTCAATTTAAGTCAGTGTTCGCACGCATCGAATGCAATATTTCTTGAGTATTTGTCATCAGCAGTATTTGGGCTTGCAAAGGAGGTCCGTTTGGCTATTCAAAATTTACTTGATGAAATTCATTCCTATAAAATAGTACATAACAAACTTGATACTGATACAAAGTGTGGTACAGCATCTCCAAATAAATCAGTGCTCGAGGGAATTATGCAAGACCGATTTACTTCAGAAAATGTTATTATTTCGGCACCAACAAACTTTAAACCCTCATGTGAATTGCAGTTACCGTCAATAAAAAAATTACTCTCGCCTTCATCAGCTCAATTATACTTTTTGAAAACTCTTAAGATATTTATACAAGTTCGTGAGATATTCTACTCTGATGATTCTGTGATCATAGATTCAGCAAACAAAAAGCCTACTCTCAGTCAAATAATATCTCTACAAGATCTCTGGAACACTCTTAGTGATTGTTTAGTAGCTTTGGAAGAGTCAAAGGATGAATATGCTGTACTTGTATTACAGCCTACAGTCGAGGCATTTTTCTTAATACACGCAACGAATAAGAAAAATGAAACTAAAACTCCTGCTAATAATGAGATCCAAAATTCTACATTAGACGTTATAGATGAAGCCAGTATTAATACGAATCCATCCAGTGCAAATACAGGCAATAGTGCAGGTGAGTAAGGACATGTCATTTTCTGACACATCTCATTTCCAATCGAAAGAAATAGGGACCAGCTTCAACGCACAATGAAGGATAATCTATTTTATTTTATATGACGGGTTTCTCGTATTCTCATCTCTTTAGAAGATTATTTGACAGTTCTTGGGCTGTTGCCAGAATATTTTCATTTCTTTATAAATTCTTACACGTAAAACTTTTTTTCTTAGATACATCCGATGTACAAGTTCAACCAAGTTCTGGCGAATTTGCAGAGAATATACGTAAATCTGGTATACGTGCGAATCCATTAGAAGTTCAGCAACGATTAGATAAGGAGAACTTTTTGTTATTTGCTGAAAAACATAGAACTGTACTCAATCAAATACTTCGTCAATCCCCTATTCATTTATCGGATGGGCCTTTTGCTGTTCTAGTAGATCATACCCGTATTCTTGACTTTGATGTTAAAAGGAAATACTTCCAAACGGAGCTCGAACGAATTGACGAAGGTGTACGACGAGAAGAGAACACGGTTAGTGTGCGACGTGTCACAGTATTCGAAGATTCGTTTAGGGTATTATATCGTTTGGGACCGGAAGAATGGAAAAATCGCTTTTACATTGTGTTTGAAGGTGAGTACTTATAAATATGTATATAAGAAATCTTATGAAATGAAGTAATTGGGAAAAGTAAGAAAACTACAGAGGACAATTTACAATTTTACATGAGTAATGTATATAAATAATAATATAAATAAAATATAAAATTTATTTGTATCTTAAGTTTTTTTGTGTGATCAACCTGTTTTCAGATTGAAAAATATCGTTTCTCTTTCTTGGCACATACCGATGTTATTATATAAAAAGTTTAAATGTTTCATAATTTGTTTTTGCGGCCATGCTATATATTAATTTTATAAAGAAAACTACGAGGCCTGGTTGTTTGTATGAATTGAATATTTGTTATACAACAAAGAAAAATGGCAGAAGTGACAGCTGTTTCGGAGATCACCACATCTCCTCATCAGACTTCTTATGGCAGGGATCGAACCAACGGATCCTGACTTAACAGGCGAGTGTTCTACCACTGCGCCAACATCAGCCATATAATCTGTTGTTGTATTATTCAATTCATTATTAACCAACAACTATTAAGTGCGCTAATTTATCCGCTATTTCCTTAACTGCATGGTTAGTGTATTGTGTTGGAATCCTCTATACTTTCAGGCGTTAATTGATTGAAAAATGTATAGGCAGGATTAAGTTCAACTTATATATTGATAATTTGTTTTTGCGGCCATGCTATATATTAATGTTTCATATTTTTTCATTTGTCCAGATGAAGAAGGCCAGGATGCAGGTGGTCTGCTAAGGGAATGGTACGTGATAATCTCAAGGGAAATATTTAACCCCATGTACGCCTTATTTTGCGTTTCGCCTGGCGACAGAGTCACTTATATGATAAATCCATCCAGTCATGCTAATCCTAACCATTTGAGTTATTTCAAATTTGTTGGACGTGTAATAGGTATTGTTTTGAATATAACATGCAAAATTACTTAATTAATAATTTTATTTAATATAGCCAAGGCAATACACGACAATAAGTTGCTCGAATGTTATTTTACACGTTCGTTTTATAAGCACATCCTTGGAAAGCAAGTAAAATATACCGATATGGAGTCGCAGGATTATGAGTTTTACAAAGGACTAGATTATCTTATGAAAAACGATATTTCAACATTGGGTTATGAACTCACGTTTTCTACCGAGATACAAGAGTTTGGTGTTACACAAGTTCGTGACCTTATACCAAATGGGCGTAATATTGCTGTAACTGAAGAAAACAAATTCGACTATGTTCAGTTAGTTTGCCAGCTGAAAATGAGTGGTTCGATTAGGCAACAGTATGTTTAAAATTTACTCTTTTCAATGTGATTTAACAATAAATTTATTCGCTTTATACTTAAATACAGGCTAGATGCATTTCTGGAAGGTTTCTATGACATTATACCAAAACATCTAATTTCGATATTTAACGAGCAGGAACTTGAATTGCTAATATCTGGTTTACCCGACATCGATATTGAAGACCTTAGAGCGAACACAGAATACCACAAATATACTTCGAAGTCGTTACAGGTTTGTTACAAAATAGTCTTTAATATACAAGTACCTGACTATTATTCTTGGAATTTTTCGCAGATACAATGGTTTTGGAGAGCTTTACGTAGTTTTGACCAAGCTGATAGAGCTAAATTTTTGCAATTCGTTACTGGAACGTCCAAAGTTCCCCTTCAGGGATTCGGGTCTTTGGAGGGTATGAATGGTATTCAGAGGTTCCAAATTCATCGTGATGACCGATCAACGGACCGATTACCGTGCGCACATACTTGGTAAGAGCATATGCGTGTATTCAAAACTATAAACTCAAATTCTATCTAGTTTAGAACAATATTAAATATTATGTTAATATTAACAAAGTCAATAAGTGCTATGTTAGATGGTTTCACTTAGATTGTACTAGATTTTAAATCTTGTTTCTGTCCGACTGTGTTCTGAAGTTGTTGTATGAATTTTATTTGTTCCCCTTGAACAGCTCTGCCGGTAAACTATCAGATGTTATACTTTCTTATAGTCGATCATTCTCTTCCATCGGCTTCCTCCCTTTTTCATATTAGAATGTGCTCCTATAACTTTTTGTGAACAACAATTTTTTTTTATCTGCTTGCAAATAAGTCTCTTTCCACACTTTCTTTTGTGGTTTTGGTTTTTATTCTTTGTTGGTTTGTATTCACGAGTGTAGAACGATGTCTACTGGATATTTTTAATTCTGCTTCGTTTTGTTTTTTTGTTTTATTTTCTATCGTAGACTACTGTCTACTGAGGTATTTGAATTTATTTTTCCTGGTGCTTTCCTCTTTATTAGGTATTGTTTTGGCAATTTTTGTAGCGGGACTACTTTTTGTTTCGTTCAGGTTTGTTTGGATATTGTCTTCGTGATTTGTTTGTTTGAAAGTTTGTTTTGACATCCTTTAGGTGTCAAGCATGATTTGAAAGTGGGCATGTGTGTATGCCTCGCATGCCTCGGAAAGTGAGTTGCTAGGTGGAGGGTATATTAAATAAGGTCAAAGGACCATTTTTATATTATATAAGTTAGGTTTTTAAAAGATTAATTTTTTTTAAGTGTAAAGTGTGCTTCTATAAATTGAACAAGTTGTGAGATTTTGTTGCTGTTCATATTTTGTAGAACTTCTAAAAAGAAGTTTGCGTTTTTTATCGCGTCGTATTTGTTTCTTATCCTTTTGAAAATTTCACATTTGAAAGTTAGGTGATGGTAGTTGCTCAATTTCCCATAACTAAAACTGTTAGAGTGGATAGGTTTTAATTTAAAGAGATATTCTTTGTCATATGTATGACCAGTCAAAATTTTGTTTATTTGTTTAGTTTGTTTGGGTGAGAGTATAGATTTGTCGAACCAAGTGTGTGGTTGTATATATTTTGTATAAATTTGTGCTTAAAGATTTGGTTACAGAGTCGTCTTGGAAGTTATTGTACCATTCGTTGCGTATTTTAGTTTTAATTATTCTGAGGGATTCTGTGACAATTTTGGCTATTGTGTCTGCAAGTTCGTTTGCTTTTATTCCTATATGGCTCGGTGTCCAACCTATGTGTGTTGTTATCTTATTTTCTATAATAAGTTTGTGTATCTCTGTACTGCATTTGTTGTTCGTGTGTACTTTGTCTAGAAGTTGACATGAGATTAAGCTATCTGTGAATATGGCTATTTTTGTGTATTGTTTTTCTATGGCTTGCTTGATAGCGTTCATTTCACCAAAGCTGGAGAATGTTTTAATTTTAAAATAATTTTGTAGGAATATTCTTCCTTAGTTAGGTCATCATACTAACGCGCCTGTGGATAAAAGTTTAAAGTTACTCCTTTTGAAGTCGTCAAAGAATTTGTTGTAAATCATTAATAAATTGTCTCTAGGTGTTTTGTTTTTGTTCAATGTGACTGTCTTTGTTTTGATTACTATATTTGAGTGCGGTGTATTTTGTTCTATTAGTCTGGGTTGTCGAAGATTTCTTTATATAGTTCATATGTTGAGCTGTAACTTGAGTTAATATTGTGGCGATTTACAATTGAATATTTTAAGGATTGGGCTAGCTGGTGTGACTCCTAATGCTCTTCTTAAGAAGCTGTTTTGTGAAGTTAGGATTTTTTTGATGCTCGGCAATACTCAATTTTGCATCTAACAAAGGCTTTGTGGAAGTTGATTGGTGCCTTAGGACTTAGTCCTGATTTGAGAGTTGTTGTGAGTTTGAAAAACTTGGAGTTGTTTTCGGAGCTCACAATTCCTTATTGCAATGTTCGTAAGCTGTTAGAGATGAGTTTATATCCCTGCCTAAAAAATTTATAGAGTTGGTTTGTGTTATATTAGTTTTGTTTAAAAGGACATGGATTTGTTTTTTGCTACCTTTGCTAACATATATTATTTTAGTTTTAGCTGTATTGATATTTAGATTTAGCTCCTGACAGGCTGGGTTGAAAATATTTAATTTTTCTTGGATTCTTTGGGTTGTTATCTCAATATTGTGTCTATGTGAGTATATTAAGAAGTCATCAGCGAATTGGCAGATTCCTTTTTGTTGGTCTTTTATTTCATGTAATGCTATTGTGTAAATATTAAAAAGCAGAGGCCTCCATTAACTTCTACCAGTTTTTCCGCCAGTTTTAGTTTCCTAAGGGCTAAAAGGTTTATGATCCAATCTAAGTAGTTTTTTTTTCGATTGTTACGGTGCTAAGGGTACTACATAAAGTTTTTATGTTAACGCAATTATAGGCGCTACTTATGTCTAAGTTATCGTCTTTCAGCACAGCAGTTATATGCACTAAGAAGTTAACAGCCATTGTGGCTGATTTATTTTTTCTGTACGCAAAAGACTGGTGGGGAGTATGTTTTGCGATTCTAAGTGTTCGTCTAGTCTTTTTTATTGCCAGATTTACACATTTCAGTTGAACTGATATTAAAGCTATTGATCTGTAGTTTTGGTAGTTTTTGGACTTGGGTCTTTTTTTGGTATTTGGTATGGTATTTTTACTATACGGCAGTTTTCTGGTATTTGGTTTGTTAGAAAAAACTTTATCTGATATGGCCTTAAGCATTTTATACGTTATCCTATCGTGTCCTCCTGCTAAGTTTTGTTTTCTGTTGTAAAGTATATGTGTAGATTCTTCATATGTTGTAGCAAGATTACATTTTGGGTTTATGTGTTTGTTGATTGTTATAGGGTCTTGTTATGGGGTGATGTGTTGTTTTACCCTATTCAACAATTTTTTTTGGTCTGTTTCATTTAATATTACTTGGCCTCTGTTACGGTAGTCTCCTCTTAGGCCCTTAACGAAACTCCAGGTAGTTTTGGTGGGTGGGTTTGTGTTTATTTGATTAATTTTTCCTCAAAGTTATCTTTTTTGGCCTTTTTGACCATTTTTCCTTTTCTCAGCAAATGAGTCCAGATTTTCTATTGATGGAAAGGCGTTGCATTTATATTGTGAAATTTTGAGAGACCTGAATGCCTTTGACAAGTTGTCATTCCACCAGTATTTGGTTTTTTTTTGTCGTTTTTTATTTTTGTTTTGAAGATGTTTTCAGTATGTTCAATTTCGGTACCCATGTCTGTCTCTTTTAGTGCTTTGAAGAGTTTATTTTGTGCTATAAACTTGAGTTTTGTAATTTTTATGATTTGGTTTTCGATTATGTTTGGGAAATGATGGCTTCCTCCAATTCTAATAGGGTCAATTTTCCAAAGGTATTGGATGTTGCTTTTTGAGAATGATAGATCTAAAATGGAGCCTGTGGGCTGTCTAATATCTTTTTTGTAAGTTATGCATCCATTATTTAAGAGTGGGAACTGTGTGCCAATGAGATGCCAACTTCATTATACCCTTCTCGTAGAAGGCTCCGTCCCTATTGGCAAAAAACTCAGAGAGCCAATTTTCACAGGCTTCTCTTGAGGCGAAGTTCTCGTCATGGACAGGAAAAGATGGCAATCACTTGGTGCCAGGTCCGGACTATAAAGTGGGTGCATTTAGACCTCCCATCCGAGCTCCTAGAGCTTCCGGCGTGTCACCAGAGACGTGTGTGGCCTAGCGTTGTCCTGATGGAACACAATTCGGCCTCTGTCGATCAAAGATTGCCTCTTCTTGATGAGTGCTGCTTTCAAGCGGTCCATTTGTTGGCAGTAGAGGGCCGAATTGAGCGTTTGGCCATAGGTTTGCAGCTCGTAGTAGATGATTCCATGCCAATCCCACCAAACATACAGCAAAACCTTCCTGGCCGTCAATCCGGTGTTGGCCACCGTCTGGGCCGCTTCCCCGAGCTTTGGCCATGGAAATTCGGTCCATGAGGTTATTTTGCGTTGGTTCGTGTGCCTTCCAAACATCGAGCTTCTTTTTGAATCCAAGGTTAGGCAAAAGGTTCCAAACGGGTTTTGGGCTTATCTTTAGTTCCACAGCAATTAAATAAGTGCTCACGTGACAGTGTTTCCACTATTTCCATGATTTTATCGCAATTTTCGACGACAGGCCTCCCGACGCGTGGTGCATCTTTGACATCGAAATTACCGGTACGGAACCTAGCAAACCACTTTTGTGCTTCACGTTCATTTACAGTATCGGGCCCATAAACTAAATTATTTTTTTCAGCCGCTTTGGCTGCTTTTTCGTCTCGATCGAAGAAAAATTGTAAAATATAGCGAATTTTCTGTTTGCTGGTGTCCATCTTTGACGAGCGCTCACAACGTTCTGAGTCAATAAAACGAAAAACTGTCAAAGACAAACTTTTAGCGCGAATAAACACGTTTTCAGCGCCGTATAGTATGACATGATGCGACACTAGTGACACTAGTACTATGGACAATAACGCCATCTCTTAGATAAAACCCGAACGATCTTTTTACTTTACCTAATATTGTAGAACTTCTTGCCTTTATTTGATTGCAAGGTATCCCCCCATGCTGTTGTTCTGGCGTTAAAGTCGCCGATTAGAAGAATATTTTGATAATATTCAAGAAAATTTATGAGTTTAGTTATTTCTTCGGTAAATGGATTTATTTGTATATTTGGTGGGAAATATGCTGTATATATTGTAAGATTTGGTTGTAGATTTTTGGTCTGGATTATTAAAATGTCTTGCTATGTCCTATAATTTACTGCAGAAAATTTTATTTCTTTTTTTGGCGCTCTGGCAATTCCACCATATCCGTCATCTCTTTTTTTTTTCTACTGAGTTGAAATTTATTAATTTTCAATGTTAATGTTTTTATTGATGCTGCTAATTTCTTGTTCTATAGTTTTTTGGTCAAATAATTGTTTTAGTGCGTGAATATTTTTTAATTTTGTAGGTAGCTTGTGTTAATGCAAAGCTGTTGTGTCATTTTGAACAGTTCAGATATTATTTTCTCTAGTTCAAAAACTTTGTTTTTGTGATATTCCGGCTTTTCGAAAGCCGGTGGAGGGCGGGGCGTGTGCGTTGACCGTTTGGTAACGTTTTGTTTTGAAGTACTTGGTTTGTGGTACATCATTTTTTCTGGAACTTTGCTGTATTTTGTTTCCGTGAAGTTTCTGCTAATATCTTGGTCTTTGTTTTGTATATTGTCTTCTAGTTGTGTTAGTGGAGGGGATTCTCTTTCGCCAGTGCGTCAAATCTATTATTGTTATTGGGGTAGTATGTTTTTAAAGCTTTTCGACTACTTATATTTTTTACTGCTTTGATGTGGTTGAGCATTTTTTATTTTTCCCAAACTGGACATTTGTCTTAAAGTGTAAGTGTGGTCGTCACTTTGAAACAGTATGTTGCATTTCTTTGAGCAGTTTGCCTTGCATTCGTTCTGCCCGCAGCTAAGACATCTTGGTTTTGACTCGCATGCTTCATCTCGCATGTTCTAGTCGTCCACAGTTTTTACACTGCCTCAACCTAAGTATATAAAACGATACCTCTAATTATTCATATGTATTCAAATATTATATATTTTGAGATATTTTTGCCTAAGAAGCCAATTTTGTATTGTTGTTGTAGGTATGTATGTCGATTTTCCGTCCTTGTCCGTCTCTTTTCGTGTAAATCTGTACACCGAGTTAATGGTTATGTTTGAGGTAGCGTTTTTTTTTGTGTCCTCTGCTGTGTAGTTTATGGGTTATTACTTCATATGCTTCGAGCGCCATGCTTGGGATAAAAGCACGTAACCCTTTTTCGCCAAGTCTTCGTTTGTCGTAAAGCCGTTTGCTGCTTTACTTGTTTGAACATAATTTTGTACAGTGATTTACCAATAGCTTGTATTAGTTCAATTACCTTGGTGTAAGTCTTTGATAACTGCAATCTTAGGTTTAAACCATTCGACATTTTGTCGTACGTCATTTCCGTGCATTTAGAAGTATCTACCAGTACAAATTATGTACCGATAAAGTATGTTGGATATTTAATCACTGCTTTTGGCGAGTTGTCCGTTTTTTCGTTACTTTGCTCATACTCCATTCTTCCTGTGCTTTTAGATTTATCTGTTATTTTAGTCATTTTGTCATTTGTAGGTGTTATTAGGTTGCTTATTAAGTTTTCATTTATTAGTTTTTCATTAGTTTTTTCATTTAAAGTATACTCATTAACATTCTGTTTTGGTTTAAATTTATTATTGTACACAAATGTGAAGGTTTCAAAAGCATCCGCCGCTACAGCTTAATTGGCTGCACCGGCTTTAGGTTTTCACTTTTTTAAAAATTTATTTTTAAAAACTTCCACTCACACCAAAGTTACAAACCGGAATGCTCTCCACACTTCAACGATGGGTTTTCCTTACTGTACCTTTGTTAAACGCTAACAATTTTGCGGTATTGACAGTTCTGAGTGTGTCTTATTTTAAAAACAAACGGTATGTTGTTTGTAATTATAATTATGTGTCTAATGATATATATTTGCATTGTGTAAATTATCGACATTTAGATTTAATATAATTTTTTCGCTATTCTTTTTTACAGCTTTAATCAGTTGGATTTGCCTATGTATAAATCATATGAGAAATTACGCAGTAGCCTTCTGAAAGCGATTCACGAGTGCTCGGAAGGATTCGGCTTTGCTTAAACATAAATTAAATTTAATAAAACTAAATTAGGTTAAACTACAATATACATATATCTCATAACTTTTTGTCAACAGGTCCACAAAGTAAGTTCATTGTGTATTCACTTTAATTAATATTCCGTTTATATTATGAATCTAAATAAAAATCAGAAGACTTGGTATTTAAAAAATTGCCCGGTAAATTTGATAGTTTTTTGTTGTGTTATAACAAATATGGGGTTTCATTAATTGTTTTAAATTATGAACGAACTGGGGTTATTTCTTGTAATTCTGTTACACGGGAGGAGACTAGAGCAGTCTAGGTCATCGAGGCCATTCAACAAGATGTCCAGGAATTAAGCTGTTTCGAGTGGTTCGGACTAGAGGGAAAGGGGGTGTTCGATTAGTAGCGCTCACGTTGGCTAGGTTATATCGTCCGAGTGAATAAAAGCGATCTTGCTTTGAAAGTATTCGATGCAGTACACGCTGTTGGAAGCAGAGGAAGAGGAAGGCGGGTGTTGTCATTGATGATTCGGCTATAACCGCATAATCGGTGCCCACGCTCATGAAGAAGAATAATAGGTTGCAATCAAGCTTCTGACATTTAGTAAAGCCGATGTATAAAAGATCCCATATTTAGATTTGTGGTGGAAGAGATGCCGTCGCCGAGTATCTGCATTCACCCCGGAGGGTATCTTCAGCACAACTGTCGGAAAGTTCCGCCTTCAATACGAAACATCCGCAAATGGGTTGAGGCTGATCGACTTCAACGGAGATCAGAATATGGTTGTCTTTAGTACTAGATTCCAGCACAAGAAAATACAATACAAGTTCCATCGTACCTGTTGTTTTTGCGACCTTTCCGAAATCCAATAAATTCGTTTGCAGCAGTACATAGAGTGTTTCAAATTCCGTCCCACGTGGAGTGCAGTGTCGCAGTGGAGAGAAAACAGACTGCCTACCTCGCAACGTTGCAATCGACCACTACACCTGCGTCCGGAACAGACTATTGTAGGACAAAAAGAGGTGATCTACCAACTGAGTATATTGAATTTATGAAGGAAATACTTTTGTAGACTACTGAATGGCAGGGAAAATGGAACACCCGGAGATGATGAGCCCGAATCCCAATCGATGACGATGAAAAAGACGTTCCATTACCCGACCATTAGTAATCGTCCGCGTAAAAAACAACACGGTGGCTAGAGCTGACGGCCTACCCGCGAAGCAATTCAAATATGGCAGTGAAGAACTGGCAAGGTGCATGCATCAGCTACTTTGCAAAATATGGTCACACGAAAGCGTGCCACTTCGGTGGGAGTTTAAGTGTTTTCTGTCCAATCCACTGCGTCTGCGCCCTTTATCGTATTGCGAGCGTGTTGCGTGAAAGACTAATGCCTTATCAGTGCTGCTTTAGACCTGATAAATCAATCATTGATCAACCAATCATCATGCGCCCAAATCCTGGAGAAGATTTGTGAAAAGAGGATCGACACCCATCACCTCTTCGCCGATTTTTAAGCCGCTTTCGACGGCACGAATAGGAGCTGCCTTTACGCCGCTATGTCTGAGTTTGGTGTCCCTGCAAAACTTATACGGCTATGTAAACTGATGTTTAGCAACACTGAAAGCTCCGTCAGGATGATACCAAATGAGGATTCAGACAAGGTGACTCACTCATAAAAAAAAAACAGCCATCACAATCGCTACTCGACTCCCATGTTATTTTTGACAGTCATTTCATTGAAGTCGTAGTTAGTTTCGTCCATCTTGGAACCAGTATTAACACCAACAACAATGTCAGCCTGGAAATTCAACGCAGAGTCATTCTTGTCAACAGCGCTGCTTCGGACTGAGTAGGCAGTTGAGAAGTAAAGTCCTCTCTCGGGAATCGAAAACCAAACTTTGCAAGCCGCTTAGCATTCCCGTCCTGCTACATGGCACGGACGATGACAACATCTGATGAGTCGGCGTTAGGAGCTTTTAAGAGAAAGGTTTTGCCTATGAATTGGTAATGGCGAATACCGCAGCCGATGGAATGATGAGCTGTATGAGATATAGGACGACATTGATATAGGTTAGCGAATCAACAAAAAAACGGCTACGCTGCCTAGGTTATGTGGTCCGGAATGATAAGAATACCCCGTTGGAAAGGTAAGGTAGAGAAGGACTTGGTTCAACTTGGAATCTCCAATTGGGGTCAAACAGTGAGAAAAGGAAATAATTGGCACAATCATAAATTTGAATATCATTGTAAGTAAGTAAATAAAATACATTTTTAATAAGCTTTAACTGCGGCAGATCGAAGGCCGAGCTCTGTTTTCATAATAATATCAAAATTCTTTTTTTTTCTAGTTTATTTAACCTTTAGATCCCCTCAATATAGTAAATTGTTATATTTTTAGGTATTCAAATAAACAGGTGAAGAAGAATGTTAATAAAAAACTAAATAAAATAATTTAAGTAAAAAATTAGGTTAATTTTTATAATTGCAGTCTCCCCTCGGCAGGGAATGAGTGTATTTCTGACATAAAATAAAATGCTCCTCATAAAAATCCTTCAGATGTTCGGAGGCGGCTTAGTATAAACTTTAGGTCCCTCCATTAAGACCCAAAACCACCAATTGAAGGAGGCGCTCGTGAAAATAATTTATTCTTATTTTCCATGGCGTCCCAATTAATCTGCTGCATTAAAAATTTGTGGAGCTTTATTTCATGAAATTAGAAAATTTAGCTTAATTTTTAATTTAAATTAATTTTGTATAATATAACTCTTTGGATGTAAGGACAACATCAGGATTTGAACCCGAGCCTTCCGAATGACAGTACGCAATGCTAGCCTCGCGGCTATTGCGACCGCCTGAAAATAAAGGCATTCTGTTTAATCATATCGTCCAAAAATAATAATTTAATCAATATATGCATATTTTCTTCAAATTTAGAGATTTCATTTAAAATTGTTAAAGGAATCTATATAATTTTTTATATTTACTCTTCCTGGGAATGGTACCCAATAGTCAACATTCAAGATTCCTTACACACATTCTTAATCACGACAAAATGCAAATAACATGTTGCAACTGATTCAAGTTACTTCTCAAAGTCTGTGACGTGAAAACTTTTTATGGCAACGCAAGTTTTGCGGATTTCTAAAGTAGAAAAGAACATTTTTCCTTGATAAACTTCATAAAAATGGATGTGAGTTCCTATTTTATTGAAAAAATTACCGATTAACTTCTTCCATTGCATGTTTTCTTTATTTTAATGAGAAGGAGAAGGGGAACATCCAATATTTATACCGTCTTTTTGGATACCAACCCCTCCATTAGTTTTTGATATATTTCAACTAAATTTGGTGAGGGGATGTATTTTTATACTGTAATTATCATTTACTCCTATAACATGTATGTATACAACCAACTTTTAGATTTTGGGTTACAAATCTGTAAACAGATATGTGATGGCGCGAATATATATTGTACATATGTATATTACTTAAAAAATGTTACTCTGCAAATCATCAAAATCGAAAGACTATATTACGCAAGTATTTCGTTCATCTGCGATGAGTAAAAGAAGTAATGAAATTATCAATTTCTTCAAATGAAGTTTGAATGCTTATATTTTTAAAACTAAATAGAAAACTCGAAAAAATATGTTAACAAGGGATTAATTGTATTCATATTTATGAGTTATGTGTAAAAAAATAAGATGTGTTCGTTGAGAAATGTCAGTAAAAATTCGAAAGTGAAGAAATCGAGAGTAAGATGAAGATGAAGAGAAATTTACTGAGTTTTCACTGAACAAGATTTAGTAAAAATTAGCTAACAAGTTATATAACAGCTTTTTACTATGGCGCATATATTTGAATTTGTTTATTTATAATTTATTTTTCTGCTTTTAAGTATTTTCCTTAGTGTTTTAATATAATTAGCAATTAAACAGCATTTTTCATTTATTAATTGTACTCAAAATTTATTGTATTTCAACAATGATGATTTTTTACATACTTTATAGCTGTTCAACGATAAAGATACCAATATGTTTACATATATTGTATCTATTTATATGACGATTTTGGACCAAAAATTACGGGGCTTAAAGAAATTTTTGACATTTAATTTGACCAAAAGTTGGTAACATTGAGCATATGTCTTTGGAATCGTATGGGATTGAACTAGCGGGATAGGATGTGATTTCAGTGCTATATTAAGAGCATTAAGAACGTTGCCCACTTATAATATATAATATAAAATTAAGTCTTTCTATTCTGATGACATTGTAAAGATCCGCTCTGCTTGTTCGTTCCCTGCAATTCCAGCTTGACCAGGTTTCCATATTAGTTGCTCTTATAGTCGGAGTTATTAAGAAAAATAATCGGCTTATCTTTTATATTATATGATTATAATATGTTTTTAATGTTTATTTAATATTGAACTTACTACCTACTGTCAAAATCCCACCCGCATAGCATCTATCACATACCTGTAATCTCACTGAGACAGAAATCTTTTCTTTTGAATCATGCTTTCAATGAGTGAGAAAATTTGATTTTTCTGCTGTAGTAACTTCACCTTTTTAAAGTAATTTAAAATTTTGATATTAAAAGTGCTGACAGGTGCAGCAATTGATTAATTTCAAATGGAATATCAAAATTATACATTTCAAAATTCAATTTCAAGAACAGTCAAGGGTAGTACAAAAAATTTCCTGGAAAATGAATTACAATTTATGGAAATTAGCTTATTTGGCAATATTTAAATTGTATCGTGAAGGAAATAAAAATTACGTCTGCCAGCACCGTAAATAAGGAAACGATGTTTTCAATTATATAATATTTGTACATACATATGTAGCTGTTTCTATAAATACTTATTCCCTTATCTAGAAAGTATTCAAACATGATGTTCTAACAATTTGTATTTCAAAATTTTCTACTCTTTCAAACATTTTGTAAACTCCACATCAAAATGATATTTAAGAAATCAATAAGATTTATTTAATTGACAACGAGATTGAGAGAATAAGATGTCTTACTCTTCCAAAGGGAGGAATTTACTGAGTTTTCACCGAACAGGATTCAGTAAAAAATTAGGCGGAAAATTATATTACATGTTCATTTTCGTGTAAACAGCTCACTGCTTTCTATTTACTCTAACTATTGTAGTTTAATAAAATGAGCAATTTTATGACATTTTCAATTTATTTCTTGTATCCAAAAATTATAGTAAATCAAGAATGACGTACTTCTACATGCCAGCCGTCAAACCATAAGATACCAGTAATATAATGTGTCACTTCTGATAGTTCACTGAAAGGATCATGATTTATGTACAACTGCTTGGCAAACAATTTGTCGCCAAGATTTTCAGGAAGGATGATAGAAATAGGAAAATGAGTTTGTAAGCGTTCAAAACCCACAATGCAGACTGGGTGGTGTGCGAGCGATGACTTTTCTACACTAAGATCAGATTTTCGTTTAAAGGGAACCTCTACTGTTTAATTGAATCGTTGTTCTCATTAGTTCAATTTGACACACATAAATACATTATTACAATGGAAAACAAACATACATATTTTTCTTAAGATATCTAGATTTAATAATTGTCAATTTTTATAAATAACAAGTATACACGTATACTCCTACATAAGTAGAGACGCATACAAATGTTTTTTTTTAAGTGTTTTCTTGTATTGAAGAGATCAATATCCGTCATAGAATCAGAAAAAAATCTCATTTACGGAAATCTTAAGTAATAGTCATTTTATAAGTTTTTGAGTTTTATGTTTCATCTTAGTTTATATTTATTTACTCATAAATGCATATATAATATATATATACCACGTACATGAACTCGTACATTTGAAATTAATTGCCGCCCTCTGTTATCAACGCTTGACATTAGTGTAGTAGTTCTACAAAAATAATAATTTAGAGCCATATCTCTAGAACACACACAGCCGAGCAAATAAATATATAAGTTTGCTTATTAAATACAATGTCCGAATCAAATATATATATAATATTTATGTACGTATGATCTACATAACATATACGATATTTTTGTAGACCTGAGCTCCAAAGCAAATAACTTCTTAATACTATTATATTTAATTATCGCATGATCTTTGGACATTCATCTATTCACGATCGTATATAAAGTCGGGAATTCCACTGGCTTGGATTAGTCTAGTTTTGACAGTTGGAAGAGCAGCTTACACATATTCGTCATGTCTTTCAAGTCTTTGTTGGTGCTAAGCTTCATTTGCCTCGCAGTAAGTGTGGACATAATTATTTTCTCCGTTTATTAACATATTTTTAAATACATATTATACTATGTGTTTTAGGCTGTATCTGCACGCTCAATACGTGAAGCCGACACTACTGGAGAAGTACCATCGATTCTGAACTTATTTGATACCATAAACGAGAATTTCAAGAAATTCGGAGATTCAATTGCAAAATCATTCGATTCTCAAAAGTTTGAAGAGACTGGACGGGATGTAGCTAAACAATTAGATGAATGGGGTGCGAATATTAAGAAAGAGGTAAAGGTGTTTAGTAAAGTAATATAAATTGTCGCTTATTATTTTCTTGGCTATATAAATTTTAGGCCGAAGCCTTGAAAGACAATGAAAATGTCAAAAGCTTGCTGGAATCTGTAGACAAAGCAGTGGAAGAAGCCAAACAATCGCCCAACTTAAAGGCTGTTATTGAAAAATATAACACAAGTGCAGCTCCATTCTTATCTAAAATTGAAAAAATAAAGGAATCTGAGGAACCAAAGTTTCAAGAACTTTCCAAGAAAATTTTCGATACAACCACCACCACATTACAAGACATCGCTAAGATTTTCCAACAAGAAATTAAACAATAAATTGTAGTCTACACTAATCTGCATAATATATTTATATGATACATTTCCAAAGAGACTGATGTACATAAACATTTTGTTGGATCCATTTCCAAACCGCATTCTATGTTTTGGTTTTGTTTTGAATGTGATGGAGTTTCCAAGTGTAGGTCACACAAAAAGCCATACTTTTAGGGGAATAAACAAAGAAAGAAAGAAGATAAAGAATATAGAATTTATCATCATAATGGTCCGATGACTACTTTCAAAATTAATAACTCGCTAAGTATTCAATATTTTTCGATGAGGTTTCTTACCGCAAAATATACATACCTTCAAATTGACCAACAAACCTCTACCCTACATATTTTTCTATAATATTTTTATACAATCGAATATATATTTTTCTTTTCTTTTTTTCAAATAGACGTAGCACTCCTTCAAATATAATATAAAGAGAGCTTGTAAAAAAAAAGTTTTATCAAAAGAATATATTCTAGAAATTTCTCATTCATTGTCGATGGCACCGCTTACGTGATTTTAGTCGAATAAACAATAGCGCGAGATTCGTTTCATCTCTTCGGTATTTGGCGCCAATCGAAAATAACAAGTACAGCACCGTGATACGGTGGTGGATATACGGCATCATTGGGATAGTCAAGCGAAAGTAGTGTAAGGGGTTTCGTTGGGTAGGTCATGTCGACCGAATGGATAGCATTGAAAGAAGTCGATGTAGTACCCACTGCTGTACTTGTTATTCGTTTCGTCTTATCCTCGTTCACATCAAGTCGACAGAAAATAGAATTTACGGCGCCGTTGTTAAAGCCTATGCTATCAATGTAATGGAATACAACAGCAGTTTTTCACTAAATCATCAAATCCGAAGATATTATATGATGAAGCCTCGATTGGTACCAAATGATTTGGAGAGGTGCGTACCGATTCTGACTGCGCTTCTGGTTTTGTGCAGCGTCATTTTAGACGGCCGGATAAGCAACAAGTATGTTCTGAACATCAGTTACCAGGTTACCACCTTGGTTCCTACATAAGCATGCTCTGGTTCTGAAGCGTTCACTGATCCGTCGCATCTTTTCATAGAATTTTCGACCATTGCACTAGGCGGCGAGCTTCTGAAGAACTTCCATACTCATGTATTGTTTATGTTTTCTCTCTACTTCAACGTTGCTCATATTGCAGGTCTTTCGACGTCGATGATTCCTTTTGTTTGTTGACGGGCTTTCTTTAAGGTGGGTGCGTAAGCACATCTAGAACACTGAAAACATGCCGTCCTTCTATCACAATTTGATTGATCTGATTGTAAGTTTTCCGATTTGGCGACAACCAAGTACCGTGATGGCAAAATCGATCAGCCTCAACCCAATTCGTTGATATTTTGGCGTTGAGTCTGAATTTTCCAAAGTTACGTTAAAGTCGCCATGCACAATTTTTACTTCGCGGCGGAGATAGCGCTCATAAGTAGCTCCAAGATCGGGTAAAAGAAATCCATTGCCATATATCCTTCTCTGGTCTAATACCAGAAGTCGTGAACTGCTGGAATATGTAAGAGAAGCATTTCTGGCCATTCCTGGGTGAATGATATGCGTAAACTTCTAAAGCTGAAAAGTCTTGAAATTTAAATTAAATGTAATAAAAATGTTAATATACATGCCTAATGTCAAATAATTTAAAATTGCATTCTTTTAGGCGTTTTTTACCTTCACACCTTGCCACAATTGCGACTTTGCTAATTTGAGGTTATGGTCTGAAAAATTAAATAGTCGTGTTTAAAATACATTATTTAAACAAGAAATAAGTTCCCTACAACAGACAATGCATTTTAAAGATGTATTCGAATGAACTCACAATATTTATTTACACCTATAATTTTGGGAAGGCACACTGTTAAAATCGCTAAGTGAAAAAATTACAGTCTTCGACTTTGACGGGTGGAGAACTTTTGTTAGTCAATGAGTTGATAAATGTCCACAGTACATAAGGGTAAATTTGTTTTGCTTTGACTCGGCGTATGTTTTCTCATTATTGTCGATTGCGCCGTGCTCACAATATCAATATTTTATTTACACAAGTGGAGTGGTGGCAAAATGATTAAAACAAATATTTATAATATTTTTGTGGATAAAGCCAGTTAAGGTGATAAACCTCAAACAATTTCAATACACCACGGAAATAAAAAGAAGATGACATTAGTTAAATTTAAGTAGTTTTACTTAAATAAAAAATTAAATTGCATAAAAGTTGAAAATATCCGCTTTGATCCGGACGATGTGATGTGACGTCTGTTTTAAGCGGAACTCGTTCAAATACCGAAAAATGATAAAATAAATTTCTCTGGCAGATTTCTGCCTTCAGTGCTGATAAACACTTTTCAGGAGAGGTTGATGCTTCCTGCCGTTTGGCGACAGCAATTAAAAAATATTAGCTTAATTCTTTATTCTTTAATTTTTTTTAATTTTCTATAATTTTTGGGTGTTGGTTTGCCCAGGACTCGAACCTTGACCTTCCGAATAGCAGTACGCACTGCTAGCCACTTGGCTATCGCTATTATTAAATCTTATGATAATATTATTCATTTCAAATAAATATGTAGCAGAAAACAAAAAGGACTGTGAAAGAAAACCACGTTCCATAGGGCATAGAGAGGCCACGTTGAGTTGCGTGCAAGGAGAGAGCTGTCTCGGAATGCTAAAAATATGCCCAGGTGGTTTGCAGACAATCCGTATTGAAAGTGGTGCTTTGTCAAGTAATATGTTGATTTTTATTTATTAGCTTTAAAGACGACGACTTTATATGACTTTTGCTCTTTTGAATGTCTTTTCGCAAAGCGTGTTATGTTAGCGTGTTAAAATTTCTGAAATTAGCTGGGGACTTGGAAATCAAGGCGAGAATGCTTAGGGAATGAATGTGGTGTCATTTTGGATAGTTGGTTCGGTCGCGTGGTACAGCAAAAAGGTATCTTTAGTACAACTGTTGGAAAATGAACACTCCACAACGAAACATTCTCAAATGGGTTGGTGCAGGCACGGAATATAGTTATCTCCAGTACTAAAATCCAAGTACAAGAAAATACATCAAACTACTTAGCTTCATCCTGATCGAAAAACACAAAACCAGATCGATCATGATGTGATAGACCGAAGACATGTGTTCTTGACATGCGTTCACTCCGACAACTCAGCATCGACTCTGACCACTATCTTGTTGCAGCGAAGATACGAACCCGCCTCGTCGAAAAGCCGTAATCACAACAGACTGCCGAGCGGTTTTCTACTATGACTTGCACTCCTGCTCCCTGAGAGCACTCATCATCAACTCGATATAAGGGAAATGTGGGAGTGAAAACTGGCTGTCTACCTTAGGCCAAGATGCGTGCGAAGCGGGATGACAAGGGTAATGTTCGAAAATTCTATGAAAAAATACGACGGCTTATAGAAGGTTTCAAAACCGGAGCAGACTCTTGTAGAATCCTAAGGGCTGATTTAGTGACGGATTCCCAGAGTATACTGATCAACAAAACGGCTGGTGCTGACGGCCTGTCTGCAGAGCTATTCAAATATGGCAGTGAAGAATTGACAAAGTGCATGCATTAGCTACTTTGCAAAATATGGTCGGATGAAAGCATGCCTGACGATTGGAAACAAAGTGTGCTCTGCCCAATCCATAAAAAACGAGAACCCACACTCTGCGCCTGTGAAAGACTAAAGCAACAAACTGATTTGACCTTGTAAATTAATCATTGATCAACCAATAACCATGCTCCAAGTCTTGAAAAATCCTGTGAAAAAAGGATCGACATCCACTACTTATTCGTTGATTTTAAAGCCGCCTTCGACAGCACGAATATGAGCCGTCTTTACGCCGCTATGTCTTAATTTGGTATCCCCGCAAAATTTGTTCGGCTATGTAAGCTGACCTTAAGCAACACTAAAAGTCACGTAAGGATCTTATAAGACCTTTCCTCTTTTAACTTATTGCTGGAGAAAATAATAAGAGCTGCAGAACTGAAAAGAGAAGATATAATCTTCTGGCCTATGCCGATGGTATTGATATTATTGGCCTTGTGAGTTCTGCTTTCTCCTGAATGGATAAGGAAGCGAAGAATATGTGGCTGGTAGTGAAGAAGGCCAAGACGAAATATATTCTGTCATCAAACAAACAGTTAACGCATTCCACAACTCGATTCTCTCTTCACTGCTGATAGTCATAACTTTGAAGTCGTAGCAAACTTCGTCTATCTTGGAACCCATCTTAACACTAACAATGTCAGTCCAACACAGAATCACTCTTGCCAACAGGTGCTACTTTGGACTGAGTAGGCAGTTGAGAAGTAAAGTCCTAACTCGACAAACGAAAACCAAACTTTACAAGCCGCCTATTTTTCCCGTTCTGCTACATGGTGCAGAGGCATGGACCTTGACAACATCTGACGAGTTTGTCGTTAGGAGTTTTCGAGGCAAAAGTTTTAGGTAAAATTTATGGTCCTCTACGAGTTAGGAAAGGTGGTTAGTCCGAATAATTCGGCATTGAAAGCTTTCAATACAATTGGAAATACCAAGTAGAGAAGTACCTGGCTATATTTAGTATCCCCAATTGGCGCCAAACTGCGAAAAAAAAAGAAATGAATTGCCCAATGTTATAAATTCCGCTATAATTGCGTAAGCGGTGCCTACGCCAGTAAAGAAGAAGAAGAAGAATTTTTATGTAGCGATGTTTGATGCAAAAATATTTTCAACAATGGCAAATTCTTCTCCTTAATTTTGTAGAATTTGTGGAGCTTCAACAAAAGTTTGAATGAATCAACTGCAACTGAATTTAATATTTATTCAATATGCACAGCTCTACCCAACGAAATGTTGAGAAGCCTTAGATATCGAAATAAGGATTTCAGAAATATACGAGAGATCCACATTACTTTCAGATGCATCTGATGCCTTAAAGCACAATTTGGAAGTGGATTGAGAAACTGAAGTAGATTCTGATTAAAGCTTTTACCCCTGATGTTAGCATTGCGCATATTATGTTTTTACAAAAATTTTATCGTTTCATGAAATACCATTTTTTGTTTCAGTTATAATTGCGGCACGTTCATTATTTTATAATTTTATTTTTATATTTAATTATCGTATTATCAGTGGGCATTCATTTATTCACGATCGCATATAAGTCGGGAACTCGACTGGTTTGAATTAGTCTTGTTTTGACAGTTGGAAGAGCAGCTTACGCATATTCGTCATGTATTTAAAGTCTTTGTTGGCGTTATGCTCCATCTGCTTTGCAGTAAGTGGCCACATAATTATTTCCTCCGCGATTAATATATATTTAACAATATGTACTTTACTGTGGGTTTTAGGCTGCGTCTGCATGCTCAGTAAGTGAAGCCGACTCTACTGGAGAAGTACCATCGATACTGATTTTTGATACAATTAACGAGAATTTCAAGAGATTCGTAGATTCAGTTTCAAAATCATTCCATTTCCAAAAATTTGAAAGGACTGGACGGGATATAGCTAAGCGATTGGACGAATGGGGTGAAAATATTAAGAAAGAGGTAAAGTTGTTTAATGAAGTTGTTGATTATTATTTTCCTAGCTACATAAATTTTAGGCCGAAGCCTTAAAAGATAATGAAAATGGTAAAAACTTGATGGAATCCGTTGACAAATCCATTGAAGAAGAAAAGCAATCACCGAACTTAAAGGCTGTTATTGAAAAATATAACAGAGGAGCAGATCCATTCTTATCTAAAATTGAAAAAATAAAGGAATCTGCGGAACCAAAGTTTCAAGAACTTTCCCAGAAAATGCTCGATGCAGTCACTAGCACATTACAAGACATCGCTGAGATTTTCCAACAAGAAGTTAAACGAATAAATTGTAGCCTACACTAGTCTGCATAAAATATTTATATGATACATTTCCAAAGAGATCGATGTACAAAAACATTTTGGTGTATCCATTGTCAAACCACATTTAGTTTTATATATTATAATAGTTTTGTTGTGAATGTGTTGGAGTTTCCAAGTGTAATTTACGTCAGCTCACGTAAAAACAAAAAGCCATACTTTTAGGCGAATAAATTAATAAATAAAAACAAATATACGAACTGTTTTTTCACATCTTAAAGAATATAGAATTAATCTGCATAATAGTCCGATGACCACTTTAAAAATTAATAACTCGTAAAGTATTCAATATTTATCGCAAATATACATACTTCAAATTGGAAATGGAAAAATTAAGGTAATTTTTCTAATTAAACTGCAGGTTCCTCCATTTGTTGGAATGCGTCTTGATGCATATTCGAGGAGGAGCTCGGCAGAAAATCGCTTCGGCGGCTTTTATGTTAGGACTCAGGCCAACGAACTGATGTAAACTGAAGAATACTTGGTAAAGTGTAAGGAATCTTTCAATTAGTATGATATATATAATTTTAAAATCCTTATTTCCGATCATAAAATATAGCCATTCAAGAGAGAATAAACAGCAAATGCTGGTGGAATACGTCAAAAACAGTAACGAAGAATTGTACGTACACAAACAGAATATGATTTTTATAGTATAAACAATTATTTTAAAGAATAATCAATTGTTTTATCATTTAACGAAATGAAGGACCGTGTCATTTTGTAATCAAAACAGTCTTAATTTAGTTATTTTTTCTAACTAGCGCTGACGCATAAGAAGAACAAAGACAATGCTTAACATAGTTCTAAGACTTATCATCGCTATCTATAGAATATACCTAAGAATAATTAAAAAATGTCTCCGAAATATATAAATACATATATGTATGGAAATTTCAAATTAAAGTAAATAGATTAATAGTTTTGATGCAGATAAAGGAGCTAACTCTTTAATAACAAGTGTGTTAAGTAATTATGTATATTGTTCAAATTACCATGCTATAATTTTAAATTTTCAAGCAGTAAATAGAGTTGGCACAAAGTACAGCCTAGAAGTAGCAGAAAAGTTTTCGGAAAAATAGATAAAAAACGTTAGTTTTGTTTTTTTTTATCTGAACGTTGAAAAAGTGAGCTAAATCTAGCTTCAAATATTCGCAAACACTACTATTAGGTTTTCAATTTTCTTAGTAATCAAAATATAAGATATTGAAAACTTTCGTTATACGTACGAGTATATTTATTTAAAATATAGATTATTCGTATTTGACTTAAGTTAAGTTGCTTGCTGTGTCCATTGAACATTCCATCCTTACATTCCAGCCTTTTCGTTTTCTAATGGCGTATGTGAAAGAATCTGTAAATTACTCTATCAAAATTTTTGAAATTTAATAACTTTTACATATATCATTAAGGCGTCAAACACTTTTGAAATGGTTGAGCCTTATAGAATTTTTTTTATCATACTGTGATACTGTCATAGCTGAGTGATAGTGTTCAAGCAATTGCGTAAAGTTAATATGGACATTAGGATCTCGCTCACGGCGCTTATGCAAAGATGAAAATTCAGTTGGCAAGGAATGTCTAGTCAAGGTTCCTCCTAAACCCTCTGCCTTTCGGAGGCGGCTTGGTATAAATTGTAGGTCGATTCATTTGTCGGAAATACGTATACACAAATTGGAGGAGGTGCTCGACCGAAAATCTCTTCAGCAGTTACAAAGCGCCAAGGAAGTCCAGGCAGAACTGTTGAAAATTGTGTAATATTTTCGACGTTATCTGTTTATCACGTTCATTTTTGACCATTCGTCGAAATTATGACAGATAACACCTCGCATTAGCTGTGTTCGTTCAGAAATGTCAGAGAAAATTAGCCAGTAAAGAAATTGAGAGTAAAATGTTTTACTCTCACAAAGAAAGAAATTTATTGAGTTTTCACCGAACAGGATTCAATGAAATTTTGCTAGCAGGATGTATAGAGCTGATTATTTTGGCGGTTAAATTTGAATCCGTTCATTTATGCAGTTTATTTGTTCTGCTTTTAGGTTTTTTTTTTTAAATAAGCATTTTTAGTTTATTAATTGGATTCCAAATTTATTGTATTTCAACAACAATGAAATTCTACATTCTTTGAAGCTTTCCTACGATAAAGATACCAATATGTGTTTTCTAAGAGCCGTCTAAAAGGTCGAAGATTTATGTAAAACTGGCTTTGAAACTATTTGTCCCATATATTTCAGAGTTTCAGGAAGGATGTTTGAAATACGAAAATGGGTTTGGAATTATTTTTCCGCGTAAGCTGACAATATGAACCACATTATTGTGGAGTTTATTCCATTCTGCTTATATAAAAACCAAGCAAGAGCTTTATTTTGCCTTTTAAACGCCCCTAACATTTCAATTTGGACATCGTCGTCGCTTCCGGAAGCTTAAGAATGCATTATCGTCATTGTGACCTTGCTTCGTAATGTCTTTCGGCTCATTTGGTCGACACTGTTTTTTTTTAGTAAGTTTAAGGAATCTACAATCATTTTGCGATGTACAAAACATAACATATTCTATTTCCATGCCTTCAACATTCCTAACTTATAATTCATCAACGTGGGTTCGGTGGTATGCGGTCGATGATTCAACTCCACTGCCACCACTTTCTCATTTAACGAGTACCTTAACTATTTAACTGAATCGTTGATACCATTCAATTTACTTAGGCAAAGTTATATACCGCTACCACTTTTAACTGAATTTTCGGCTTAACGAAAACATTCAGTAAACTTTGGTAAAAATTGTTACTGCTCATTTGATCAACGAACATATTGTTAACCATCCGCCTACAGAAAATAATTCAAATCTTCCATGCCTTTAAGATTAGAAAAAATTCTTACATCTCATTCTTATAAAAGAGAGATATATATGTTTTACTTATATATACTCGTATTCATATGTTTGTGCCACTGTAAGCATGACACCATTAATGCCTTCGTTCTTCAATGCGATTCAGTCAATTTAACTCCTCATGATCAGCTAAACCCGGGCTAAAATAATAAAACAAAGGCCTTACTATTTTTATTTATTTTCAAGAAGGAATTTCGCTTGCCAAAATCATAGAAAATTCATTGACAAACTCTTTTTTACTCCTTTTAAAGGCGAACCACAATCACAAAATCAAAATTTTGAAGATTTTGAAGTCTTCAAATAAAAAATAAAATGAAATTCCAACACACAAATATAATCTAAAAATAATTTTGACAAACTCTAGTTACATTAATGAATGAAAAAAGTTGAATTCTTAATATACTAAGAGTTTTTTTTTGTAAATCTTTGTTTACACAATGGACATATTTTCTTTTCACTTATATTTAGTTACCTTTTCCGTAAGCCTCTAGGTTATAGGATGTGCTCCACCAACTAAAATGTTAGATGATACGCAAACGAAAGCATCAACTTGATAAAAATTAATGCCCTAAAATATTGTATATATGCTTATACCCGCAAATTAATTCGGCAGCACAGAAATCGTAGAACGAAATAAAACAACTAGATAAATTTTGCATAAAAATTTCACAATGTAAAGGTATTATTGGATTAGAAAAATATGAGGAATTGAAAGCAGTTTTTGTCGTTAATATTATTTGCAGATACATTTTGTATACCGTTAATATTGTGCAGTTGTTCTCCGTTAGAATAATTTACTTCATAGTTCTCGTTGGCTTAATGAGTTTACTTGAAGGTGGTGGCAATTTACAAAATCCAGTTGCGTCAAAGACAGGAAGTAATTCACGAACACGACTACTCTTATTCCCATCAAAAATTCTAAATAAATTATGTATATATTTTAATCCAATTGCAAAAAAGTAATAGTTACAAAATATACCGTCGCTTATAATCAATTTTAGCATCTTTCATTTGAAGGTTTGCCTCAGTTGGGAAAAATGTCGCATCATAAAAATTTAACCCATTTTGTAATAATATGTTATATTCGTCCATTGAAGCGAGAGTTATTCGAATTACCGCTGTTGCTGACTCTCGACGCTCCGCCTTTTCAGTTGCGTCATTCCTGGTTACAACTGCCCCTTAAATTAAACATATCAAAACTTATTAGATTATATTTATTTTATGTAAGATTTATGTACCAAATATTATGGACAATATTTTTACACGCTTAAGTATGTACATATGAGGGTATCCGTTATTTACCAGGCAGTCCCCACCACTGCTATGTTTATAGCCCCAAAGGAAAAAAAAAACCAAATGAAATGGGGATGAAAAGCTGCTTTTGATCTTTAATTTCATTTTTGGGCCAAATTTCGATGCGCTTAGTAAATATGTAACCAGCACTCTAATTTATATATACAAATTTGTTGATTACAATTTTAATTGTTCTTAACTATATTTACCTTCTTGAACTTTGTCATTTTGTATTGGTGGTTGAGTTTGATAATGCAGGCGGACTACTTCAACCACCGAATCAAATTTATATAAAGCATGTCTTATGTCTTCAACTGGTAAATCTTCCGGAACATCCATAACAAAGAGGGTGAACGTTTTCTTAGGTCGACATGGAATCGCTATCTGAAAAAATATTTTTTATTCGTATAGAACTTGTGAAACTCGTGTCTTGTATTACTAATATATTTTCTTTTGGTTTATTTTCTTTTCAGCTTTCAAGCTGAGCTCAATCTCCGAATACACCATGTTGCACCCAAAAGTGTTCTCGGAGATTCACGTTAGAATCTTTGTAATATGTCTATATTGGACGCTTAAGCATTACAGATAAGTACTTTGTTGTTATCTTTGTGCCCGCTGTGAGCTACAGCTCCTTGGAGAAAATTCAATGTTTCCAGATGAATGTCTGACCAAATAGGTATGGAGCATTATTCACAAAGTTGACGAGTGAGGTTGGTATTTGACTGCATTCATTTTTTTTATATTCTAGCTCTTTAATTCAGAAAGTAGAAAGTCTGAAAGACTTTAATGAAAATTTTGTATTTTTGTTATTCCACAACACATATATGTACATATACGACAACGCGGGTGGTAATACCTCGAATCTCTGCTCGTTAAGTACATTGAAAGAAAATAATTATGAATTGCTTAAACCTACACTGAAAAATGTACGAAAATTCGACTCATTACATATCTCTGGACTAATCTTTTTATTGAATTTAACAAATGTTTCGCTTTGCAAAGGAGGTTTTTTTTTTAATTTATAAAAAAACGTTTTGCCGTCAAAAAAGATCGTGAAGCAATAACGGGTTCGATATTCATATATTTTTACTGAGAACTGTAAGAAATAAGTCAAGTTTCGTCAACTGACTCGAGAAAAACATGTTCGCATTACCACCATCTGACTTCAAATCTAACTTCAACTAGGTTTTAGGTTTTTGAATTATCGTGATTATCATGTTTTCATTTTATTCCGCTTCATAGAGAAGATTTCAAACAGTTTTAAGAGAATTTATTTTTTGTTTTGTTTCAAAGAGAGGAACACGCTTCTGTTCTAAATGCCTAGCAGAAATTTTCCAGAATCTTGACTACTAAGTAAGTACTTACTGAGTTCTGATGGTTCCATTTTGACCTATTTCAGTACCAATCTACTCTGAGCACCAGATAACATATATACATATATATCTCCAACAAATACACCCCCCACGGCGGTTTATGATATATAATATTTATGATTTTTGTATTTATGATTTTGTCCTTGTTCATTCTTTTAAATAAGTCCTTACAACATTTTTACCTACCTCACACGATTCTCATGAACCGCTAAGTGAAATTCAAATTTATCCATGTAACTCAAGTAGACTGCAGATTATCACCCATTTCTATAGGAATATATACATATATAATACATATTATATGTTGGCTCCGCCCCTCGGAATATTCCCATCCTTGGGTTACATAACAGTATGGTTAGTAATCATTTTCAAACGAAGTCCCTTTGATAAGTCAGTTAAAAGTAGTATGTTATGTAGACTGACTTGTCATCCTATCCTTTGGCAAACATCCCAACCGATTATTACGGATAATAGAGAGATCACTTGAAATCAGTAGAGATATTGCGCCAAAATAAGAGCTTTTACCTTACACGGTACATTTACTTTACTGAACAAATTGTGAAGGATATGACAACATTAAAAAAATTATATCAGATCGCGCGTTTAACGTAAAATGCAATCGAGAAACGGAATCTTGCTGTAGAATAGATGCCGTCCCCTCCCTCGGAGAGAAGAATGGTCGGAAAACGGAAGATCTTAGCTTTGTTATGGGTTTATTAATAGGGCATCTGATCCTGAGCTATTATCTACACTAACTGTATTAAGAAGAATCAACTGAGTGCAGATCATACATAGAAGTTAAGCAAACGTTGGAGCACTGCTTTAGTAAGTGTCCGGCCTTCTAAGCTTCAACCTTACACGAGGAAGGGATATTCTAATAGACTGAACAAAATCCCGCTTTCACCCAATACTATGATTTTCGCGTATTTTAATATTGTCTTCTCCTCCAGAGAAGTGGGATAAGGGTAAGGCTTTACAAAGGCTGAGGGATAAATATCCATACTGGCAGATCAAAACTTGACGATCGAGTGGGAGGTGGTGGTGGAGAGCCTTCTGGTTTTAACAAACAGGGTGCTTACAACATGAAATATATATGTATATATTTATATAAATATGTATATATGCCAAGAGGCTTTGAAATCATTAAAGTCTCATAAGATCTCGTCATAGATAGTGAGAAAATGTTTTAATTTGTTACTAGGGCTAATTTCCTAGGTACTTGTGAAGCAAATGAACTAGCCAGATTATTTATCACTTTACATTTAGATCCAGGTATGTATATAGATATACATATACATACCTCTGGCTATTTGCAAATATTTAATTGAAAATCAACAAAATGATATGGCTGAGTTTCGATTGAAAGAATCTCTGACATATGCAATAAACAAACATACATATTTTTGTAGGCAAGAATTTTCAAATTAGATATCAGGGTAATGTGAATGGAACCTCGTCCGAATGACTGATGGGTTTTTAAATTATATTATATAATATAAGCTGTTATTTCAATTAAAAAATATATTCGGGCCGTTGGCACTCCCTGCCGAAGGGCGACCACCTTTAAGCAGAATTCAGAACTCGGCTACTGCCACAACAGCTGAGTGCACATAAGCATTTATTTGTTTTTATTGTATCTTTAATAAAATCAAACTCATTTATATGATTTCGATTGAACATATTTAAGGCCTAAATATATCCAGTTTTTAAGTTATGAGCGAACTCCATATAAAAAACTCTCAAGTTCATGGTTAAGAAAATTTTTGCTGTGATGTGAACTTTGAATAGTTTGTTTTGTTGATTCATATTTGTTTGTTTAATATGTATGTATGTAGTATAGTATTCATATTATATATATAATATATACATAATAATATATAATATATACATTTTTATATATATATAAATATATATATATTTGTATATATATATAATTGATGCTTTGTAACCACTGAAGCAATTTTTCGGCCGAACTCCTTTATGGTTTTGCGTTTTGATATCTTTCCAACAAATGAAGGGACCTATAGTTTATACTAAGCCGCCTCCGAACGGCTTATATTTTTTATGAGGTGTTTTATTTCATGTCAGAAATACACTGGGAGGGGTTGCCATTCCCCACCGACTTAATATTTAATTTAAATTAATTTCCTATAACTTTTGGATGTTGGTCGCAGGAGGACTTGAACACGAGCCTTCCCAATGTCAGTACGCAATGCTAACCACTCGGCTAACGCGGCCGCCATTCATATAATATTATAAATGCACATATACTCTTAAGTTAGAGAATCTATACCTTCATTCCTCTTTCGATAAATACTCCCTTTTTCATAGAAAAACTTATGTGGCAACCCTTGCGAACTCGGCAAAGTATATATGTCAACAATTGTTTTCTTAAGGAAAGTAAAGTAACGTTTTTTTTCAGAAATGGAGCTCACCTAGTTTTCAAAGTAAAATTTAAAACGGCAAAAGCCGCCTAATTTTCTTGCGGAGTAAAAGCACAAATTAGTGGTTGGGGTGAAGACGTGGCTCAGATTTTGGGACTTGGCAGATACTTTCGTAATAATATAAAAACACATAAATAATATTTAATCTCATTGTATACATCTTGCAGATATTTTTTACACTTTTCTCCACAAATTAAATTTTCTTTGCTATTTTCCACCACCTGATTGTGGTAGGGTAGTTTCTACGTTTCTACTACAGTTTTTTTCTTAAGTATTTATATACCATTGTTTACTTGACAATGAACTTAAGAACTGAATGTAGGCCTTTAGTAAAGATAATTGCTTTATTTACGTTTTTTAAATTGAGTTTTTAGTTTTTTTTTTTATTATCTAGTGTGGAAACGATGAAGTGCTGAATGTGTTTTAAATATGTACGTACATAATTTTACAAAAGTAGTTCAAAAGTTTTTTTACAACATATTTACAGCCGCTTTCTAAAACGAATGTGATGGAATCTTTGCCACAGGCTTTATAGTAAACAGTGTCTTACCTTTCGATAAAATCTCGCTCCTGTTATTTTATGAAATCCCTTTTTATAAACAGCCTGATAGTCGTCGGGGTGTGAGAATTTAAATAAAATTCCGGTAGCAGTTTTTGTTAGACTGAAACATCCTTTAAAATTCATTTTCTCACAAATAAGTGCTGCACGCTCCATTGATAATTCATGTAATGGTGTTAGCAAAAATGCACCTTAAAAACATGACAAATGGATATTAGTTAATAACTTGTTTTATTTGGTTCATAATTGGTTTCCGCTGAGCTTTTTTTTAGGTTGCTGGCAATTATGTATTGAAAAATTTTATTACAATAAACAAATTATTAAATTATATAGTATAAAATATATTATTATATAAGGGAAAAGGAAGTATATATTAGGCTGAATGCACCCAGCGTGAACCACTCAAATTCAGGCAAACTTGGGATATATCTATGTTAACCTTAGAAAGAAAAAGTCCTTCCAAAATAAAATTAAATAGCTGGGTGTTTAATATTCGGATTCATCGGTTGCAAGGCGCCAAGCGTAAAAATCGACTTATTTAATTCAAAAAATTCTGCTTTGCTTATATCGGGCTCGAATTTTCTTATGTTTTTTCTTTGCAATAAATTTACTTATGCTAATTCTAAATAAAGAAAATTGTAATTTGCAAGAACAGTAGGATTAATTATAAAAATATTACCAATTAACACATTAAGATATGAAAACAATTTATAAGAAAATATGTACATACAAATATACAAATTAAGCGAACAAAATTTGTTATTTTGTTATAATATTTACTTAATAAAAACAAGTTAAAGCATTTAGGGTCATTTTTTCGAGTGCCTGTTAATGTGAGGATTACGAAACCGACAGTTTTTTTAAGATTAAATTTTAACTAGCAAATTTAACGATCTGACCTCATTTTCTCGACCTCGTTAAATGTGTAGCCAATATTAGATAGTGCTGCGAAGAGGAAGAAAGGAACGACATAAATCAGAGCTCTAAACGTTAATAAAGTAAAAAAAAACAATAAAATTTTATAATTTTTCAAATATTCAAATATTCTTGGGCAAAAAGCCTTCTTCAAGCCTTACCTCAAGCTCATTATAATTATGTATTATGGCAAAAGGAAATAAGTAAATTTGTAAATCAGCTGTTTTCTGTTTGTAAGCAGAACAGATGTCGCCGTCAAAAAATAAATTGTTAACCAGTGCAGGCAGTTGAAAAAACAAAAACGTGTTTAAAGAGAGGTTAAATTTTATTCGGCACTCGAAAAAACGGTCCCTATTATGTTGAAATACAAAATGTTGTTGCTTACTGTATAAAATGTATTCGTTGAAAGTGTTTTTAATTTCATTCTCCGTTTATGATGATATTGTTCAGTTTATAAAAAATTGGTTTTCAGTTCAAAAGTTTTTTTTCTGTTTTGAATATTTTTATATTATTATTTGATAACCTTCCAAAATTTAGTAATTGATCACTTTCCCTTTCTTACGTAAGTGATTTTGAAGATCATGTCTTATGCTGAATGCATCAAGTGTGAACCACTCATGGGATATATCTATGTTTCTTTTAACAAGAAAAATAAATCACATTTTGCTATTGTACTATTGTACAATTTAGTTTATATAAAATGTTTTTAGAATATGTTTTTTTAATATAATCATGATTTACACGTTTGTCAATACAAAATTATTTATTATATTTTTTAGGTAAAATATTATGAGCGATATATAACTACAAATAATATAAATTTCGTAATTCGCCGGGTTTTTCCACCTCTTTGTGGGGTGTATCTTAATGTTTTTTTCCTAAAAAATGGAGGGATATTCAATTTTAAGCCATTAGTTGATAAATATTTTTCGTCGATTTTGACCGATATCAACAGGTTTTTTTTTACTTAAAATCAGAATTTTACTTTTTTAGTTTTTACGACTTTCCGAAATTCACTTCACCATGTTCAACAAGCTGACAATATTATATGTCGTTGAATAGCTACGGGCTCTTCTTTATTTGATGTTATTTTTATTGACAAGAACACATTTTCAACATCTAAAAAACTATAGCACTGTAGCGTATTTCAGGCCATATTATATTTATTCAAACAAATTTTGTTGCATAATGTTATTAAATTTTTTTTTTGTATTCAATTAATGTTATGAGGACTACGAAAATATCTTTTTTTATCTTCTATAAAGTCATGATTTCTTTAAGACACCTATAAGTGTTACTCTAAGCAATTAATGCCCAAGCTATTTGTTAACTTTTCTCCACTATAATTTTCTTAGCACCTTTACTTTCATTAAGTTTAAGCTGTTTCTAAAACTTCCAACACTACAACGAACTTTAGCTTTTAAATTATAACAATATTTTTCTATTGTTGTTGTTGATCAATAATCTTGTTTAAATATGGTTTTAATTATATCACTAACCTCGCGTCAGAAAGTTTTCTGAATAAGACAATTCTGACCCGGATTCATCATCTTTTTTATTGGACCATTTTGATTCCAAGGACAACTTATTAGCAGCTAGTTTTGAAATAAATTCTGCATGGCGGTTTTTTGGTTGATCTCCTCTTTCGCATTCAGCGTCTGAAGTGTTTGCGCCGATATACGACATAATTGCGAAAGTATAAACTCAGCGGTTGTTTCCGATCGAATGAACTGTGTTTAATAATATGAATTACACTTTTATAGAGAAGAATTAAGCTTGTTCGTTAGCACACCTCCAACTACAAATTAAAAATGGGCAATAGTGTTGTTAAGCCCGTAAGAATGGAGCTACGTTGTAGATATGATTAATAGTGTAATCTTTCCGCATAGAATTGTTTGTGATATTTTCTTTATTTTGTCCAAAAAACAAAATTGACATTATAAATCGCGTGTGACTTATTTCATGACACTTTATCAGCCTTTTACGATATCAGTTTCAGAATGAATAAACCACTCTTAAATAAATAGCTCAGATAAAAGTATGTATATTTTATGTATTTTAAAGTTAAAAAAAATAAAGGCAGTATTTTTAACAAATATTTCCGGGTGTGCGAAGTTTTTAATTATTATACCAATGTCAATTATGGGCTAAGTACATGTAAAGCTTTTCAAATCAGTCGGCTCTTTAAAAAAATGCTTAGTCCAGTAAGTAGAAGACATGCTGTTGACTATAACCCTTCTGAATTTTTTCATTTACCTAAGACATTTGTATTGTGTCTAAAATAATTAACTAATCATTTTTAAATTAAGCATTCTATGAGTTGAATGTACAAAATTTTGTTTCTAAAGTTCTATCGACTATCGAAAAATTTGATAATAGTTCTGTTCGGTGATCTGATGGGCAGTAACAATTGTTACTGAAACCCAATTTGCATTTTGGTAGCAATGTTATGTCTGATATATTTTACTATATATGTACTCGTATAAATATTGTTATCAGCTTCACCGTCAAAGTTGTGTAACTGGATAGGAGCGCAGAGAATTATGAGAAATATAAGAGAAGTTTTTTTTGTAATTATATGCTTGTGATAAGTTCATTTAGTAAATTCTAAATTTTATCTGGACGTAAAATATGATCTTTTCTCTCGTAGGGAGGAAAATAAATGTATAAAATATTATGAAACTCACGGTATTTTCCCAAAAAGATAATTTGACGTTGGTGAAATGAGAAAAAGGCAAAAATGCATCAAGTATGGCATTAGGAAATTAAAAAAAAAACTCCACAAAACTGTGTGGAAAATTATATAAAAATAAAGATTTCACTAACTTTTATTGCTCTTATTATATTAACATACATATCTATGCAATCATATATATAGCAGCAATGGGTATTGGCATCTCGAATACGTGTACATGAAAAACGTAAATAAGTCGGAAATAGTGTCACTACGTACGTACATGGATCACAATCTTTCTTATAACACAACCAAAAAAAGTTCATGCTTCAGTGCGACTGGAGCATATTCAGAATATACATTTGTATACATATACATATATATGTATTTTATATAGCAATTGTTTGTGCACCCAAAACTTAAAGATGTTTATTTCACATTGAAAAATCGCTTAAACCGTGGAATACTTTTTGGAAAAATTCATAAACAGCAAATTTTTGATGCAAATGAATTGGATGAACCAAAACTCATTAAAAACTTTTCTGAATTCATTCACAGAAAATATCTAAAATATTTGTATGTGATATTTATTGTCCCATATTATGATATCTTGTTTAATTTTCAAATTATTTGTAACGTTCTATTGTATTGCCATAAAGTATTCAAATACACGTTCTGTTGAATATTACAGTGTCCTTTGGTGTACACAAAGCAGTGATGAAAACTTAGGCAAAAGGTCAATTTAAACAATCCAGATACATGTGGTTTATTCAATTTTTATTTTTGGACTTAAAATTCGATCATTTTTACTTTTGTACAAACATATAGTACATATTATATCCATCCATAATTACGGTACAAAACGGAAATAATTGCCAAATACGGCATGTTTTATAAATACATATATACATACATCAATTCGTACATTCACAAATGAAAATGTAAATAAATATATAAAAATATGTAGGCGTGACCAATAAAATTTCTATTAATTTTTCTTTACGTCATTTCATATTGAGTTTGAAGGCCATAAAAATAAAGTAAGGTAAATAAATTTCCTCTTTAATTTAAGAATTAGCTAATTGTATTAAAATCCCTTATATAGAAATTCTACCGTACGAATGATTGGTGGTATTCAGAGCTAATACAGTAAATATTGCAAACAGCATTTGTGAGTTCACTGATAATATGATAGATAGAAAGAAGCAAAATTTAACTTATGTTTTGTGTTAGAAGATTTTAACTTAAACATTATACATCCTACCACGTGGTCGAGCCCTGGTCAGAACAACACCCAAAATTAATTAAATTGATAGAAAACTATTGTAAGTAAATAAAATTTTATAACAACGGTCGTCCTCGTCTCTAAAGGTTTGCTTATCGTTTCCTTTATGCTATATTTGGTGTCCTGGGAGCATTGGACCTGTCAAAAGTTTTGACACGGTCAACCATTCAATGCTACTATCGGATATTGAGGAAACCTCATTACCGCCGCTACTTGTCCTGTCGGTAAAAATCGAGATAAAACACAGAAACTCAGAACATCTGGCCAGGATATTGATGACTTATGCTCTAAAGGAAACTGCTATTCTTGACAACGAAGGAGTAAAACTCGAAGTTATTGGAAGTCACATTCGACAGCCTGCACTTCTTCGCTCCGCATTCGACTACCATTGACGCGAAATTCCAGAGACGCCATAAAACCCTCAAAGCGTTAGCCGACAGCACCTGGGAATATTTGCTGGCAACGCTCAAACCAATTGGCAGGCCGGTCGTAAGCTATGCTGTTGAAGAAGTTACAAGCCTGCTAAACCACCGTCATCAGGACCGTGGCAGGAAATATTCTGATATTTCCAAAGCATCACTAGCACAGCGAGGTATCGTTGCTAGTAAAGGACAAGACAAATTTACACACGATACTAACAAGAATACAAAAACAAAAATCCTAAGTATTTTGTTTGTGTAATCGAAGTTTCGAAAAGTCAAAAATGAAATTCGTCAAAACTTATTTCTCATGTATTTTGACTGTGTGATTTGTTGAAATGGAAGGAAGAACAAGCAATCATATGATGTGACAACTTCACCTTCTTTAAATTCGGCATTGGTAAAGGAGCATAAATAATGCTTTGCTGTGCAAGTAATTTCTGCTGGGTTGCCACCGAAGGGAGCACCCAAACAAATATTTATTAAAAGCTGAACTGCCCCATCGAGCAGGAAGTACTTGACTTAAAGGACTCAATTCAAAAACATGTACAACAACCGGTGCACAGAACAGCGTACAGACAAGCACTTAACGCCATTAACCAAGAGTCAGTTAATACGTTTATGAACTCTCTCTTAGATGCGACCCCGACATACAGAACGTATGTCTTGCATGTAACGAAACAGCTCGTTTCCTCGACCTCCCGTTAGATGACCTGGATGACTTAGACTGACTACTCTGCTCCAAAGCGAAGTTGGAAAGCCGCTTTGTCAATAAAAACAACAACAACAGCTTATGGGTCGACGAAGAGTTTTTGAAAGAAAGTTTTTGCGAAAGATTTATGGTTTTCAACGAGTTGGGAACGGCAAATGCCGCAGACGATGGAGCATGAGCAGTATGAAATATACGGCAACATTGAGATAGTTCAGCTAATCAAGAACAGCAGCGGCGCTGGTTATGTCATATGGTCCGGCTGGATAATAATTTAATAATAAAATCTTAAAAAGTTTTCGATGCAGTACTCGCCGATGGAAGCTGAGTTAATGAAGACCTCCACTCCGTTGGAAAGACCATATAGAGAAGTACCTGGCTGTACTTGGTACATCCAAGAAAAGAAGAAATGAATGGGGCAACGTTGTTAACTCAGCTATAATCGTGTAAGAGGTATCTACTCAAGTAAAGAAGAAGAATATTCTTAGGAACTTTCTACTTGAAAGCAACCGTGTTTCGGATTCAATATAGATTAACACCAGATTTAGTTTAATAATTCGTTTATCAACTTGATAGCCAACAATACTAAGAGGCAAAAGAATAACAACAATATCTACTGGGAAACAGGTACTTATTCAGTTGTGAGGAAATTTTTGCTTAAACGCTTTTTTTTTTGGGGGGGGGGCTTATTTGCAGTGTGAAGGGTTATGTAGGGTAGTTTTGAAAATGGAAACCATGTTTTTGATTGGTAAACTTTGAAATACATTACAACTCATTTAATAAATGTAATTGCCCCGAAAATCCATTGTGTTTGTCATTCCTCTTTGCGCCTTTTGCATATTTTGACGATTTGACAAACTAAGGGGGCATCTTTCTTTGTTTTTAGTAACAAGAAAATGTCCGTTGTCGATTAGCGTTAAAAATTAATTAGATAATCGCATAATCGTTAGCGCAAGCGACAAATTCGCCGGTTTGCGAAAAGACATTTCGTGGTGACAAACGTTATTGAATTGCACCAATGATGCTCGAATCAGAATGTTATTATATTATATATACAGTGGCTCACAGTTATGTTTATTTTATGTAACTTACTTTCGTCCGCAAAGAACAAAGTTAAAATGGTATGTAAATTGATATTTGTACCCCTAAAGGGCTAAAAATCAAAGTGCAATGCTGAAGTTTGCAAACGACCATTTATAAATAATATATAAACATGAAAGTTTCTGAGATACTACTTGTTTAGATCAGTTGGAAAGAGGTATGTATGGAGAAAACCAAATGCTGCGTTACAATCGCAAAATTTACGTAGCATAGTGGAGGTCATGTAATTGTACTCAATAGTAAATACTGTGGATAAGACTGCGTTTTCGGACATTTTAAAAAGAAATAAGTTGCAAAGTGCCTCAAAATTAAATATTCGTGACAAGTTTCGGTACTATCGAGATAGTGATGCGTAGCACAAATCAGACGTTGTGCAAAATTGGCTTATTTGGAATTGTCCGCACATAGTGCAAACCCCAGCACAGTGTCCAGAATTGAATGTTATTCGTCAGTTTTGGAACGAGAGATTCGAAATCAAGCCGACTTAAAAAAACGCCTTATCAACAGAATGGAACATCAACAGAATGGAACAATATTGCTCACACGAAGAAGTTAGTAGAATCCATGCCCAAACGTATGAAAGCAGTCAAAGACAGCAAAGGGTATCCTACCAAATATTAATTAATATACAATTTCAGTGTTGTTCTAATTTTTAAATAAAACTTATTATACTATTTCTTACACAGCCGCATCACTTTGGATCTGAGTCACTGTATATATAATTGGTACTTTTTAACGGCTGAAGCGATTTTCGGCCGAGCTCCTCCTCCTATTTATGGTTTTGCGTCTTGTTGTTTTTCCAACAAATGGAGGGACCTACAGTTTATACTCCGAACGGCTTATGTTTTTTATTAGGATATTTATTTCATGTCAGAAATTCACTCGGATGGTTTGACGTTCCCTGCCGAAGGGCAACAGCAGTTAGTAAATTTAAATAAATTTTTTATTTAAAAAAAAAAATTGCATATAAATTTTTAGGACCAGGACTTGAACCCGAGCCATCCGAATGGCAGCACGAAATGCTAACCACTCGGCTACCGTAGCTGCTATGTTATTATTATCGAAATGAAATTGTAGGTCTCAAAGAATTTTTGAATATTTTAAGGTTTGCGTTGTCTGCTTCTCACATCGCCCACCATCAATACATCATTAACAAAATTTTAACAATGTGGAGGTACTTTCTCCAATATTGCATTTACTTATTTATATTCTGAAATTGAGCAATTTTTATATATGTTTATTTACTTATAATTATATATTCGTATATTATATTATACCCTTGTAATTTTACATTCACATTTGTTGCCGAAACTTACGAATTAAACGATGGAAATGGCGTTCAACTCGAAAATAAGAATGCACCCATGCATAATGTATCCAATATTTTAATAGAAAGGCTTTCAATTTTTGCAATTAAGGTTTCTTTATTGACAATAAATGGTATTAAATATACTAAATTTTGTTAGGTTCTAGCAGGAATTGGCAACCCTGTTTACACCGCGCGGTCAACTGTCCATTTAGCGATATCCGTCTGAACCGTGTTATTACCGTGTATATCGCACTTGTTTCAATGGGTGCCATGGGTGGTATTGTCGGTATATAGTAAATTTTTTATCGTCGCTGTAGAGCACACTTGTTTGAGTGGTCATTTAGGCTATGAACAACAATGGTATCCAATGCATTTGTGCATTTGATGAAATAAAATTATATTTGCTAAAAAAGCTTTCATTCCTGTTTTTTATATAAACTGAGAATTTTAGTAGTTATGATGAATTTCAAAGAAATATATGAGAAATTTAAGATTTTTAAAAATATTAAATATTTACAAGTAAATACAAATATATTAATATATATTTATTATATATATGTATGTATATATTTATTGTTCAATATATATAATAATGTTTTATAACATGAAACCTTTAAAACTGGAGTAAAATAAAATGAAATGACAAAATTTGCCTAAAGTTTCTAAAATAAGCGTAATGAAGCTGCCAACATGCAGCGTGTGTCATGCCCGTTTTCATATTGTCCGATTAACCGGAGGATAGCTAACCGTCAGATAGACAGATGTGACAGTTTCGTTTTCACAAAAAAAAAGGAGAACACTAATAAACTCCAAATTAAACCATAGAACACAATATCAATAAACAATAAGTACAAACAGAAAAATAAACAAAAAAGTTACTCAGTGAGTACAAAAACAAAAATGAGTGCTTCGCGGCTATACCCGCCGGTTCGAAGGCTGTCAAATGCCTATTTTTCTTATTTCGAGCAAACAAAGCCAACATAAACAACGGCAAAAGAAAGCAAGATGCAAGCAGAAGAAACAGACGGCGAAGTCGGCAGAAAAACAAGAGAACAAAGGTAACAGCAAGCAAACACCCAGTAGAAAATCGCCCACCAATACAAATGAAAAGGAACAGGCAAGCGGTAATCCCAATGAGATAAAAAAGAACACAGGACAAGAGAAAATCCAGTCCTATTAATAACACCAAACAAAAAGGTGCAAATGAGTGGAACCAACGTAAAAGTCCAAGAACCCTCCATTAGCAACGGATTTGCATTATTAAGTGAGGACAGCGGTACCACAGTTTCAAATGCCAAACCACCGCCAATTTACTTACGCGAACGTGTCTCAGGCACGTTAGCTAATAATATTATATTATATTACCAAAATAGTCGGCACTAATAACTTTCACGTTGTGCCTTTAAAAAGGTACCATCGATGAAACAAAAATTCAAACTTAGAGTGAAAAAAGCTTCATACAAATAGTATATTTTCTATCGTCGAGTAATAAAAATTATTCCTCATATCAACTGAAGAGCTCGAAAGGACTAACCGTTGTAGAAACAAAGTTCCCCAGCCAATGTTTAAGATAGAACTAGATCCCAATTCATGTCAGATAAAGAAAAACGAAACCCATTACCGATGACGGAACTAATAATTTTATTTTGCCGGAACTTGCTGTTAACGGCCAGGAAAATCAGGTGGCAATTAAAATATCAAGCCTAGATACAGGCCACAACTTCATTGCATCACAAATGCTAATATAGCTACCAATAGTAGCACAAACATTGCTCTCTGAACTCTTTAATGCTATTCTGAAACTAATTTACTTTCCAAGCGCGTGGAAAAAGTCGCGGGTATTAATGATAGCGACTTTTTACAGACCAATAAGCCTACAACCAAGTCTTTCCAAATTATTTGAAAAAATTCTGCTACCAAAAATATCTCCTTTTCTCCACCGTAACATTGTGATACCAGATCACCAATTCGGCTTTCGTGTAAAGCATAGTACTATTGAACAAGTTAACCGAATAACCAATGAAATCAGAAAGGCATTCGAGCTCAAGGAGTACTGTTGTGCAATCTATCTTGACGTAGTAAAAGCGTTCGACAAAATCTGGCACAAAGATTTACTATACAAAATACATAAAACTCTGCCTGTTCAATTTTATATGATACTTAAGTCATATCTTTCAATTGGACAATTTACCATTAAACAATGTGAATTTATCAGTGAGGAGTATCCGGTAAAAGCTGGTGTTCCACAGAGTAGCGTCCTCGGGCCTATTTTATATATCATATACACTGCAGACAATTCGCTTAAATGGTATAAACATTCCCCAAGTAAATGATGTTTTATATCCCGATATACAGTTAGATTGACATCTCACTTGGAAGAGACACATAGAGGCAAAAATACTACACAAGAAATTAAAAGCAGCTAAAAAACTATACTTCAAAGTCCTTATTTACAATGCGGTATTAAAACCAATTTGGATGTACGATATTCTATTTGGAGGAGGAGCTTGCGGAAAATTGCTTCAGCGGTTAGAAAGCGTCAATTATATAATGTTTGAAGTAATATCCAAGCAGATTTGGGTAGAATTCAATATCAATTACTTATAGAAAATAGTAAAGGCCAGCATGTCAGAGCAAGGGTCTGGAAGGCACTTACTTAGGTAATAATGATATTGCTTGTGGACGCAATGCTACATTCTTGGAATACATCGGCGTTGATAAATTTATATTGTGGCCGGCTCAAGTATCGACTATTATTAAGTTTCGATTAGTTTTGCGGATCTATAACATAGAAAATAGTTGTGCTGAAAGGAGATTTGATATTATATTAATCAAAACATGATTGTGGGTTAAAGAAGTTGTGTTAAAAATTAAAAAAAAAATGCTTGAATGCATAACATATAAACTTTCAGTAAATTACATTGATATTCAAACCAAAAAGCTGTCATGAACCAATCTCTATCCCATTTGTAAGATGTACACACATATGCATATGTATACATTGGAGGAATCGATAAAGAGTAATCTAATAGTGAAAAAAATGTGTAGTTATTAACATTGCTGAATACTTGTCATAGTATCAATGTGAAAAAGTATCAATTTTATTGGGATCCAATACTGAAAAATGGTTTCGAAAATGTTTTTGATCTTGCTTCTTCTGTCATCTTATGCCAGTAAGTTATTTTTTTTTTTGCTTCACTGTAATATCCTTCTGAATTTTTTATGTCGATTTAATATAACCTTTACTAAAAAGAAGGTAAAATATAAAAATCATATAATATGCGAATTTTAGAAAGAGAATAATTAAAAAATGACAGTCGTAAGTAAATATCAGGATTATTGAATTTTCATGTATCGGATACATACTTATGCGTTCAGGAATGTGCACAAATTTACGTACCATATATACACACAAACATGGATTAGATAAATATTTAGTTTATATAGCTGTTAGAAAGGGTGGTGTCCCTTCTTAAAATCTCTTTATGAAGAAGTTTCGTCAAGCCAAGTGTTCTTAGTATGTTTATTAAGACAACGCTAGTATAAATTCAGTTATTTAGAACAATTTAATAAAAAAACAGGTTCCCTACTAAAATCAACCCTTGTTTCTTAGGTTTTCTTTCTGGTTAGATGATAATTCGACGACCCTGTATGAATAAAGGTTGGATTGTCGGGGCTTAGGCTTTATATATTATTTTTATTTAAAAATTTTATTCAAATGTTTGATTAGTTTGTGCATATAGGCAGTAGTTCATGATTTTACGATACAATATCACATATTGTGAATCCCTTAAAATTGTAGTTTGACAAAGAATGACGAAAATCTTAAAATAAACTTCAGTGCTATAAATATATTTTCAATAAAGCATTATTTGTGAATTAAGTAATTATTTCATTCTTTTTTTTTTTTAATGAACAACGAAAGAGAAATTTTTTTAATTGTGTGTTAAATTTTTTCGTTTAAATTGTCCGAACCATAAATTCCAATTTACTAAAAAGACCCGTTCTTGGTATACTTCCCCGAAAGGAAGGTTTTCTATATTATCCAACTCTCAACACAGCCTGTTCTTCTAACCAGACATTAATCAGAGTGCAGCAACGGAGCAACACGACGCAGCTGGGCTGCTCCTAGTCGTTCTCATCAGGGCTGGCTTCGTAATCAACCCTGGACCGACGGATTTTTTCTGCTGCGTATGCCAGAGAAGACTCCACCACTCCTCCATTTTGGTTAGATGCAGCCAGTGCAATGGTTCAAGTTATCTTAAGGTCTTCTCAGTCCTTAAGACCAATAGGGTTTGGACCACAACTTATATGGGCCCATGCTGCCAACGCCCAAGTGCATATCCAGCCACCACGGCAGTGCCCTCAGCACCCTTATTCATTTTGGTTACCAACAGACTTCTACGGTCTCACGAAGCTCCCCGCAGCATTATTCCCACTAATCCCCACCCACAAACAGCTCCTCCTTCTCCTCCCGTGCGAGGCCTACCCAGCAACTCCTAGTCCCCGTGGGTAATACAGCAACAACACACTCCATCCACGCATCTCTCCCCCACCCCCCGCATTACGAATGTCATTCCCCGCATGACGACACGACTGTTACAATTTAATTGCAACGGACTCCAGGGGAAGATCGACGAGATAGTCGACTATATTAGCCGGGAGCACCTGTGAATTGGTGCGACCGCCCGCTCGGATCTTCTGAGTCGGGCCGGATGCAACATAATCCGCAAGGATCGCGAGCGAAACCATGGTGGGGGCTCGGCGTTCATCCTACTCAACACCGTGCAACATCGTCTTATCTACGGCGACATAGACCGCAGGGATGTTAGCCTAGAATGACAGGGCATAGCTATCCGGTCAGAAGATGCCGAGCTCGAAATATTTAAAATGTACACAGCTAAAAGTTGCCCTGTTGGATACGTCCCTGATATAGGCGCCCTACTCAGAGGCGAAAAGCGTTTGGTTTCAGGCGACTTTGTCTGTCAAATGACCGTAGAGGAATGGAGCTGGCAGAACAGATAGACGATTCGACATTCTGCACAATGAACGACAACACCACCACCAGAGTTATGGGTAATTGCCAAAGCTCGCCGGATATAACAATTGCGAGTGCTGGTCTAATACCTATACTGACACTAGCATCGAACCACTTGCCCACACAAATCTCAACTCCATCAGACGTCACCTTAGGTGAACGATTGTAGCCGTAGCTGCCCGCTGAAATCCGCCCTAATTTCCTGACGGAAGCGGCGGTTCAACATCAAGGCGCGACACCTTTCGTAACGCCGATCCCGCAAATCCCCTAATCAGATATTTAAACGCAGAGATTCGCAGTTCAAATAACAACCATAATCGTTGTCTAAGCCGACGTGACGCGAGGGCCGAGTGGAAATTTCATTCGGATCCGGGGGAACCGGGGAAATCACCTAAGAAAGGAGAGTCTCCTCAATGGCGAATACACTTGAGGCCTTGCTGCTCCCGACTTTCACTCACCATCTGTGTCCAACAGCACATCAGCAAAGTACCACAGCAGCACTAAACGTCATAAACACCCAAATAGTCAATGACTTAAACCAAAACCGACCCTGCGCGCATGCTGTCCTGGTAGCCCTGGATTTGGCAAAAGCTTTCAACACCGTCAAGCATTCAGTGCTGCTAACGGACATTGAGGAATCCTCACTACCGACGGGGTTGCATAGGTGAGTCATGGGCTGCCTGAGTGGTCGGCAATCTTTGGTAATAACGAAACTTAAGAAAATTAAACAAGGTGGTATCCTCTCCCCACTACTGTTTAATATCTAGGTATCGAAGCTCCCTCTACTTTCCTTACCTCTTATGCCGATGATTGAACGATATTGACGTCTGGTCCATTGATGACCTTTGTTCGAAAGTGAACTGCTATCTGACTGGCCTTTCAAACTTTTTCATTGCACGACAGTTAAAATACAGCTAACTAAATCCTCGGCTACCATCTTCGCCAACTGAACGAAGGAACCCAAAGATATTTGGAGTCCCACTGGATAGCTTGCAGTCCTTTACTCCGCATACGATCGCAATTGCCGCAAAAACTCAAAGTGGAAGCCGGCAGCACCTGAGTTAAAGATAAAAAACCTTGCTGCCAACTTACAATTATTATTCTGCGGTTTTCTTAGCGTAAATTCGGAAAGCTTCAACATGGACGGCATATTCACAAGCCATATTTCTATGAATTATACACTCAAAACAACGTATCCAAGGGTGTGGTGTTGATAGTCTATGTTCGTAGAAGCATTTCCTAGTCTACTTACTTAAAGCTTCACTGCTGTCGATAAAATTAGGACAATTTTTTTCTCATCATTTTCAACATCAAGTAGAGCTGACTTTCCAAAATTACTTCAATGGGTCTGCAACCCCGAATTAAAGCCGACCGATTATTTTGCCAGAGTATTGTGGATCCTTTTTTATTCGCAGAGGTACAATACAAGCCCCAAATAAATTTTGATAATTACTCCGATTTTGGGAACACAAAAGCATTGTCTAACGGTAGAATGACCGCTGCTACAGTCACACTATAATTCGAGAAATCCATAATGTTAAAAAAAAACATATGATTAGCAACCGCCAAATTTTTTTTTGGTACTGCTTCATTGTACCAATTCAATTCGAATCTGGCATTATACCTAAAAAAAAAGCAAACACTGAAAAACATGCAAAAACCTGAATCTAATTTTTGAACATGACATAGATCACACTAAAAACAAAAACAAACACTGTGGCGAATCCGGTCGAGTCCTCCGGACGTACGCGTTTCTAAAATACTCTGTCACAAAGGGAAATTCGTATCACGATTAAAAAAATAAACCATACATGCACGGATCACAAATATTTTTTACTAATTCAACATGAAACTCGCAATAACAACTAATACACTCGCCTAAACGTGTGCTAACTTTGATAGCCCACAGTTGGGCAAATTTTAGGTATAAAGCAAAACAAAAAAGCAACAAATTCTTAAGTTTATTAGTTGTCAAAAAATCAAAGATCAGTTACTCTCACTGTGCTACGGAAGGATTTCAATTATTAATATATATATCTGTTAATTCACGAACTCCACATTTGCACGTACATATATCTATATGCATATTAAGAGATTCTAAAACATTTAAAACTTGCGCAATCACGGACTGCTTTTAGCTTATTGTCCATATAAAAGTTTTAAATACATGCATTGAAGCTCAAACAACACTTAAACCACTTGTGCAATCTAAAAAGAAGAAATATACTCACAATAACCCAAATTTGAAATTTAACGACATTGCATCTGATGTGCATGCTTTTTTTTATTTATTTATCATAATTATAAACTTATCCATAAAAAAATTATTTACAAAGAAATAATTTCAGTATTTATTAGAATCATTGACAAAAAACTGCTTATTCTCTCTAATTTTTTTAAAAGATAGTAAATCAAGTATACAATTTATTTGGTTTAGTATAAAGAAAGTATTTTCGCGGCAGTCATGAAATTAAAAACCCAGATTTTTTCTTAAAGTAGGTGAATTTTCTTTGTCCCTGAACGAAGAAAAATTAAAAATTGAAATTTTCGTAGCGCTTATTTTTTTTTATAAAAAAAGTAATTTTTTGCATAAAATTAGGCCACATATATTGGCTTGTAAATGAGTTGAAATCTCAGGGACTACAAAAACATGCTTAGAAGAACTGTGAAAAATTTGAACTCGATCGCTTCAATAGTCTTTGAGAAATTTTAACTATCGATAAAGTGGTTTAAAAAAAAACGCGTTTAAAGTTTCGCCATCGGTCAAGCCATGACACAAGCGGCGGGTTATAAAACTCTCTAATTTCTACAGTATCGTCCCGATCGACTTGGGGAAAATATTCCTGACACTTTGTATTTTTATACAAAATGTTATCAAAAAATTAGTATTTTGAAGTTTCAAGACCCATGTAACCCCTTAAACTCTATTCGAATTCAACAGAAATTACACTATATAATAGGAATAGTGACTTCAAAACAATATAAGATAGCCGCCATTGAAACAATTCCAACGATTTTCAACCTATTCAAGTTTTTCGCGTCTTGGTGTGATACCAATTCCAAAATTTAGAAAGTGTAGTATCAAATAATAATTTATTTATTATTGTATATTATTATATTTGTTCAGATAATCAAAAAAAAAAAAAATAATAATAAGGGGTCTGAAAAATAGAGTTTATGACCTACTGAATATGCACATAAAATTTCATTAAAATCATTATCAAAGCGTTTGAGAGGAGTATCGTGTCGTAAAACTGTGACACTAGAATTATATATATAACATATTAATGTAATATCGCGTAATCGTAATGTAAGACTTTAAGTTAATACGCTATGGCAACTCTTAGTTGCTCATATAGAAACTCACTATCATCTCGCTATTGCAATTTTCTATTGTCGATTCTTTATAGTGACACTGAAATATTTCGCATCAGAGAGCATACCACACGACTATCTTGACTTTACACAAGGTCCACAACAAACCAATTTTAACATATCCATATTTTTTGTTGTTAGAGTTTTTGTCTTTGTTATTCCAACTGAACTCATCGCCAAATCTGACGGATAACTATTCGTTCCACGTGGGCGACTAACATTCTTAGTTCCACTCGTACTCTTAATCTAGTTCCCTTGGGATATGACCCTCGGAAATTTCTGATGCCACCTTGACAATACTTGTACATAAGTTTATTTTGCAGTGACTTAGCATGTAGCGATCACCATCTAAAGCATTAACCTCTAAAAACGGGCATTTGAACTTTGGATCTAACTGCCTCTCCTCATTTTTCAATAACACATAGTCACCAACCTTGTGGCTCACAACTGTTGCTTTATTTTTATCAAAGATGGCATATCTTTAATATTCTCAGATGATATATGTATATATTAACCTTTTCACGTATATTTTAATCTCAGTGACAAAATATAGCTGTCACAAATTTCTTTAAAAAAATTTTAAGTTGCACATACCACATAAAACTACTTTTCTGTGAAGTAAGAAATATAGTGGTTGCATTATCTGAGAAAGCCAGAAAAAAAGTAGGAGGCTCTGACTGCGACGGAGGCAACAAGCTTAGGAAAATCGATTCTCATATCCCAAACACTGAACAAAAATTTTCAGGAAACTACTTAAAATTTGCAAAGCGTAGCATATTACAGAATCATTTCTTCCGTTAATATTGTACTACAATATTATTTAGGCGAGAAAGCTTTTAGCCAAACATTCCCTTTCGCTTCAAAATCGAAAAGAATGGGTTCACTTCTTGAGGATAGAGCCGGTGGTTTTTCTTTATAGGTAATAAAATTTACTTTGACAGTAAAATTTACCATTCAGTAAATTTTGTTACTATTTCGTATTCTGAATTCATGGCACCTTCCAAGTTTTGAAGATGAAGAAAAGAGTGCAGGAAGACGCATGTTAGAAAGTGTGTGAGAACAAAAATTGCCATTTTAATTGTGAAATTGGTTCCAAGAAAGCCTGTGGAAAAAAATACATTGATCGTATGCAATGTAAGATGAATATAAAACATATTGAAAGTAATGAAAAAAAAGATTTTTTTAGGTTTCTTTTATTAAAACACATATGTATATGTATATGTATAAAAATATAAAACGAAAAAAATTATATTCACTCTTAGCTTAAAATTCAGTACGCCTTCTTTGTGTCTTTAAAACACGAGTAATGATCGGAACTATAAGCAGGAAGCGAGATTTGAGTTGGTTAAATAGTAAACTACTAAATAGTGCCTATGGGATTACTGCAATGGACCATATAACTTAAAAATTTTTACAGGATCTGGTCGTTCTTGCAGGATCGTTTTTCGGGATAAAACGACGTGATAAGTTTGCGGCCTAAAGTACTTAATGAAGCACTGAATAGTTTTTTTTTTTTAATATAGTCTCTCTCAAGCGAAATACACTTTTAACATCGTAAATACAATGTCTCTATACCACTGAAAAAATATTGCTTACATTTCTCTTCAAAATGCCACATTCATTTCACTGACCGTAATTCCTTTTATAAACTTGAAAAAAGGGAAAAAAGTCATTAGGAGCCAAGTTCGGGCTGTGGGGCAGACGGTCAATTTCTGTAATTCCATTAACTTTTAAGACTTGCATCCCTATCAATGTGAAGAGTTGTTCTGAACGACTGCCTCATGCGAATGACCCAATAAATTGCCGTATTACTGGCCGTTCATTGCAGTTCCCTTTCTCAAGAACTAAAGGAATAATATTACCTTGTTTTCGACACCGACTTTTCCACTTTGAATTTCCACTGCATCGACTCCTGTTTGGTCTCGGAATCATACTGACGAATTCAAGTTTCATCAACTGTTACAATGCGGTCCAAAAAATCTTGACAAGCGTACTTCGTTGATATAGTTTTATTTCTTGTTTCATGAACGAAATGTTGATGAAGCTAATGAAATAAGATCAGTTATTTATACTAATACTGAGTTTATAAGAGGAAATAGTATTATCAGTAATGACTTGTTATGTCCACTCTCTTAGGTCGCGAAAAAGTCAGTCGCCCCTCGTATATGTACACTGGCGTGCATAAGTGAGTGCATGCTGACTATATTTTTACTAAAAGTGTAAAAAAAGTGATATATAATGAACGAAATTCTCAGAAGTTATATCTTATTATATTAGGAAAAGAATGACGTATTAAATATTACAATAAAAATACATAACCAAAAACATAAGGCCTCTCAATTAACTTAGTTTCTATTGAAATATTTTCCTATTCTGCCCGATTGTGTTGCGCCATGCGCTCTACGCTCGGCCCATTTACTGACACGTTTTTTTATGGCATTCGAAGCTTGCCTAGGTATTTTCACAGTTTTTTTCTTCTCCTGTACCATAAATCGCGCATCTGACTCTTTTGACAATCCAGAACAGTGCGTTGACTCACTTTTAATTTCCCAGCAATTACCCTGCATGTGTGTCATGGTAAAACGGGCAAATCTCAGTTTATTTAGATGGCTTATGTACTATTAAATTGTGATGATTATGGTTTTTTGTTGTGATATGGAATATGTCATTCATTGTTTTAATATAATAAGAAATAACTTCTGAAAATTTCATAAAACTTCGTTCATTATTTATCATTTTATAACACTTTTAGTAAAAATATAGTCAACATGCTCTCATTTAGCTCGCCAATGTACGTATATATACATATGTATGTTTTCTATTATAATATGTTATTATTTCAAGGGAAGCTTATATATTTTTTAGTTTCCATTCCGTATCAAATATTGCTGAAGATTTTAACAAAGTTGTCATTGTTACTTTTTTCTTAGACATAAACTTATGTGTAGAAGTCCATTTTGAGTCGGCAGAGAGTGGATTTTTTCTAAAACATTCACGGCAACCCCCAATCGCACCAGAAATATCCATTCAAACGCCAAATGTCACGCCCACGAAAATAAAAGCCACTTATGATTCTATCTTGTCTGTTGATCGTTTTACGGTGGTTCAAACAACTCAACCCGTATCAATTCGAGCTAGCTACGGGCCATTTTCAACTAAGCAAACTGTTCCAGCTCGTTATATTGTTCCAGATGTGCTGGAAAATCAAAATAGTAATTTAAATGTAAGTACATTTTATGTGAATATAAATTGTATTGTGTATTAGACCGCACCACTTAAATTAGTAAGTATAAACTAAGCTTATAAAAATATATGTATGTATATGGAGTTCGCCATTTGTTTAAATGCTACGTTAATATAATATGTTTACTCTTCTTAATTGGGTTTACACGACTTTATTTTCGCCGTATCAAAAAAGCATTTAGCATTTCTCTCTGCTGCTTACTCGTATCATATCAGACTCTTTTCCGAAATTATGTTCTTTTAAATAATGGAAGATCGGTATTGTTGTTGTTGTAGCCGTTCACTAGCCCTGCATAGGAGCTAAGTCATCGAGGTCATCTAACGGAAAATCCAGGAAACGAGCTGTTTCAACAGGCTCGGACCAGAGAGAAAAGTGAGATAGATGAGTTTATTTTAGGAGGCATGCAAAAAGGCAGGTAGGATCGCGCGGGGACGCATGCAGGACATACGTTGGATATGGCAGGCTTAAGTCTAGATTAGTAGGAGCTTAGGCGACTGGAATATCCAGATCTTAGTTGTGCCAGTATTACGCGGGACTGTCGAGGCAGCTTCAGCTCTTCCCAAACATTGGTGGTGGTTTGACTTCGAGAAAGTCGTTTGTTTGAAGAGAATTCAAGAAAATGTTAACGGACTCGGTATAAGCCTTTTAAAGCCTGTCGGTCAGCCATCCTGTTCAGCGGTTCTTGTATGTGGTGCTGAAGTGAGCGGCAGCGGATACAAAAATTCTGCAGAAGCGGTGTTGACCGGTGGATACGTCGGTTGGAGTGGGACCAGTTAGCTTTTTTAAAGTTAACAATCGTCCGGTGTTAGGTACTGGTGGTAGATAAGGGAAGCACAGCCGAGAAAGCATGGGGACCCTTAACGCGTGTACCACTTCCTATGTGTCTTAAAACCTGAGGAGGACTTAAGATGACTCCAACCATTGCACTGGTACATCTAACCGAAATGGAGGAATGGTAGAGTAGTTTATAGCGGTAAGTAATCCCTTAAACCAGGGCTCGGTTCGAAGCCTCTACTGAGAGGGTTTTGGAGTAACCCAGCTGCGAGGTGTTGCTCCGTTGATGCACTTAGACTAATGTTATCTGTTGTCCTCAACGGGGTTAGGTCGCTTAAAGGGTGAGAACCCAGATCAAATCCAGGTCGAATCCGGTGCGTAGAAGTTGTAAAGAAGATTATTAGTTCTATTCGGTGACATGATAAGCACTAACAGTTCGCAGCAAGAGAGCTCATATTTTAAGTTCAGTTTGTATCGAAATTTTCAAAATCGTGCAGGGAAAATTTCATCTAGTTAAAATTAGCAAGTACAGCTGATTTCATGTCATATTTGTCAACAAACCAAAAATTATTTAAAATTAAACAAATATTAATGATTAATTTTTAATTTGCATCTAAAAAAGATCCCTCCGATCAAAACCTTTTCCTCTCTCAATTCTCTCACTGAACAGAGCTATTTCGGATACAAATTAAAATCCGTTAAACTATAAGGTAAATTCAAATTTGATCAAAATCAAAAGTAAGTAAGATTATGGCAAATATTTCTACTCCAATGCCGTTCAGCGAGTTTTTAATAGTCTTTAACATTTTTAATTTATTCAGCAATCCTGAAGTTTATTCAAAATTAACACATTTATCGCATATCTTAGCCTTCACAGATTTTTTTAAATATATAAACTTCTATTTAAAGTAAAATGTACATTTATAATATTCAGGTGGTGTAGGTTTAGTTTACGAAGATTTCCTTATAAAAAACTTTATATGAGCATTTTTAAACACTTATACTTTTTCAGAATACTACAGCAGCATTAATAGAATTGCAACAGGCTAATATGCATTTGGATATATCAGCCCACTTAATAAAATCGACGATTTCGCGAGATTCTCCAGTGCTTCGGGTTCTTTTCCATGCTGGAACTGATCCAGGTGGACATCTGCAAAGACAGAGGATATGTGTACTGTTGCATATTTCTCTGGGCAATCAGGTGCCCTTGAAAGGGCGTTGTATGCCGGAAGGCGAGGACAATGTTTGTGTTGCTGAGGTAAATATGTTTTTTAAGAAGAATTTTATATGTATATGTATATGTACTTGTATTATTGATGTATGAATTTACATATCTTACATAATATATCACCATCATCACATATAATTAGTGTTTGTAAGAAAGTTTGATATTTGAATTTTATATTTTAGGCATGGAAGCAGAAGTGGTTTTAATTTATATCTATATTGAATCTTTAGTTGTCTAAAGTTAAAGGGAAAAGAAGCAATATGTTTATAGTATAGCAAAGAAAGTAATTTAGTATTTTCTAAAATATTTCAAAAGTACGGTACAAATAGTTACCAAATCGTGCTGGTTCCGAACTTGAACATTGAAAATGTTTCGCCAGTAAGAACTCGTAAAGAATTCAAATTAAATTAAGACATTCATTCTAGTAAAAAGCGGATATGATATTTCAATTAATTTACTTTTTTATATCAACGAATTCCTCAATAAATGCTTTTGCTGAAAGTAAATGTATTCGTGGCGTGCACAGTGCCTTCCTCTCACATAAGATGTAGACAAAAATATAATTAAAAAAGAATAGAATGCTATTAATCTTATACAATTTTAAATAGCTATGATACTTTTAATGTAAATGTCCCTTGAAAGTTTGAAAATTCAACCAGTAAATCCATTTTTGTTAGTATTGTAGTAAATAAAAAATTATTTATATTAAAAAAAATTGATGCCCTTAAAGGTTTTCTGGCGTATACCATTAGGCTGCATATGTATATTTTTTATCGTCGATATTATGTACTGCGTATTTATATAACACGGAACTACTGCTCTATAGAAAGTAATAAATATACTAATCAATATTTTTACTTTAAATTGAAATTCGAATTATTTTACAATAGTTAAAATTATCCAATTTATGTCAAATTGTCACCGTTTTGTTCGATATATTTTGGCAATTTTGAATACTTCTATCGTTTGTTTTGGTACCGAAATACGCACGAATTAGTTCGAGATGTGATTAAGTTCCCTCGATTTTAAAAATGTTCGAACTTAAATTCGAAATTGCTGATAGTCAAATATCTGACATTTTAATAACATATTTGTGTACAACATTTTTGGGATTATGACCGTTTTAACTGTTTCTGCTTTTATAACATACCGAAATAATTGCAAACATCATGAGAAAGTTGCTCGACGGATTTTTAGCGACTTTTCCAATCCTTTACATTAAATTTATATATAATATATTTCATAGGCAGCGTAACTACATTTACATGCGTATTTTGTTGTGTATTCATTTCGCTCTACAGCATAAATATAGAAGCATTTGAAAATTCTTTTATCGATATAAAGCCCCTAATGAAAACAACGTCCATAGCTGTTGAGCTACAGTTAGCAGCCTCGTCGCCGAAAAACTGTGTCCTATAATTTTGAATAGTGGTCTAGACAGAAGGGAGGAGTTAGACTTTTATATCTTTTATTTATTCCATTAAAAATACCATTTCACAATTAGAAAAAAGATCTTTATTAAAGTATGGCGAATGCTCATCAAAATGCATCGATAACATTTTATTTCAAAATATGTATTTTTGACAATTTTTCCCGCATTTTCTCGGAAGGATTTATTTATATTCGTATGTAATAAAAGGTGTTATTTTGAATAGTCTGCTATTCCGATAGATGCCACTTTTGAAACTGTAATTTGTTGACATTTGACAAGTAAAAACTATGCCCGTGATAATTAAGAAACGATACACGCCTCACAACACTTTGAAATTATTCAAATTCACTAGCTTTTTAGCAGAATATAAATAGTTTTTAGGAAAAACTTTTATTTAATTCTTAAAACCAGATGAATTAATACGAAAAAGTTTATATTGCAGACAAATGTTTCACTTTTAGCCCACTGGGGGAGGCACTATACAGTGCAGTGAAAACAAAAAACTATTTTTGTACCTTTTTTTTTTGCAAATTTCTGTTCCTCTTGCTCGCGCAAAATTTTTTTCTTTTTAAAATATCTTAAAACCGTTAGTCACATGATTATCAAATTTACATGGAAAGTGCAAATGTTTTCTAAATATTCGGCACTCCAGTTAGCAGCCTTCGGCTATTTATGTTAAATCTACAATCAAAAAATTTTTATTATACATTTGAAATGGCAAATGCAATGGTTTTGTAATAACACACACCAGACACCGCCATCTAAGAACATATTTTCGACACGCTGAATCGAAATATTTAGTCAGTTTTCCAAAAAAAAAGAACAACAAATAAAATACAATAGCAAAAATTGAATGTCTCGGTACTAAAACTTTAAATACTAATCTAGTAGGCCAATTCTCACTGTTATCGGCGAAGTTAGTTTTTTTTTGCTTTTTTAACACACGAAATTGAATTTAATATTCTAGTGCACAGGTTATTTTATATGACAAAATTTTTGACAGAATTGCTTTCCTTCGACCATTTCTAATTTGCATGTTGGTAAAGAATATTTCACTTCGAAATATAAGACGGAGCACAATATAATAAATAAGTTTTATTTATTTGTTTATTAAGACATAAAAAATTGTGCTTAGTTATCGAAAATATGCCGGGGCGACAAAAATAAAAGCTGAATGAAAACGCTACCTTCCAAATTAAAGTCATTTTTTTCTCGTGAATTTCACCTTCAAGGTATTCCAGGTCTAAAATATGCCTACACATTTTGGTTTTTATTTTTTCTCAAACTAACAAAACAAAATAAGAAAGCAGTTTGTTTGTTACATTCTATTTTGCGGGTAACAAAACTTACAGGAAAGAGAACTCACAATACGACAAAATGTGACAAAATTTGCGGAATGGTAAATTTTAATACCAAAACAAATTTGATTGCCTTGATAGAATAGGCCTGTAAGGCGTACTTAAATCATAAACAAATTTTTTTTATTAAATTTAATAATTTATTACAGCATTTTCCCCCTGCTAACTATATAGAAGATGGCAATTTTTTTAAATTTAAGTCTATGAATAAATAACAATTTATTATTTATATTAATTCGAATTGTAAGTTTCGGGGTTAGGACTGTTAATCTCGCACATTTTCTTTGGGTTCTTTTAGTTAAGCAACTGTTTTTTGAACTTTTTTTCAGTTTTTTTTTTTTTTTTTTTTTAAATTTCAATAACTCTATTATAGGCTCAATTTACATCATAGATTTTAGTAACTGGTTTTGCTCTCTTAATTCTAATCTATGCAAACCTAGGTTATAATTCCTTCCATATGGTGGCCAGGATATCCAACAATCAGGGGAAGCAGTAGTATTTCACAAAAACTTCCACACAGGGTGATACAAGCATCTTACAGCGTATTTGAACCTTCCTCGCGTAATTCAGAACAATGTGAACCCAAAGTTCAAATTCAACCCTTGACAACGTTTGCGCATATTCCGCTTGTCGCCGCTTCAGTACCCTTCAAAGAAATTCGTATTGATGAGCAGTTGACGTTCCTTTTACCACAAAATGCTTTATATCCAATGTCAAAAATTTATGTGCCAGTTATTCTTCATCAAACCCCAGATACCATTGTCTCAGCATTTACTATACGAGCGCGTGTAAAGTCGGGTGTAAAAATACTGGGCGCTACGACATCAACCGATTTATGGAACATATCAATTGAAAAGGAAAATCCAAAACACACTACTGCCAGAGTTTCCGCATTTAAAAAAGAGCCAGAAGTTTCTGCTGAGATAAACAATGATATGAAAAATACAAGCCTCGAAAACAGGTGATTATATACAATTCAATATTACAAACAAACATAACCCATTTTTTTTTTAACTATTGAGCAATATATTTATTTAATTTTTTATTTTGATGTGATTTCAACTTTTTCGTCGGTGGAAGAAAAGAAATTAGAAAGAAGACTAAAAAATTATGATTTATTTTTCTAGAGATAGAATTTTTTAGAGTTTGGTTTCATTCAAATTCATCTTAACTTGATAGGTAATAATCTGTAGTAACTCTCCTAGATTTGTATCTGCTAACTCAGCGTCGACTTAGATCTAACTTTACTGAAGATTTAACGATTGAATTCGATAAGGCCCAACTTGACCTGTAAAAAAGTTTAGCATAGCTTAGTATTCCACTACTTATGATACTCGCATTACGCTTTGATACTTTGATTTATTATTTGGATAGCTTGCGATCTCCAAGATATTTATGTATGGTAATAACTGCGGATGTTATATTGCCACATATCTATTTAATAAGTACTTAGAATTCCAAAGCATTGCACTCAGGAGCTTTCACATAAAATTCTTTCCTTACTTTGATACCATCCTTTTTTTCTTCATAATCAATATCCTTACCTCAAAACGTTTACCAAACAAAATAAAATTTAAATAGTGCTTTTCGTTGCTTATTATTTTTATGGGTTTATTTTTTATTAAAATTATTTTTTGGGGTACGAGGTTTCTTTGTAAAAGAAAATACAAACAGTCTACTTTTTCATCAGTTTAATTATGTATACTTTTTTCTAAAATACATTATTTTAAGAAAGGTATATGGTTACCTGCTATATTTATATTTTTAATCTGTTTCATTTGACACAAGTTTATTTTTCCTTAAGTATTCTTTTTTTTCAGTGAATGATTATACAATACAAATATAATGAAACTTAAAATGTTTGTTATTCTCCATTGTAGTTCCGTCGAAATATTTTCTTGGCTTCTTGAACTTGGGGATGGCGCAGCAGATATATTAGATGGTGCAAAGATTGTATGGTATGTTTCGTATACATATAAGGCCGATAAATCTAAAAACCAAATACCAAGCAGTACAGTGGGAGATGAGTCTAAGAAAAGACTGACAACAAAATTAGAAATCAACAAAGATGATATACAAGCAGTTTTACCAATGGCGAAGGTAATGTAATAGATTTAAAAAAAAAAAATTATAATCAATTTATGAAGTTTAGTTTTTCAAATAAATTCTTATTGTAATAAGTAACAGAAGAAATGCAACAAATTATTTGTTCGTATGTGAGTGTTGTTTTTAATATTTATATTTTGTTTTACTTCGTAGAACTGGGAATTAATTAATACTGCTGTTTTGACTGGACGGCAAGTAGCTCAAGCTATGAAAGTGTTTATCGTATCGCAAGCAGGGAAAGTAGCTGATGTCACCCTTCAAAGTTCCTGTTATGCAGAAGACGAAAGTGTAATTAAGGTAAATGTTTATGTAATTGTAGTTCACATTTTCAAAATTTGTCCAAGTAAGACCATGCATATTGCATACAAAAATAAAATGAAACATAAAATCTAAATTTCTTTACTTTTATCATTTTTCATAGGTATCGTCATCGTGCAGCTCCGTTTATGTTGATGGTTCAGAAATTAGAGGCTCCTCTAATGCTTCAGTTATTGTAAAATATGGATCTTATACCGGATTGGCAAAGTTTACAGTGTGGATGCCAGAATTTCCACTAGAAGTCTACGTATCGGACTTTAGATTATCACAAATAAAGGGTTGGAAAGTAGTAGATGACAGCAATATGTAGTAAGTCATTTTCTATATAGCAATATGTAGTGAGTAATTTTCAATACAGACAAAGTAAATGAGATTATTACCCAGTAGATGTTAACTTCTCTTACGTCGAAAAATTGTTGGATAATCTAATTGACAATTAACATTATTGTTGTACTTTCATAGTCAATAGCTTTTTTCGGTGAGAAATGTCGGAAAAGTTAGTCAGTAATTTCAATAAACAGTATTCAGTAAACATTATCCAACAAATTGTATATTAGCTGTGTATTTTGGCGGTTACTTTTGAATCCTATCATTTATGCAGCTTATTTTATCAGCTTTATTCTTCTTCCTTACTAGACCGCTTACGCAATTATATTAGCCTGCTTCTACCGGCGGCAACTGCATCGAAAACTTTCAAAGCTAGAGTATTTTTATCCATCTTGATCAAACCACCTTGTAAGCCACTGTTTCGTGATTCGTTGAATTATGTTAATGTCGTCGTATATCTTGTAATTCATCGTTCCATCGGCTGCGGTATTCACCGTTTGTAACTAGTAGAGCACCATTTATTTTGTTAGGTAAAATCTATCCCTCGAAAGCTCCTAACGCCGGCTCATCAGATGTTTCCATCGTCCTTGTCTCCGCACCATATAGCAAGACGGAAACGATGAGCTACTTGTAGAGTTTGGTTTTCGTTTCAGAGGGGACTTCACTTTTCACTCAGTCCAAATGAGCGCCTGTTGGCAAGAGTGATTCAGCGTTGATTTTCCAGACTGACATTTTTGTTTGTCTTAATACTGGTTCCAAGATAGACGAATCTACAATTATGAGCCTACATGTTTATAATACCAAAAAATATAAGGAGCAATTTGATTAATTTCATTCAGAGGAAAATTACTTATGTAGCCCTTACAAGTAAGACTAAGCAAGAGTCAAATTTTGTATACAAACTTTAAATATGAAAGATAAATAATAGAGTTCGAACTGAAGAAAATCTGCCCCCCTTGCTTCGAAGCGAGACTATTATAAAAGATTATTGAATTTAGCAAACCCGCCGTACGTTATTGTATGTACATACGATATGTTATTGCATACTTATACTTTAATTAATAAATCGCTAAATTTAAAAAAAATCTTATTTCTGTAGCCCAAATAAACAAAGCCAGCGGCGTAAAAAACGATCCACCGCATGGAATCAGTATAAAAGTGAACCTGGTACTGAAAAAATTACGTGCAAAGCTCGATACCAACAAAGTCCAATTGAAGTATTTGCACGATTCCTGGCAATTGATCAAGTGAGTTTGACAATGAAATTTCTGTGGCCTTACGATGTAAATTTTTATATTTTTCAGAATTCAGGACGAATTAGCTACTTTATTTCGCGCCGAACCGGTTTACGCGTTACAGACCTAGTTCAACCACTACTGCGGGTGTCTGACCCAAAAGTAGCCACTTTAAAAGGACGCATTTTACAAGGAAAGTCAATGGGACGTACAGATATTCAGGTAAAATACTTCCAAATATTTTATTTGTATCGACTATTAATAGCTTCTTTAATTTAGGTGCTGTCTCCTATTACTGGCCGTGTAATAGGAACAAAAGAAATTCGTGTTGGCAGCGACAAAGTCAGCTTGAAAAAGTTAATTGTGCGAGTGATTTCTGGGTTACAATTAACTATTTCTCCAGACAGCGGTATTGACAACGGTTACACAGCAGAAACTTCTGTTACAAATAAGCTTACTGCACAATATCAAGAAGGATTACTTGACATTGATCTCGAGTTTTCAGATGGATCGAAAACTCCACTAAGGTTTGAGTTATTTTCGTAGTTGTTGCTATCGATCCTGATAAAATCTTCAGTAGATTTGCCTCCAGACCTTTGAATAGATTTATTAACGCTTTTAACGTCTTTCATATTCTGCACGATTGATTTTTTTCATTATATCAATCACTTGCCAGAAAAGATTGCGGGCAACTATAACACTTAATACCAATACAAACTATTTGTTTTGACTCTGTTGATGTTGTTGTTGTTGTTGTAACCATAACCCAAAGTACTTTTTGGGGAATATTGCGGGAGTGACAGTCCTTTGCCGGATAAAAATCCGGGTCGTTCCGGTATAAAGGCTCGACTGTCGCGGGAACTATTGGATTTTAGTCGCCTCCTACCGCGGGTAAATTCTTGAGCCCCTAACCCGCAGGGGTTTTGTTTTGACTCTCACGACAGCCGGTTCTACGCACCGGAGTTGACCCGGATTTCATACAGCCAAGGGCTGTCACCCTTTCTGCGACCTAACCCCGTTCAGGTCAACAGGTAACAATAGTCTAAGTTCGCCAACGGAGCAACACCCTGCAGCTGGGTTGCTCCAAATCATGATTATCAGGGCTGGTGTCGAAACCAACCCTGGTCCGACGGACTATTTCTGCTGCGTGTGTCACAAAAGACTCCACCACTCCTCTACCTCGGCAAGATGCAACCAGTGCACTGGTTGGAGTCACCTTAAGACCTGCTCAGGCCGAATTATGTGGCCCCATGCTGCCAGCGTCCAATCGGGAGGACGCAGGGAGCACCCCAGTAGGCACCTAAAAGAAGCTGAACCTCCGCCTAGGCACATCAGAAAGGGAGTACTAGACTTAAAGGACACAATCCAGCAATATGTACAACAACCGCTGGACAGGACGGCGTACAGTCAAGCACTGAACGCCATTCACCAGGAGTCAGTCAACACCTTCAAGGACTCCCTTCCAGTGAATAGCGTACTCGGAGAAAAACCACCGCCTATAGCAGACAACGAGCTCGAGCTGCCTCGAGAGACCCGCGTGACCCTGACATAACTTAGGTCTGGATATTGTAGCAGGTTAAACTCCTACTTATCCAGACTAGACCCCAGCATACCCAACGTTTGCCCTGCATGTGGAGAGTCTCCGCACGACACTAACCACCTCTTCACATGCCCTCTCAAACCAACTTATCTGACCCCCTCTCGCTCTGGTCCAACCCCGTTGTATCAGCTCGTTTCCTGGACCTCTCACTAGATGACCTTAGCGACTTAGACTGATCAAACCTGTGCCTACGCGGGGTTAGCGAACCGCTACAACAACAACATTGTTTTGATATAAAATCTCGCGTTTTATTTAACTTGTGTAATAAAAGAAATATCTAAATCTATAATATATATTCTTTGTTGCCTTTGATCTGAAATTAGGTTTTAAAATTGGTATTTGTAATAAAAATAAGGAACTTGTGTTTTTTCCACGTTGCAGGGATATCTCCGTAGAAGACTACTTTTTGCTGGTTGAGAGTTTAGATACGGAAGTAGTTGCGTTTGCACCAATGTTAGCATCGCACCATCCACGTGTTATAGCGGTAGGAGAAGGAAATGGCGATTTGTTACGAGTAACTTTACTATTGTCGGAAGATTGTCGTATGCGGCGAAGCATGACATCGTCAAAACATATCAAAACAAATTTTTCACCTCTAATAAGCTCACTTGCTGCCGTGGAAGTCGATTTTAATAATTTTGATAGCAACAACAAACTTGAATCCATACAAAACGATGGCATCATTGGTAAAGATAGAAAAAGTTTCCGCATCAATGGAGATCTAGCTGATATTATCGGTAAACTGAATTATATACCGGTTAAAACTAAAAAATATAACACAACCTTTTGCAGTAGGTATACCGTTGAAAAACTCTATTTATAACGAGGAGGCGTCTATGGTACAAACAAGACATCATGGAAGTACACAATCATTAAAAAACTATCGGAAGTATTCTTTTCGCAATGACATGTCGTCTATGGAAATTGGCGTGTATGTTCTGCTTTCTGCCTTTTGCTTCGCAATTGTAGTATTTGTCATTTCCTGTGTTGTGTACGCTTCCAAGTTTAGACCAAGAGCCATTGACACAGGCAATGGCCCTCTAGAATTGAGTAAAGCTATTATATCTCCTAATATCTTGTCGAAAGATCTGCGTTTTCCCAAAGAATCAACAACAAATGTTCACGATTGGGTGTGGTTGGGACGCTCTACAATGGATAGGTCATCTATAATTAACGACGCAACTACAAACAATGATAATCGGGGTAATAATAACAATTGCTTTGCACTATTGAGTTAGGGGCTTAATTATTAGTATTATTTTTTGATATGAACTTTTGTTGGGAGTCTTATGTAAACGATGTTAAAAATTAAAAGGCTTAGTTTATTTCTTAAATTAATCACAAAACCAAATAACGTCCTTAAAACTGTCGAAATAATTCCATTTCAGATGCCCGCATGAAGATCACAAATAATCCGATCACTTTCGTCAATAGTACAATTTCATCATTTGATGGTCACTCAAAAGCCACAAGTCAGTCACAGGGCGAAGCTCCAAGGTAATAGCGGCCAGCGATGCATTTATGAACATCTCATTATAGTTAATTAATATAATTTTTAAGGCAAGAGTTTAATGGTTCCAATTGCTGCATAAAGGCAGTCGAATATAGACCACCTGTACCTCCGCATCGTAATATTGGAGTAAGAGCTTTTGTTAGTTTTGTAAGTATAAAATGACTTTCAGTATCTTTTTTGCTAGATCTATAAAAAAGTAATTAATTAATAATTGTAATGAACATATTATAGAAAAGAAAGTATGTTGACATTTTTAATTTCTAGGACAACAAAGAGAATGCAACACGTGGGAAATGTGAGACTGAAGAAAAGGAAATTGGAAAGGGTGTTGATCAGTGCCATACAAATTTTCCACAAATAAAAGCTGTTGGCGATAGTGGACAAAAGCAGAGACCAATCAGCATGAAACACAAATCTTTGCAGCAAGCAGATTACGAAAAAATGCATAATGCAGAAAAATTAGTTCAATTTTCTGATTATAGTAAAAAAACTGCTTTCCAATTTGATTCGCTACCACAAAAGAGTGTTAATAGTGAGAATTTTACAGGTATGCAAGAAATCTGGAAAAAGAGTTTTCAAGTCTCAAATTTTTATGACTAACTTGAACTTCTTCATTTGGTAAATCTGAATTCGAAATCAATTTTGCTTAGGCGGCATATACTTTGAGTACTTGCGTCATCACATATATTGTCTTTGTGTGTTTTCATCAAAAATACTATTTTTTTTTAATAAAATCAGAAATTAAAATGTAAAGGCGGATCAAATTAATATCTAGTTTAATACCCGTGAAAGCATTAGTATTTTTTTAAGTATATAGCTACGCCCTAGTTCTTTTTTACAAGTGTTTGTTCTTCTCTCTGACCATAAAATGTATGAAGTATTTTACACTTTAGCAAAACTGATTTCGAATATAGACCTTAATCTTTTGGAAAAGAATAAACTAGTCAAAGGATAAGAAATTTAATTTAAATTTAATTTTATTAATATTCATTTGTTATTTTTAGAAGCTTCCTCAGCCTGCGCGATACAAGAAAATAAAGCACAGCGATCAGCACCCAAGGAACAAAAAAATACCACACATTTATTACATCCTAATTCAGGATTAAAAAAAGAAGTTAAGAGAGCTACAGTTGTGGGTAACCCCATGTTTTCTAACACGTCATATGACTACGAAGATAGTCGCGACGAATTGGTTCTTGATGGTTTTGAAATGGATTATGAACAAATTATGCATTATTTTGACAATTTAAAGGTAAGACAAATAGCTTTTAAGTTCGTTTGCGCTGACATTTCCAACCAAGCATAGATACAGGCTGGCTAATCTAAATGACCTAAGTCATCTAACTGGAGCTATTACCACGGGTTCTGACCAAAGAGAAAGGGAGGTTAGATGTGTCGGCTTTAAGGGGCATGTAAAGAGATGGTTAGCGTCGTGCCGGGACTCGTTACATGCTGGAAATACGTTATATTTGTTGGGTTCGACTCAGAAAAGTTAGGAGTTTAATCTGTTACAAATTAAGACCTACGTAGCGCCAGTATTACGCGTGTCTCTCGAGAAATTGCTTGCACCGCAAAGCTTATGCTCCCTAACTCGAAGCTTCGTTGTGATGCTCAGGCGACGTCAGTAGATTTCCTGTCGCGGTCCTAAGGGCGGTCTGTTGGCAGACCTGTAACATCACACATCGGAGCAGCATAGTTTACGTCTTTGTCTGCCGGCTAACGCTTTGAAGATTTTTCTATGGCTCTGAAATTCATCGTAATTGCATTCGTATGAAGAGTGAAGGAGTGCAAGACTGTCGAATGCGACACCCAGTAACTGCGGGTTGTAAATAGTCGGAATTTTTATGTCATCGTCCAGCTGGTGAAGAGGGTAGCCGAGGATTTCGCAGGTTGTACCCTAATTGTCTTGCAGTGAAAAAGTGGGAAAGGTCGTCGAGATAGCAGTACACCTGCGAACATGAGTCGCTAATATCCTGGCTAGACGCCAATACAGATCAATCATCGGCATATGAGATGGGTGAAACTCCTTGTGGTAGAGGGAGCCTCGACATTTATAGAAGTTGAACAGTAATGAGGAGAGGACACCACTCTGCGAAACCTCAGGTTAAATCTTCCTGAGTTTTGATGTTTGACTTAGAAATTCTACCGATGATTGATGTCCACTCAAGTAGCCCATGGCCTTCGCTTCTTAATGACTGTGGGGGGGACTGGGAGCTGCTGGCACGGGTAAACGTGCTGAGCAGACCTTAAGATGATTCCAACCGTTGCACTGGTTAATGCAACAGAAATAATCAATCTGACCAGGTTGGTTTCGGCGTCAGCATTGATGAGAAGGATTTTTAGCAGACCAGCAAAGAGGTGTTGCTTCTTTGGTTACCTTAGACTACTGTTACCTGCTGACCAAAACGAGTTAAATCACTGAAAGGCCAGATAAAATGCGAGTCAACTCCGGTGCGTAGAGTCTGCTATCGTGAGAGTTGACTTTAGCTTTTAGTCAGGATGGGCGGTTACAGTTTATATTTTGCAAACAATAAGTTTTCTTTCTTTAGTGGAGATGAAATATCTCTGCAGGGTAAGGGTTCAAAAATTTTTCCGCGGTAAGTCATGTCTGTCTTAATTTCTTCTAACATCGTTCATCCATCGAAATAATATGCTGATTACTGGATCTTCCTTTCAGGGTATATATATCAGAGACCAAAAATAACTGTAATTTTTTGTTGTCGACAACGTTGCCCTTAGTTTAAGGAATAATTTTTTACGTTTCTTCATAAGAGTTATTTTAAGAAATATTTTTTCTGTTGCCCAACAACGTTTATTTTCGATTTTTATTTTTTTGCGTTGCTTGGAAGATGTAGTAGTGAAAGCAATTAGTTTACGTTTTTTCACCAACATTTTATTTTAACCTATTTGTAAAAGGAAGACAAATATTTGTTTATAGAAGAATATAATTTGTAAAATTCAATCATCACCAAATTCATTTATGCAAATCAAATATCTCAATATTTCTATAAATAAATTCAACATTAATGGAGGTTTCTTTTACTTTGCAGGAGTCAAACGCTTAAGTATTGTAAAAGCATAAAGGCGCATTAAAAAGGAGTTAATCCATAAAAGTACATATATATATAAATATATATATATATATATATATATATATATCACATATGTATATACTATATGTGTGTATGCACATCTTGACTGGACTTTAAACCATAATCACAAGTTACTGGAGAATTTAAAATAAAAAAATTAAACAAAATTTTCACTATTGGACCAAATAACAAATATACGGTGGAAGATGCATGTTATTATGTTATCTTATATATACCAATGCGCATAATATTACGCTTACTTCGTTCATAAGTAAATATAAATAATAATGTTACTCATACATTTTAGAAATCAATCACATAAAATACGCGAGTTCTAAAACAGCATAAGAATTAATAGCTAAGGATACACTTCAAGATTATTTATAATTTGTGATTGTTTATAAGATTTATTGTAGTTATAAATTGGTTGCATAAGATCACACTAACACATATGTATATTTATTTCATTAGTTTATTTATTAGAAAATGAAATCATTCCATTATCAATAGAATATTTTTAATTATATGTATGCAAAAAAGCCAAATAATAACTGTTTAAGCATAAGATTGTGCCGTCCAAGTATTTTATTTCAAGGTCTAACTATTTATCTTGCTTTAATATGCATTATGTTATACATGTATACAAATATTATCATACAATTTCACAGCAGTACGAATAGTAGTTAAATATAGGTCGCTAATAATTGAAGCTTCTGCAAAATTTTATAAGCCTTTAGGATGTGAACTAACGTTAAATATACTCATCTTTCTTAAAAATTAAATAGATGCAAATACAGTCTCATTTAATTGTACAAAATATTCAAATACATATGATTTAAGATGTATGTTTACATACGTATTTAAATAAATATTTCAGCTGTAATTTTAATTGATGTATCCTGATAGTTACCCAACCAAATATACTGCAATATTTTCCAGTTTCGTTCACGAAAATATGTGAAAACACCAAATGAATTATAACTTGTACAATTTATACACTATAAATAAATCAACAGAAAACGAACCAAAGTATTTAATAATCCTTTGTGCGATATCCGAATATATTTCAATGTTGACTTAATTTTAACCACAACCTCTTTTCGTTCGACCTACTATATTTGGCAAAATACCACATTGCACAGCGCAGAGAACAAAAAGTAGTACCGCAAATATACTGTTAAATGTCAAAAACTAAAAAATAAGTCAAATGAAAATTTGACTTCTTATTTTAGTCAAAGTATATTGTATTTGTTGAATTTCAATCATCTTTGGAGCTTATTTTAATCTATTGACTTATAATTATACAAATTTTTTTAATAATTTATTCACAAAAAGTCTGCACAAGTCTCCAAAGTAGGTAAGAAGGCTGACGCGACCAATAGCTTTTGGGGAGTGGTTACTTTGGCAGATAACAAGGGTCAAGGTGTAAACAAAAAAACTCAGGTTTTTGATATTTTAGTTAGATAAATGTTTAAAATGACCTCAAAGATTGTTGGACTCTTTCAATGGTTAAAACCCCAACTTTTGAAAAATTGTATTCAAATTTACGTCACAGACATAAATTTTATATTCATTAAGCAATGAGTGAAGGGACTTTTATACTTTAGTGTTCTTGATGTGCTATTGTCTTTATGTTGTTGTTGTGAATATTGCGAGAGTGACACACATTGGACGGATAAAAATCCGAGTGTTTCTGGTACAAAGAGCCGATCGTTGCAGGAACTATTGGTTCTTAGTCGCCTCTTACGATAGTTACGCCTTGCCACGTGTTATTTTTTTTTTCTCAATTCATTAACTGGTATCTGGCAAATAACCGCTGCCAAAAATGAGTAGTTACGTCATCGTTCTTACCTAGCATTGCGTTATAGGTGCTTATAATAATTAAACTCGTTTCTAACAAAACTTTGTGTAGTTTTTCGATTTAAGAATAGTCTAATGGAAAATTTGAAGAAGCGAAAAAAGGGTGCTTTGGCTACACGGCAGAATCGGGCACATTTTATGGTTGAACCCATTCTCTCTTTTAGAAACTTAAATATAATTTGTTAATCATCCCTGCATTTCAGTCCTGGACCACGTAACACTACTACTTAATAAATTCAAAATCATTGTTTATAAAATTAAATATTCTTTTAATTGGAATTCATCGGCAGGCAATATGCTTAAGACAAAAATATTCCACGTCTACTTTATAAATATGTATATATGTATATGTATTGTATGTATAATACTATAAAATCATTCTAAATTCTTATACTGAATATGTTTGGCACAAATTATTCACATTCTTATCATTGTTCACTTGGAACAAAGGTATACTCCTGATGGGTCCCGTGTAGTCCTCATTTTTGCTTGGATGCACGCTCCTGCTATGAATTGAAGACAATGGTTTGCCCCAAAATTTGAAATGTTTTAGAGTGTTGTAATATGCTATCCTGAAAAGAATGAAAAACCGAATTATTTATTGCCCAAAAGATTGTTTGGTTAATATGATTTCTGTACAGTCATTGCTATTCTTGAATCCACCACAGCTTCAATTAAACTACTATTTAAATATTAAGTCTATTGTTAGAATTTGAGTTTCGAAATCGCATTTTTCTGACGATGGATTCACGAATATGGGTGAGGGCGATATACAAGTCTAAAGATTCCTAACAAACGATTTTTTTTTAAATTTTGCCCCTCAAACAGGTTTTTGAATTTTAAAAAACCAATAAATATCTATAATTTTGGCAATCGCTACGAAAAAGGGAAATGAGTATGCCTTGGGCAAAAGAGACGAACAAACTTTGATTACTTTTAAATGAGAATGTTTAGTTCTTGCTCTATTCCATAAAATAAAATAAAATAAAGCAAATTATATTACTTCCGTAATATTCTTTTCAATAGCTTTCATACAAATTTGAGCAATACCTGTAATTCCTATTGCTTGCTGCGTATATAATCGGGTTAATTACGCTGGATGCCCAAGCCATAACTGACGCCACAATATGAAACCAGGGGTAGTTCGTTTTTCGTTCGTCGTCGACCACATTTGCCAGCATTAAAGGTAAAAAGCAACCAAGGAAACAGCCGAAAATGGAAACCATCATCACCGTTAATCTGTTGTCTTCCTTGTGCTTTCGAGTCGTCAACACAGATTCACTCGAAGTAGCTTTGTAGTTTCTATGGGTTTCCATTTTTCTTTTTTGTCGCAGTACCGTTAAATAAATACAGGAGTATGACACTATTATGACTATACATGGCAAAAGAAACCCGATTAAAAATAACGTTTTCTTTATCGATCTTCCATTTTTCTTTAAAATGGTACAGGAAAATGTAGCTTCGTCGAGTCCCATTTCTCCCCAAATTCCTAGTATGGGTGGTAGCTGAAATAAAAAATTGTTATTATGAATTCATTGCTTAAAAAAACTTATTTATAAAAAAACAACCCTAAAAGTTAACCAAACCGAGGGGAATTAAAAAAGATGATAGCAGACAAGGTGAAGTTTCTACAGAAGCGAATTTCAATTTTTATTTTTTCTCCTGCTCTCACCTTTATGAATTCGTCTGGATAATAGAGTAGCAAAAGAATTTGTTTTTTTTGAGTTCAAAGTTCAAATAGTTTCCATTGTTTTAGGTAATTTGGTTTTGGTCGCAAAGCTTTCAAAAAAAAATATTGTTTTTCATTCAAATTTATTTTGCGATTATTTTCCTTTCAGAGTTAAGTTCAAAAAGAATAAGATAAATAGCTTGGGAAAATTCGTACATTGGAATAATTTTTATCTTTTTATTGGAATATGTAAAAGTTTCGAGAACAAGGACGAGAATATTGGTTTCTGAGCAACATCAAAAAGTTGTTGAGTTTTCTAAACACAGTCAACCAAATTAATTTTCTGCATACGGCAAACGTGAAAGGAATTCGGCCGACTTTTTCAACAGCCCTGGCCTCAATCCATTGGTTATTCATGCGTAGAGTTATATGTAAATATGTGTTGAGGGTTAATGATCATGAAATAGGAAATTGACAATTTTTAACCGCTTAAGCGACATTCAGTTTTTTAGGCCGCCTCGATCGATTCAACTTTTATGAGGATTTTTTATATTATTTACAAGAAACATTTTCATGTTGGAGACAGTGTTCAAATACATGACCCTCGTATAGTAACACTCACTCCGTTGCAGCGGTAGCTACAAACTAAATAAAAACGTTGCATTGAAAGCTATCTTTCATTTTAAATATATAGGTTATGGATATGAATACAGACACTTAGTGTGTATAATAACGAAATTATATTTTAATAAAAGCAAGCAAATAAATAAATGTAAGTAATAAATACAGCACAGTGAAACTTACAAGTAATAAGAACGATGTGGACCAGATAAAAAAGAGTTGAAGTAAAATATAACTGCGTTTATATATTTGTACGTATATCGAATGAAAAGCGATCAGTATATATCTGGAAAATTTAAAATAAAATTATAAGTTATTTACCAAGGCACATGAGATAATCAAGGTGATTAAAGTGATATATATATATGTAAACCTGTCGTCATCAGTCTATACATATTCCCATGCTGCACCGTTACAAATTCTTAAGAAAATCCATTTTGTATTGAGTTATTCCTGCTGATATTAAATATCCGATTGTTTCTCAGTTCGTACTAATATGGAGTTCGTTTCCTAACCAGACACTCAAAAGTTAAAAAAAAAAGAATTATAATTGCAGCGAGGGCACTTCGGACATGAAATAAAAGGCACTTTCTGGGACTTTATAATTTTTTAATACATTTTTTTTACTTTCTTTTGAACATTTAAAACATACAAATTTCTATGTATATAATTAGTGAAAATTATTAAAAAGTTACAAGAATTTTGCATTACAGAAGATGTACAAAATTGAATTGAATAGTCCGCAATCGTCACAATTGTAAAAGAGTCGTATAGGTCAAAAGCTAACATTAGTCTAAATACATCAACGGAACAACATCCCGCAGCGCTGCCCCGCTTAGGCGCTGAGTTGATCAATCTACGTCGCCGAGGTCATCTAGTGGGAGGTCTAGGAAACGTGCGGGATCGGACCCCCAAGAGAGGGTGGTTAGTATCGTGTGGAGACTCTCCACATGCAGGGCATACGTTGGATATGCTGGGGTCGAGTCTGGATAAGTAGGAGTTTAACCTTCTACAATATCCAGACCTAATTTGTGCTAAAGTCACGCGGGTCTCTCGAGGCAGCTCGAGCTCGTTGTCTGTAATGGGTGGTGGGTTTACTACGATCATGCCATTCACTGGAAGGCAGTCTTTGAAGATGTTGACTGACTCCTGGTAAATGGCGAGTGCTTGTCTGTACGCCGTCCTGTCCAGCGGTTGTTAAACGTGTTGCTGGATGGATGGTTTGTGGCTATCAAAGTTGCCACTGTTGATTAAACGAATAAAATGTGTAATATTAAAAGTCATGGCACTCTGGGTAAGCTAAACATAAAAATTGTAATTTTTAAGAAATTCATAAAATATTTTCGCATATAAAATCATTTAATGAAAAGCTACCAATCTTAAAAAGACATTTCTTAATTACCGAAATGCTTAAATAAGTGAAATTAGTTACGATGATAGGGTTAGAATTCAAGTTCTAAGTGATGAAGGTAAGTCACAGGTTGAGATTGCCAATTTCGTGGGATGTGCGTGGTGCGCGGTCCACTGTGCTATCAGGCAATTTGTGGAGACGAAATCCCACAATAATAAATCAAAAAGTGGAAGAAAGCGTCTAACCAGTAAACGATAAGACCGAATGCTTATACGAGAGTCGCAAAAAATCTTCTTATCCCCTTGCATCTGCCTTTCGGATGAATTTATTGCTCGAACAGCTAGAAGACTTTTGGAAGCAGGTTTAAAAGGATGTAAAGCCCGAAAGAAGCCGTGGCTCTCAGAAAAGAATAGGAAACATCGTTTGGAATGCGCTCACCGATACCAACATTTCACGGAAGAATATTGGTCGAATGTTCTGTGGTCTGATGAATCAAACTTCTAGGTAAGCATAGTTAAGAGTGTCTTAAAGTATTAACAGCCATAGCTTCTTACCCTAGAGCAATTTTGAAGGCATAATACGCATGTTATAAAAACATTATTTTTTCTTTTCTACAGATATTTGGAGCACCTGGTGTGACGTTCGTGAGGCGACGGGTTGTGGAAGAATATCATCCAGATTGCGTGGTACCCACTTTTAAGCATGGAGGAGGCAGAATTATGAACTGGGGTTGCATGGCTGCTGACGGTGTCGGCGAAATGTTCGTTTGCGAGGGTGGCATGGACAGTCAAAAGTTCATAAATGTATTGCTGTTCTTCTGCCTTCGTTAACACGCATTTCCGGCGATACTAATTTAGACGGGGTCCAATTTCAGCAAAACAATGCTCCTTGTCACAAATCAGCGACTACGATGCGTTGGTTTCGAGATAACATAATTGTTTTGTTAGATTAGCCTGCATTGCCTCCAGATCTTAATCCCATTGAGCGCATGTGGGCTATTTTAAAACGCAAGATTAAAGAACACAGTATAACATCAAAAACTGCCTTAAAGAGTGTCTTAATTAACGAGAGGTACGCTATAAGTGCGGACGAATGTGCAAACCTTGTACGCAGCTTGCCGTTATTAAATCGAAGGGTGGACCTACTAATTCATTGTATTTACACTGTTTTACTAATCATTACTTCACTTAATTTATTTTTGTTTGTACTTATTTGAGGTGCAAAGAATTAAAGTAACTTAAAATTATAAATTATGTCAATATATTAGCAAAACAACGTGGAATCAAGATCGCACAAAAAATGGAAATTTCAAAAATTTGTGAAATGGAAGTATTTTTAGCGGATAATTTTAAAACTAAATGGAATAATTTGCCTTTCTAATGGTGGTTGTCACGGTAAAATAGTTGGATTCATTAATTTTATTTTAGAATAATGACGAATTTAGAACGTGGCATCTAACATTCTTTTGATGTAGTTTAAGTGAACGTAAGTAGTTAAATAAATTTCAGCTCTTCATAACATTAAGAACGAAAACAAATTTTTTTTATTAGTAAAGTATTAGTAAATATAGTAAACAAAATTAATAAACGAGTATGTATGTCACTTTAAATAAATATGTTGTATTATACATTATGCACTTTTATTAACCTGTTATTATTTAATCCCTGCGCACCCTTCTATGGAAATACCCATATGCAAATTATATTTACAGTTTTTTTATCTAAATATAATGCTTTACCTATTAAGAGTGATTCCCACCATGCTCAGAAGAGATACGGCTACGTTACCGTAAAATATTACTGGAAATATTTTGCAAAGTGTTTCCCCAAAAGTCCATTTCTGCAAAAAATAAAAGTTTTTAATATGAAAATATATACATATTTACCAGAGAATACTATTAGTGAATCTAATTTCTTCTGGTGTATGCAAACACTGCGACTACTCCATGCCTGCGTGAAATATATACTACAATGGAGTAATCCAAAACCAACCACAGTCCATAAAAAAAATATGGTTCTATTAACATTGCGATATCCTAGGGATGGACCACATATTTCCTCTCTGCATAACATCCGAGTAATCCATGGAATACATATAGGAGATTAGTTTTGCAACTAATCCAAAAGTTACCCCATGGAGCACCCACAAAAGTCTTATTATGTACACAATTCCCTTCGGTACATACATACATACACATCTCATTTCAACTTTTTTTTTATAATCCAAGGGTTTATTGCAGATCAAATACCGAGAGGTATTTAAGCTGCGTTTGGAATATTTTGTGTGTATTTTAGTTGAAGATTCGGTGTATTGCCATTCCTGGCGGAACGATTTCAAATGCCACTAAAGTCAAATATCCAACTTGTGTCGCCACAAATGCTGTCAAACGTTAAAGAAACCTAATTCCGTGCCGTTTCTAAAATAATAATGGAAGATTGTTGTCCGTTTTCGACAGTAAGTGCGTCAGGGACCAATTTTATACAAGGATTGGCCCTACTTATGGAGAGTTTGTTAACGTAGATAATCATCTGCCTGATAGATCAGCTGTTGCACAAAAAAAAGCTGAAGATAGAAGAGCAGAGCTAATTAATAGGTGACACGAGTAGTGGAAGAGCTTCGCTTGCGATGGATATTTGTCCAAATAACTATGTTAAACGCACGTTTATTGCAGTCACGATACATTATCAGAAGAAGGCTCAAGTGATGAATTTAATCGTGGGACTAAAATTAATGGATATTCAGAAGACAGCTGCTACAAATGTGCTGAACAAATTAAATATGCATTCAAATAGTTTCGAAATAAATACGTCGGTAAACATAAAATTTGTTACTGACCGTGAGAGATGTAAATATCAGTAACTTATTTGCTAATTATTTGCTAATGTGCTTAACAAATCATTTAAGAAAACTGTGGAACTAGCCAACATGCGAAAAAAATGTAAGATGTTTTAAAAAGAAAAACATGCAACACCGATTTAATGCTTTCCTAAAGAATTCATGCATGACACGCTGATATTCCAATTACTTATGTAATGTGTAAGTTAATCGTTATAACTGGCTAAATATAAATAATATATTAAAGGATCTAATGAGCATGCGGTTTTGCGTAGGGTTTGGGACTCACCCCGTGAAAAACGAGAAATCCAATGAAAAGTCAAAATAAGCCTCAGAGGAGAGACACCCTTTTTGATTTGAGCCCACTCCCCAACGGAAGAGAGGGACGATAGGACCAAGGATGCCTTTTACGAGCGCCTCGAACGCACTTATGAGCGCTGTCCTCGCCACGACGTCAAAATTGTGCTTGGCGACTTAAACGCCAGAGTTGGTGAAGAAGGTATTTTTAGAACAACAGTCGGAAAATTCAGCCTTCGCCAGGGCACGAAATATGATTGTCCGTAGCAATAGATTCCAGCACAAATTTCAAGATCGAAAAGTTCTCAACCAAATCGATAATGTTGTGATTGACAGAAGACATGTTTTAGACGCTCCGTGGTCCCAATATCGACTCAGATCACTATTTTGTCGCAGCGAAGATACGCACTTGCCTCTGTGTATCGAAGAACGTCCGTCAACACACACAAGGAAAATTCGACGTTGAAAAGTTGCAATCACAGCAGACTGCCAAGTGGTTTCTACTCTGCCCTCTGAGAGTACTCATCAGCGACACGCGGGACGTCATTAAAAAACTCTCTACGAACAACTGCAAACGAAACTATTGGATTTCGGAAAGGTCTTTAGCTTCTCTGCAAAATATGGTCGGATGAAAGCATGCCTGACGATTGAAACCTAGGTGGGCTCTGCCCAATCCACAAAAAAGTCGATCCCACACTCTGCTATTCCTATTACCGTGACCTCCTTAGTGTGACTTTAGACCTGGCAAGTCAACCATTGACCAGATATGCACCGGGCACGAAATTTTGGAAAAGACTCGTGAAAAGAGAATTGACACACACCACCTCTTCGTCAATTTTAAAACCGCCTTCGACAGCAAAAGATGGATCTGGCGCTATGTCTGAATTCGGTATCCCCGCAAAAATTATACGGCTATGTAAATTGACGTTAAGCAACACTAAAAGCTCCCTTAAAATCGGGAAGGACCTCGAGCAGTTCGATACCAAATGAGGTTTCAGGCAGTGTGATTTCTTATCGTGTGACATCTTTAATTTATTGCGGGGGAAAGTAAAACGAACTGCAGAACCGAATAGAGAAGATACAATCTCCTATAAGAATGTATAGCTGCTGGCGCACGCCGATTATATCGACATTATATGCCTTTACAACAGCGCTTAGCTCTGCTTTCGCAAAACTTGTTAAAGAAGCGAAGCAAACGGGTCTGGTGGTGAATGAGGGCAAATGGATCAAACACACAGTCATCGCATTCGCAACTCGGCTCCCACGGCACTGTTGACAGTCATTTCATTGAAGTCGTAGATAACTTCGTCTATCTTGGAACCAATATTAACACCAACAACAATGTCAGTCTGGAAATTTAACGCAGACTCACTCTTGCCCACAGGTGCTACTTTGGACTCAGTAGGCAATTGAAAAGTAAAGTCTTTCCTCGGCGAACGAAAACCAAACACTTGAGTCGCTCTTCATAACCGTCCTGCTATTAATCGAAAAAGAGTGGACAATGTCAACATCTGATGAGTCGGCTCTGCGAGTCTTCGAGAGAAAAGTTTTGCGAAAGATTTATGGTTCTTTGCGCATTGGCAACGGCGAATAACGCAGGCGATGGGACGATGAGGTGTACAGCGGCTACGTTGGCTAAGTCATGTCGTCCGCATGGAAAATATTCGTTACAGTATCCGCTGATGGAAGCAGAGGAAGAGGAAGACCTCCACTACGTTGGAAGGATCAAGTGGAGAGCGATCTGGTTTCACTTTATATTTCCAACTGGCGCCAAACAGCGAAAATAAGAGATGAATGGCGCACTATAATTGATTCAGCAATAATCGCGTAAGCGGTGCCAGCGCCAATAAAGAAGAAGGAAAAGAAGATCTAATTGCTTAGATTTTTAACGACACTCGAAATTCGGTAGTCGAATTGTGCAGAACTTTCAAATAATTTTCAAAAAATATACAGACTTGCAGTTTTCCTTCCTTTACATAGTCCATTTCAGTCATCTTCCAATACCTCTGCCTACCAGGCACTGAAGAATATAAGGTTTATCATTATAGAAACTGTGAATATAAATATTTTGTACTAATAAATTAATTTTTATTTAATTTATTTTTATGAAATAGTTTATGCTTGAATAATAGGCCCGCTCGTTATCATAATAATATTGAATAACTGTTACAAATTTTCCAAAATAGATGTCGAATGGCATTCGTTTACACCTAAAAATTAGCTAGCAACCAACATTTTAGTAAAACAGGAGTGGATGAATCCTTACTCCAGCTATGGTAATGAGTAATGGATGTGTGTGTGTTTAATAACTTAACTTTTTTTGGGTTGATACATGTACGTGTACAGTTAATATGCAAGCCATTATTTCTAATACAAGTGGCGACGACGAATATATGATTTTCCTTGAACATTTACTGCCCACTGACGACACATATCGGAAAAATCTACTACTGATTGAAAAGAGCCAGAGTAGTTGCTTGTGATTATATTTTAAACAAATAGAAAAACAATGATAATGAAAATATTATTTCGTCGAAGGTCTTTTGACCAGCAACGCGATGAAAGTCCTGTATTCAACATCTAAAGTATTTAAAAAAAAAAACAGTAAAATGAATTCAATAAATTCAGTGCTTACTAATTTCTACTTTCCGAAATGCTCCTGGTGAGCATTTCAGATCCAGCTTTCTTTTTCAGTCATTTTTAATTAAATCTTTATTTTAATTTGTTACCTTAATTGAACAGACATATTATTATTTTTAAAGTGAACATGATTTTTTTTTTACTGTAATGTTTTATATTATAATAAACCCAAATTGTTTTGAAATTATCTTAATACCTGTTATTATATTTGTATTTACACTCACACCTGCTGATGGGCGACCGCAACTAGAAAAAGTAACATAATTTGCTAATAAAAATATCTTTCTATAATTTTAGGATATTAGCCAGACTAGGATTCAAGCCCTGATCTTCCGAACGATAGTACGTACAACTAACCAGTCGGCTATCGCGGCCGCACGGATGTACATACATACATACATTTGTACATATGTAATTATACATAAAAGAAAGAGTTTAGAGTGCATAAATTATTTGAAACAAAAGAATATGTTACTTACTTCTTCATAAAATCTAACTGCAGTCAAAGGTAAGCTAATAGAGCAAAATAAAAGATCCGACACGCTGAGCGACAAAATAAAAGCTGTAGTTGCATGCCCTCTTATTTTAGGGCATTTCAGTAGTGCAATGATAGTAACCAAGTTGCCTGAAAAAAATAGTAACAATTTAATTATCAGTTGCTGAAATAGGTTTGTTCTTAAAATATTTTTAAGTTCTCTTGTGGATAATATTCCACTTATAAGGTGTTTCCCAATAAAGATGCGATCATTTATCCCATTTATCTTTGTAAATTAAAATAATACCTCTTATTGGAAAACCCTGTACATATAAGCATCGTATGTGCATACAAAAATATTAAAACTTTAGATACCCGGGTATCACTGTCGATGCTTGCATCTCGATATTTGTTCGTTGTTCAACTGCTCAAATGTTCATTTGAAAATTTTCAATTATCAATTTTGTCTGTCAAAACTGCTTTAGTATTTCAATTTGTTTTAAACTTTGCATGAATAAATTTAAAATTATAGAAAAAATTTCCGAGAAAAAAGTCAAATTTTTTATTCAAATTCTCGAGAATAGAATGCAAAGCAATTTTACACACGATAATAGCAAGAATACAAAAACAAAAAGCCTATATATTTTGTTCAACTCGAGCTGCTTGAATATGTTCGAACAAAATCTTAAACTCTGATACATACATATGTAAATGTATAAGTATACCAAAGCAAAAGCAAAACGCTAAAAGTATGCTCGAGATATGTATTGAGCACAGTTTTTTTTGTTAAAAAAGTTCTACACTTTTTCGAAACGATTCTGGTGCTGAAAAAGGGATACGTCAGATGTGTATATCGTGAGAAAAATAATTTCAATTTTCTCTTTCTTTTTTCTTTGACTACCAAATATATAATATTAAATAAGTTCACAATATTATTTATATTAATTGATTACCAAATATTCCAATTACAGTGAAAATGCTAGCGCAAATAGCAGCAAATACGGTAGATGCATGAGGATAAATAATTCGGCCTTCCATTCTGAAAAACAAAATTAGTAAAAAAAAAAATATTATTCTAATAATTTAATATCGCTTCAAAATAAAATTTAAATCTATATACATATAAATATAAATATGGGTAAGTATGAAAAATTATATATGAGTAAAACTGATTACTGTTTGAAAAAATACATAATTTAAAGTATTCTACTGCAAAAACTATAGCGATTTTGAATAAATACAGATGATAACCTCAAAGTAAGGTGTGTTTGTAATCAGGAAGTAAAAAAAAAATTGCTGCCTTCGTTCATGTCGAAGTCTTAATACTATTGATGACCGTTATAAAAATTAGGGTATTTCATTTAAGGATTCTATATTTGTTCTTATTTTATTTCTCATAGTTTTCCGATTTGTATGATTTTTGGTGTCACTGTTTATTTTTATATACTACACGCCAAATTTCATGCTTTCAGATGTTCTTTTGACAGATTTTTCGTTTCTTCTTATCTATTCTTATCATTTTGGTACTTAAATACTTCGAATCAAAGTTAATATGCCATCTCATGCTTATGAAAGGTATAATTATAGGGTTATTTTAAATATTCCCTTCACTAGTAGAGCATTAATACTAACGAATTAACGCTGCCGCAGCAGTTCTTTGAGTAAAACCTGGATCCTGGCCGGACAGCCGCAGGCTCTCCCTTTCAAAATACCATGCTGTTTACTAATTTTGGTGCCATTATAACATAATATTTTCGTTAAAAAAAGATAAAAAATATTTGAAGACCCTTTTGGTTTTTGAAAGTACCAGATAGGGAGCATGTTGCCCCGCAATAATTCAAATTGCATTCATACAGATGACGTGCTGAAATGTATTCCTGATACCTGCTTGTTTTCGGGTGTGCAGCAATTTATTTCGGTTATAATAATTTTATCACGATTTCGCTATATGTTTGAGTCGATTAAATATTTCCAACACTTTCAAATTAATCTTAACTCAAAATGTATAAAAATTTGAGGATCGAACTTTCAAAAACAAATGAACTTATTCATAATAAAGAGCAGCTGAAAATCTCCTTTCATGCTTCCGTCGCCTAAGAAAAACCTCTTTAAAACTATATTTCGCAAGGCCATATGATAAGAATTATAGTTGCTGCTCATCAGATAACTCCAACAATAATGAAAAAATCTTTTGAATAGCTTATATGTAGCAAGATCAAACAACTCTGAGTAAAAACGTTTGAGTTGAACCTACTATGACGAATTTATAAACATGAGAGCAGCATTTACAGTGTATTTTCTTTTTGCTATTGGGAAGCGGTTGTCGAATCATGGAAAAGTGTATCTTAAAAACACATTAACTCTCCGCTTTACCCTTTATTCAAACAAACAACAATCACAAAAAAGAAGAGTTCTCAAGATTTTCACGCTTACAAATATAAAATCCAAACCAAATAAGCAGCAAATTTATTTTGACTACCTTTAAATTTAGTGAATGAAAAAAACTTGAATTGATTGCCATAGCAGTAACTTCACCCCCCTCCCCTACAAAATTTGTGTACATGGTACTTTTCTACTCAAAATATTCGATGAAGATTATACCACGCGCATCCCTGAATATCGGTACCTTGACCTTTCTAGCCAATTCTTGTGCCTTCGGATGCTATGGGATGCTGTCCAGTTGGCTCGAGTAAAAACTGCGATGTTTTAAATATTTAAATATCAGCCGAATATCTCGCTTCCACTCGAATTTAGTCTTCCTTACATGTTTGAGTTGAGTTGAGTGACGGTCCTGATAAAGCAAGTGTTGAGACGGGTAAGCAGATACATGTGAGCAGTGGTATTTATAAATGAACACATTGCGTTGTTGTAGGCCGCTTGCGTTTATAAAATAAAATGCAGTATCCTTCACGGTTTCATGTATGTTTGGGTCTTTCATACGCATACAGTCACCTTTGAATGTGTTTGTTTTTGACTTCAGCTCAACTTCGTTTATGACGGGTTAAAAGGGAAGAGAATTTGCAAGTTTTTGTGCAAGTGTCTTCAACTTTAGACTGACTTGAATTTTGATTTTTCTGAAATTTTGCCATCGTCGCGAAGAAGAGGTTCGTTGATGGCGGGGTGAAAAAAGGAAGGGCGTGCGTGTTATTAAGATTGTGCGCGTTTAATGTATACACGTACATATTAAACTGCTTGAGTGTATGGCATTTCCCTTTGTCGCAAGCTCAATATCAATTTCTGACTTTTGACAAAATTTCTGACCGAAACAGTTTTTAGGTAGAGGGAGCAAGGGAAATGGAATCTCACAATACTTTGTGTGTACTTGTTTTTTGTACATTATAATATATGAAGCTTTCAATGTATTGATTTGTGATTTTTGCTCAATTTCAATTTCGGGATTTTTGCAAAATTTGACTTCGACTTGAGGAAACTGATTGTAGATGAAGAGTTGAACGAAAGAGGATTTGCATGCAGTAGCTGTTTTCGTTGTTTTTATGCTAAGTCTACTCTTCTTCATTGAAATCAAATATTCTAGAATATTCTAGAATCTTCTGGAGCTTTTAGAATATTTTAGAATTGTATCATTTGTCCATTTGTCATCATCCCCGCCGCAATTTCATCTTGGGAACAAGGTGCATGCGGAAAGCCAAGGAAATTGCTTGCTGGTCAATATGCGCTAACAGGCGAACAGAAAATTTTGTAGCACAATGCCGATTTGCTTCATTTCTGCAGACGGTGATTGAATTTTGTCAGTGGAAAGAATTTGAAGAAATGCTTGTGAACGACTTTTGAATGTTACGGTTTAAGGCAGAAGGACATGATAGTGTGTGTTGTTGTTGCTTCACTTTTCGCGATCATATTTACTTCCGATTTTTTGCGATTTTTGTCAACGTAGCGAAGAAGCACTTTGATTTGTTGTAGGGCGCATGCGTCTATGTATGAAAATCTTATTGTTGTATTTGATTTCAGTTCTGAGCTTTTAGACAAGAGAAGTATTTAGAGAGATGGAGTAATTTGTTTTCACGCAAATAATGTGTGTGTATGTTTTTGCATATGAGTATATGAATGTACATACATATGTACATACAGTTGCGGTCAAAATCTTAGTAGTGATTTTGTTAATTAAATATAAGTCATCATAAATTTGTATTTCAGACTTTTTTTCGCTTTCACGGCAAATACCGTTTGGTTAAGGCGCCGACATGACGATATTCATTGGTTTGTTAAGCTATTATTATTAAGAATTACTACTTTTATTGCAATCGGATAAATTCTGAGGAAAAATGTATTTTTGATCAGTCAAATTCTAGTAGCGCAATCAAGAATAGTTCAAAAAAATTCTTTTGTTTTTGGGACTAAAAAATTAAAGAATAAGAACTATTTCTGTTATCAGTATTATTCTTTATAATGTTGAAATTTGATCATGCTGCATGTAGTGATGTCATGAAAAAATAATTGTACACCGGAGATACGGGCAGTGCAAAACATCATTGGTTGTTCGTTATGGTGGAAAAGGTTCAAGGCTCTTTGTATGACGTCCACCCAACAGCGCACGTAATCCAAAATATACCACTAAAACGGTAAAACATGGTGGATCCAGCATTGTGGTTTCGTGGTATGGTATGGAGTTGGACTCATTCATTGGATCAAGGAGACCTTGAATGCTGCCAAATATGGCCTAATCATGCAGGAGGTCATGCTCCCATTTGATAGCGAGGAAATACCACTAATTTGAACCTTTCAACAGGACAACGATCCGAAGCATACTAGATGTTATGGAATGACCTCCACAGTCTCCTGTCATTAACCCGATAGAAAATTTGTGGGCTGATGTAAAGAAATCGGTGTCTGACTGTTATCCTACAAATAATTTGCAGTTATGGGAATTTGTAAAGACTGCTTGGACCTCAATCAGTTGAAAGTTGCCAAAATCTGGTGCCGCCATAATTAATTTTAATGGTTATACAACTAAATGCTAAATTAATAAATAATAAGTAGTTAATTGATAGCCAATGTTAAAAAAAAAAACATTTAATTCAACCTAAATAAAAAATGCTTTGAAATATACCCTATAACGTGTAAGACTACTATGATTTTGATCGCCTAAAAGCTTAGATTTTCGTAAAAAGTATTATTATTTTTGTTTTATATAACCAAGTGGCTCCAGATTAATTAGCTTTAATTAGTCTCTTAACTACTAAAAAATAAAAATTAAACTGGTTTTGGTAAGCAACTACTTAATTTTTTTTCAGCTGAATTCAGTGCTTGTCCGCCCTACTAAGACCGCAGCTGTATGTATGCATGTACGTAATTCTTGAGGCAGGTCAGTATTTTGTGTGAAGTATACATACATACACACATACACATACACATGTATCTATAAATTGGTTTATAAGTCAATAAAATTATTAATCAAACAACTCATTAATTTGAAAAAAAAAAAACAATTTCTGAATAAATCACCTTCCTTGTAAAAGAACGCTATTGCGAAATGCCGACGACAAATCATCACTTGCCTTTGGATAATATAAATATAATATATAAATACAATAATGAAGTTTATAATTGCACCCTATTTCATCAAATAAATATGGAAACAAAATTATTTGAAATTAATTCAAACTAAATTCGCATCATTTGCCTCCTTATCGACTTTGTTGTAATAGTCGACGGAAAAATGCTGAGAAAACAGAAGAAGATTACCCCTACGAGGCGAATTTAATTTGCGAAAGAAGGTCCAAAGCGGACGCTTACTCTGCCTGTGAAACGTGAGCCACGTCAATGTTCTTTTGCCTTCTTATTAATAACGTTCTTTGCGAGTAGTTAGCTTTGCGTACTGCCATTCTGAAGGACAGAGTTCGAGTCCTGGTTCGACCAACATCCTAAATTATAGAAAATTAATTTTTCTTATTGCAGTGAGTGTCAAGCCCTACGAATGTATTTCTGACATGAAATAAAGATGCTCCTCGCAAAAATTAATCGGTCGCCTAATCTTAGGCGCCTTAAAATAGACTGTAGATAACCCATTCACATTCCACATCAAGTCACAAGACCACCAATTAGAGAAGGAGCAGTATCACTGTTAGCACAATATCTCACAAACTTATGTGTAAACTTCTGCATGCTCTTTTGCATAAGAGGAATTCTCAGATGGACAGTGAAACAATATACTTAAAGTGTCTATAAGATGTTAAGCTGTAGGTGCTTCTGAGATATTTATAGGATGCCTAAATTTTTGCCAGCACCAGAGACTGCTGAAACCGCCAGCTCCTCCAGCGTTATCTATGTATTAGGCTCGTGAATTTTCCGTCCATGTGTTGTTTATTCCTTTCCAAGAAATCATTGACTTTATGAAAAAAATAAAAAAATTCCGTAAATTAATATCACAAAAATATTTTGATACCTTTTACATTTGTGCGCACAAACATATCCGAATATACAGATATACGTGTATATGCATATGCATAAAACTTTATCACATTTCCGTTTTAAAACAGAATGAATACAAACATTTTAACACTAAGTTCAACAAAAAATTAAATAAGATTTGCTCAAATCAATAACTTAATAAGATAAACGGAACTTTTCACCACAATAAATAACGTACGTATGAACAGTTTGATTCTCAGTACATAAAATATATTATTTGAAATAAAATGCATGCATATGTGAATGCAAGTGTATATAGGTAAGTAACATACTATTATGTATGTTTATATTATATGATTATTTTTACTGGAATAGGTAACGGATATGAAGGCAGTTTGCTAACCCTAGTCACCGCATTTACCCAGTGCTGTCACTTTGGAGGGAGTTCAGCCAGTGAGAATTAATTCAATGAATAAAGTACTCTTACTCTCCAAGCGGGAAAAAACTTGTTAGTTGTGCACGAACAGTAATTATTAAAAGTAATAAAATAATGTTTAATATCTTTGCTTCTAAATCATTCATATCAACGCCATGGAGGCAGTTTTTTTTTTTAATTTTTCATATAAGATTCGTAAGTTATTCATTGTTGAAATGAACGCCTTTTGGTGTCATATAATATAGTGTTAAATCGTCTCCGAACTGTTTGGCTGGTTGGCTGTGATATTTTCTTAAAAACCGTTTTTAGGGCTTATAAATGCAAACCTATTTCAGTAGTCGTACAAATTAAGAATATACTTACTTTCCTCTTAGCTAATCTCCACCTCCGGCTATGGGTTTACACATACGTGTATTGTGAATGTACTCTATTCAAAAAAAAAATGTATTTGTATACGGATGTTTAATAATGGATATATTTCAGAGGGGTTAATTTATCCACTATATAAAATTTTAACAGGGAGCAACAACTATAAAGTATTTGTTGTTTTGTCATTTAGAAGATTAGTTTGTTGCCTGGACATTTCTGTTTATAGTAGTTTTTTCATATTTTATCTACATATGTATATGTTTGTTGATTGATATGTAATTGGTATTTGAGACTCCAACCCAGGAGCAGAATTTGGAAACCGTATTATTTAAATTTGATAAAAAGGCGCCTGAAATCGCATGAAAAGCTTCTAAATTCATTTAATTATTTAATTAATCGATGAACAATATGTTTTTCATAAGGGAAAAATAAAGAATTTGTCATTTAATGGTAACTTAAGGTACTTTTGATTGTGCTGGCCTAGCTTTTAAAGTCGCAAATACTTGTATCAAAATAAACTTATTTGTCGCCTCGTGGGAGGGAATGTCTCTCCATCAGCCGTTCGGAAGCATTTGTTTGAAAATCATGAATACAGATATTATTGATTGGAGGAAGTTGATCTCAAATCCCTTGGAAACAATAAAAATTTCGTCAGAGCGTCGGTTTGAAAAATATGATGGCGGTATACACAAGCATACGCATCTCTAGGAGTAAGTTGGCATAGAAAATAGCCTAGGTCTCGATAGTTAAGGCGACTTTCATTCTATTCATAACGTAAAACGTCAGTGCACTGAATGTTCCTATGATATTATAAACACGGTACAAAATTTAAATATAGGTTTTTCTTGTTGTGTGCGTAATAAATAATTCGAGAAGTTAAATAACTTAAAGCAAGAAAACAAAAAATTGATTTTGTTAATACTAAACGCTATATTATTATATTATGGGTGAAAATTCCTTAGCAACTCTAAAAATTTAACCAACTTCGTAATCAAACATATGATTTTGCTGTTGTCGTAACTTCATATTCTATAACCTTGATTCAGTTCGAACTATTATTTTCATTCTACATTTATTTACGCATGCGTGCTATTGTGGGCAGGTCAAGCGAATCTTTATCGTGCCAAGGAGGGAGGCTGTGGGTTTCATCCATAACAAGACTAAAATCTAGAGTTCAAAGAGATCGTTCTCAATTTCAGGAAGACAAGCACTTATCAGTTGTTCGCCAGCAATTAGAATTAGAAGGATCTAAACCAAAATCTCCAAGCTCATGTAAACACGTCTAATCTTAGTGGCAGTACAAAAATTTATAATTTTTAAGAACATAATGATAATTAAAAATAAAATTGACAATAGGGCTCTTTAAGCCTGTGAAATTTAAATTTATTGTTAGGTTTTCAACATACCCCGTGTCTGAGTCTGGAAAAAGCAGAACTAACGGCGCAGTTGTTGATGCCAGTTATGTCAATATGATCGGCCTACGCCAGAAGTTTTACACTCTTATAAAATATTATACCTTCTCTATTCAGGTTTGCAGCCTTGTCTGAAACCTCGTTTGGTATCGAACGGCTCGGAGAAGTTCCTTACGGAGCTTTTGGTGTTGTTCAAGGTCAGTTTACACTGCCGTATAAGCTTTGCGGGGACACCAAATTCAGACATAGATGTAAGGCAGCGCCATCTCGTGCTGCCGAAGGCGGTTTTAAAATTGACGAAGAGGTGGTGAGTGTCGATCCTCTTTTTACCGGACTTTCCCAAGATTTTGCGCATAGTGAATATCTGGTCAATGGTTGATTTACCAGGTCTGAAGCCATACTGATAAGGTCCAATCAGTTTGTTGACGGTTGGCTTTAGTCTCCTACACAATACGCTTGATAGGGCTTTATTGGCGATATTAAGGAGGCTTATCCAACGATAATTCGCGCAGACTGCGGGGTCCTCTTTTTATTGGCCAGAGCACATTTAAATTCCAATCGTCGGGCATGCTTTCCTCCGACCATATTCTGCTAAGTAACTGATTATGCACCTTGTCAGCTCTTCGCCGCCATGTTTGAATAGTTCTGCTGGTCGGCAGTCATCTCCTGCCGCTTTATTGTTTTTAAGCGGGCGGTTGCTATTCGAGCTTCTTCATGGTCAGGTAATGGAACGTCTTTTCCATCATCATCGATTGGGGTTTCGGATTCGCCAACTCCAGGTACTCCATTTTCACTGCTATTCAGCAGGATGGAGAAGTGTTCCTTCCATAAATTTAATATTCTCTGGGCATCGGTGGCTATATCACCACTTTGTGTCCTATAAGAGTCTGCTCTGGTCTTGACATCTTCCGTAAGTCTTCGTATCTTTTTAAAAAAATTATCGAGCATTACCCTTATCTTTCCCCAACCTGGCATGAAAATCGCCAATAAAGATTTTCACATCGCTTTGATACAGATTGTGGCGAGACGCTCATCCACCGGGGTGAATGCGAGTACTCGACGACGGAGTCTCCAATCACAAATCCTATAGCAAATAGTGTCGTCAAAATATCGGAAGAAATGTCTAGAACACCCGGATTGAATGTTAGTGCAGCACGATCAGGCGGGCATTGCATTCTAATGGTCTGCATGGTCGGGTACCGAGAAAAACCTCACATCTCTACGCAGAACCAAAAGCGGCGATTGGAATTTGAGGAAAAATATAAAACTATGGCCAAATCGTTTTGGAATAATGTAATTTTTTCTGACGAATGCAAGTCCGAAGTTTTCGGGAAGAAAAAAATTCTAAAGTTTGGCGAAACAAAAATCAAGAGTTTGAACAGAAAAACATTACATCCACATAAAAGCATGGTGGAGTCGGTGATTGTTTGGGGTTGTATGGCGGCAAGAGGAGTGGGAAGGATGGTATTTATTGATAGAACAATGAAGAGAATTTTTTACCTAAACATTTTAACAGAAAATATGCTTCCTAGCATTGATAAATTGGGCTTAAGCATCAAGCAAGTATAGTAGAGGAGTGGTTGCTTTACCGTACACCTAAACAACTGGATTACCCCCCACAATCATCGGACCTCAGGACAATCTGTGGCAGCATTTGGACCGGCAGATAAGGAAAAGAAATATAACCAGCAAGGATACACTGAAAAAATTTTACTAGAATGGTCTAAAATTTCGACGGAAGTCCAATTTAGTGGACTCAATGCCAAGGAGGTTGAAAACAGTTAGTGCAAAGAGAAGACAGACAAAGTTTTAGCTTATGAATTTCGTAATTATTTCTAAACTGTACTCTTTGTTTTGACGCGTAAAATACTGAGTATATTTGATTTTGTAAGTGTCGTTTTTGTTCTTGTAAAGTTTTCCTTGTATTGTTGATATTTTCATTTAAGAATAATATTTAATCATTTATAAATGAAATTTGATTTAAAAAATTTTATTTTTTCCATACCGAAATAAAGGGTGAAATGTATGAGAAAAAGGTGTACACTTTCTTTTAACGCTGACTGTACGTATGCACATTATTCAAATATTGCTTTTGAAATTTTTCCGAAATTTATTCTTTTGTAAGTTATATTCATTAAAACGTGCGCTTAAACTATTATAAAGGCACTAAAAGAAAAAAGTGAAGTGCTATAATATGTGCATATAAATTTTTTTTAGAATATCAGTCTATGGCTGTATGATATAAGGTTCTAACAAGAAATAATATTCTTTTTTGTTTTACATTCAGATTTGGTGATACTCTCATCCAAAGGACGACAGCAATTGAATAAACATAAATATCGGTGTACAACTTTGCTTCCGCCGTTTTTTTTTTTCAAAATTAAAAGCTTTATTGCGAAAAAGTGCTTACAAATACAATATATTATTCAAAGTATTGTCCTTCGCTAGCGACAACTTTCTCCCATCTTTCCGGCAATTTTCGGATCCCGGCTCGAAAACAGGAGTCCTCTTTTGACGCTATACATGAAGCAATAAATTTTTCCAATTCTTCGAAGGATTGAAAATGTTGATCTGCCAGGCCGTGTGCCATCGAACGGAATAGGTGGAAACCAGAAGTGGCGACATCTGGGGAATACGGCGGGTGGGGCAAGACTTCCCATTTCAGCGTTCGGTAGCGATCTCCTGTGATGGTTTCACCCGGTTTTAAGAGCTCGTAGTAAATCACACACAAATACTATTAATAATAACAAGTAAATTTATTCGAATTCAAGTTAATTATATTCATAAACTTATACAAGCTCGATTGACAAAGAATCCAAATGCACTAAGCGAAGTATGTGCCGATCGTACAACTTAAAGTTCTTTATATGCAATCACTTCGAATGAGCTATGAACGGTTAGCATCTTAATTGGATTATCATCGCAAAGCATTTCAACGACAGAACCCCTGCATTGAAAACTTTCAAAGCTGGAGTATTTGTAACCATCCATACTTTGTCTGT